TCATGCTGTTGGAGGAGCCACCATCATCACTCCTGGCCTTTGGTTTTGTACCTACAGATGCAGACAAAGGAGTCAAGATGGAGGTGGAGGTAGACAAGGTGGTGACGGCTGCAGACATACCAAAGCCATACCAACACCTGTGAGATGTGTTTGATGAGGTGGAAGCAGACAAGCTGCCCCATCATACTGAGCATGATCTCCACCTCGAGTTGATAGAAGGAGGTAAGCCACCTCAGGGGCCCCTATACCTTAAGGGACCCAAGGAGATGTCCGAGTTGAGGAGGTACTTGGATGAGAACCTCGAGAAGGGGTTCATAAGACCATCGAAGAGCCCAGCATGATCACCAGTGCTCTTCATACCAAAGAAGGATGGAGGTCTCAGACTCTGTGTGGACTACAGAGGTCTCAACGAGATCACTGTCAAGAACAGGGCACCATTGCCCCTCATCGAGGAGCAGCTGTTCTTACTCAGGAAGGCAAGGATCTATACCAAGCTAGACCTTAGAGCAGCATACAACCTCATCCGGATTGCTAAAGGAGATGAATGGAAGACAGCTTTTGGCACTCAGTTGGGACTCTATGAGTACCTAGTGATGCCCTTTGGCCTAGCCAATGCTCCAGCTCACTTCCAGTCATTCATCAATGACATCTTCTGAGACATCATTGGAGTATATGTAGTGGTATACCTAGATGACTTCCTGATCTTCAGTGACACTGAGGAGGTACATGTGAAGCATGTCACCAAGGTCCTCACTCAATTAAGGAGCAACAGGCTCTTTGCTAAGCTGTCGAAGTGTGAGTTCCACACCAAGACAGTCAAGTTCCTGGGGTACATCATCAAGCCAATGGGCATAGAGATGGACCCAGAAAAGGTGTGCACTGTCAAGGAGTGGCCAATGCCAGAGTCAATCCATGACATCCAGAGGTTCCTGGGTTTTGCCAACTTCTATCGAAGGTTCATAGCCCACTTTGCTCGAATAGCCAAGCCCTTGACAGCACTGGTAAAGCCTATAGAACGGTTCAAGAAGTTCGAGCTACCAGAGGAGGCCCAACAGGCCTTCCACAAGCTCATCCAGGCCTTCACATCAGCAGGAGTGCTTCAGCACTTTGACTACCACCTTCCAACAAGGTTGGAAACTGATGCAAGTGACTTTGCTATAGCAGGAGTACTCAAGCAGGAGCATGAAGGACGATGGCATCCAGTGGCCTTCTACTCTAGGAAGATGTCTTCTGCCAAGAAGAACTATGAAATCCATGACAAGGAGCTCCTAGCTGTGGTCGCCTGCCTCACTCAGTGGTGACACATGCTAGCTGGACTACCGAGCCAACTGGTCATCCTCACTGACCATGAAGCCCTCAAGTACTTCAAGTCACAGAGACACATCACAGGTCGACAGGCTCGATGGGCAATACTACTAGCAGACTTCGACTTCATATTGCAGTATCGACCAGGAGACAAAGGTGGTGAACCCAATGCTCTCACCAGAAGGACAGACATGCAACCAGCTGGTGAAGAGCAAGATCACAATGTGAGGCAACTACTGCCTCCTCAAGTGTTCAGGGAGACAGCAGACCATGACTCAACCCTAGTGGCCCCTATGCTCTCAATGGAGTCCATAGCATCAAAAGGTCTCAGAGACCTGGTCAAGATCTTCCAGGCCTTAGACCAAGAGCTACAGGAGATACATAGGAAGAAGCCCTTTGAGGTCAAGGACGACCTATGGTACAGTGGAGGAAGGTTGGTTATCCCCAAAGTGATCATGCCAGGGAGGACCAACAACTGACACTCAAGGAGTGCCAAAGAGGTAGATGGACAGTCTCTCTCTGTAGAGCATCTGCGATTCATGGTGATGACCCAATGCCATGATGGTACTACTGCTGGACACATAGGAAGAGATGCTACCATCAAGGCAGCTCAACAACATTACTGGTGGCCAAACATGACAGCTTGGATTGCAGACTATGTAGCAAGTTGTCCTGTATGTGCTAGGTACAAAGCTCCTCGTCACCGTCCATATGGTTTGCTACAGCCACTAGCAACACCAGACAGGCCCTGGGGCTCCATATCCCTCGACTTCATCGAAGGACTACCACCATCGAAGAAGTATGACTCCAAGACCTATGACTCTATCTTAGTCATTGTCGACAGGTTAAACAAGTTTGCCATATTAGCTCCAACCCATAAGACAGTCACAGCCAAACAGACTGCAGTGTTGCTATATGGACACATGGTTAGACTCTTCAGATACCCAGATCACATGGTCTTGGACCGAGGCAGGCAGTTCATATCAGGAGCATGGAAGGCATTTGCAGAGCAAATGGGTGTGAAGCACTCACTTAGCATGGCTTACCATCCTCAAACTGATGGTCAGACAGAGAGGGTCAATCAGGTCATCGAGCAGTACCTAAGGATGTACTGCAACTATGAGCAGAATGACTGGGCCAACCTGCTGGACACTGCAGCCTTTGTCTACAACAACACAGTCCACAACAGCATTGGTGTCTCACCATTCTTTGCATGCTATGGATGGAACCCCAAAGCTCATCCTGACATCCCTCAACAACTAGGAGTCAATGATCCAGGTTGCTTCGAGTACCTCATGGATGGAAAGGAGCATTGCAAGTACCTCCAGGAGCAGATCAGAGAGGCACAATGTAGATCAGTAGACCAGTATAACAGGAAGCACAAGGACATCGAGTTTAAGGTGGGTGATATGGTCTATATCAACCATCGAAACTGGAAGACAAGGAGACCCACACCCAAGTTAGATACCTGGTTTGCAGGACCCTACCCAGTTCAGGAACGGGTAGGACGCTGAGCTTATCGAATCACATTGCCAGCAAACCTTAGGGTGCATGATGTGTTCCATGTCTCCATGCTCAAGCCAGCAAAAACAAGTTCTCTTCCTCAACGTGCTGAACAGCCCACCATACCATCACTTCCAGATGAGGACCTCAACTTCGAAGTCGAAGCACTCATTGACAAATGTTCACACAATGGGACTACAGAGTACAAAGTGTTGTGGAGAGGGTACTCAGAAGAAGCTGCTTCATGGGAACCAGTAGAGAACCTCAACTGCCCCGACCTCATCCAGGAGTATGAGGTGTCGGAGGGGGGACGAGCGAGTAGACAAAGTAGAGAAAGGAGGAGAGAACAGGAGGAGTAGAGAGAGGAAGAGGAAGGATGATGTTGGCGATGTTGTCGAGGAGGAGGAGGAGGAGGAGTCAGCATGAACCAGACCAGAGCATGCCTCGACGGAGCTCGGCTCTTAAGAGGGGGGTAGTGTCATGGGCCTGGATGCTCAAGAAGCAGGAGGGTCACTGGTTCATATGGAAGGAGCACAGGTATCAAAGACCTAGTCGATACCAGTAGAGAGCATGGTCGTAGTGCAGTCTACATGGAGACCATGGACTCCTATGGACTCACATGCAAAGGAGAACCGAGCCACATGCGAGGAGGGCCAGGCACAGCCACAAGGAGGACCAAGCTCAAGGAGCAGGCACAGCCACAAAGAGGACCAAGCTCAGATGGTTACCACTCAGGGGCTTGAGAGACAAGAGTCATAGGACACTGGCAAGCAGGTCATGAGGAGGAGGAGCAGTGTCAAAGGAGTTGACACCAGGTCATGAGGAGGAGGAGCAGTGTTGAAGGAGTCGACACCACTCAAGAGGCACAGGGGTGCCAAGCAGGAGAGGCCCCTGAGCAGTACTCGATGAAGAAGGCACTCTCTGGAGAGAGACCAGGAGCAGCATCACTGACAATGCTGTGAAGAGGTATATAACCATGCTTTCTCATCATCATAGGTCGAGTGGATCCTCATCCACTCTACTCACCATAACTAGTTATCACTTCAGCATAAGTATATATTAGTTTCAGTCAGCATAGCAGCAATCTATCAAGGTTGCTCCTCATCGTAGTGTGTGTGTTGTATCACCACTACCTGATGTCTGAAGGCGCCTATAGCAGGTTAGCGGTCTGGATCAAGATAGAACTGAAGGCAGTAGTCCACTGTGGTCCGGGGATCACTTCAAGCATCAAGTCAACACACTGGACACTCGTGTTGACGCCACCAACCTTATCACCAACACCATCAACCTCATTATCATCAATACCCCCCAACCTTATCACCAACGTCATCAACCTCATCATCATCAACACTCACACCAGACCTTGGTGTCATCATAACATTGATATTGATCATGCCGAGCTACCCCTGAACGGAGTGTCCACAGAGGTCAGCTGAAACCTATGATAGTATATACAATGAATGCCACCTGCTGTCACTGCACAACTTGATAGTCACCAATACCGAGACAATAGCTGTCGCACAGTTTGATAGTCACCGAGTATCTCGACAGACCGACCTGGGTTTCAGGCGCGAGACCCCTGACACAGTGTTCCTCAACACCTGCAGTCCAGTCCCTTACTGTAGGTGGTGTTTGCTCGACATCTGTGGTCCAGTCAGTTATTGTAGGTGGTGTCCAACACCTGCAGTCCAGTAACTCCCATCCTCTGTAGGTGATAAGCATATCATGGTCCAGACAATGTTTAGAGAGCATTAGCAACAGTACTACAAACACTCATACTGTAAAGTAGAGTGTACTACTCTCCCTTCAGAGAATAATGGACATGCCATGCAACCTCTGAACAGAGTGTTCAAGGTGGTCAGCCAAGACCTACCAGTACAAAGCCATCTGGTTACATTAGTTGAAACATCCTGAGTAGATCTTACTTGATTGACCTCACCAATACCAATCGGAAACACCCAATCTGGTTTCTGGCATGCGACCGCTTACACCCAACACCCGCAACGTTGCGACGATGGCGTGCACTGCCTCCAAGTGTGCAACGGCGAGCACTGCCATCAAGTGTGCACAGGGGGTCGGCATCACCTGCAATGTCCTCCCCCCAGTCAGGCACACCATCGACATCCTATACCTGGCCACCACTGCCATCAAGCATGCTTCCTCTTGCTGCCCTCCCCAGGGGCCTTGTCAACATGCCACCTGACTCTGCTGCCAACCTCCTTCTCTCTCTGCTCACAGGTCCACCTCCTCCTCCCCAACCAAACACCCTCTGCAAGTTGCCCATCTTCAATGAGGCCAACTTCCCAGCTTCGGTGGGCTCCCTTCAGCTCTGCATCTGGTTGCAGTTCCTGGCCTTCTATCCCAACCAGGCTTTTGCTGACCAGCTTTGTGGTGCACTGTGTCACAGTGCCAAGCTCAGCTATGAAGGTCCTCTCTGCTCTGCCACCAGGCTCAACATCCCCAACCTGCCTTTGGACAACCACAACATTTTCCACCTCCATCAGGAAATCACAGCACATCTTTGGGAAAGTCACCTATGGGAGGTGCCCCATCCCCAGGTGACAGGACTCATTTGCTCTCCACTTGGTGTCATCCCGAAGCCCAACAGCAACAAGTGACACACCATTTACCACTTGTCACACCCTTGCCAACCTGGGTCCTGGCTGCTGTCCATCAACAGTGGCATCCAACCATCCTATGTTGCCATCCATTATGACAACCTGGATGCCATCATGGACTTCATCCACAAGCACCCCAGCACCTCCCTCTGGAAAGCAGACCTTGAAGATGCCTTCCAGCATGTCATTGTGGCTGAGTCTGACATGCACCCCATGGGCATCCATTTTGACAGTGTCTACTACCAAGAATGCACTCTTGCATTTGGTGCTCGCTCCTTGCCTTTCCTCTTCAACCTGTTTGCCAAGTTCCTGCACTGGCTTGTCACCTTTGCCTTACAGTTGGTGACTGCCCACTCACCCCTCTCCCATTCTGGTGTCTCCCACTATCTCAACAACTTCTTTGGGGCCTCAGACACCACCACTGACCCTGCCACCCCTGTCCAGCTCCTCAGTCTCACAGCCACAGCACTTGGGTTCAAGATTAGTGCCAAGAAGACCTGGTGGGCTGCAACCAGGCTTGAGATTCTGGGTATCGAACTTGACATGGTGGCCCAGATGGCTTCAATCACTGCCCCATGCTGCCAACACATCCTCCAGCTGTGCTTGCACATTGTGGCACATGGCTGCACCTCACTGCTGGAGCTGCAGCAGGTGGCAGGCCACTTACAGTTTGTCACCTGTGTTGCACCTCATGGCTGTGCCTTCTTGTGTCACATCTATGATGTGGTGCAAGCCCACTTCAAGGCCCCCTTCAGCCATTGCATCAGCAAGAACATGCAGGCTGAGCTCCTTTGGTGGGTCGCCACTCTCACCTCCTGGGACAATGTCTCACTGCTTCAACCCTCACCTCTAATGGTGGAGCACATATGGACTGATGCTTCAAAATGTAGCATTGGTGCTCATTTGGGTTGCATGGACAGTCCCTCTGCTGCCTTCTCTCATGAGCTCCCCTGCTGCCACCAGTGGAAGGACAACCACTTCCTGGAGGCTCTGGCAGTCTTGGAGGCCCTCTGTCAGTTCTCCCCACTCTGGACTGGTCATCATCGTGTTGTCATCCACATTGACAACAAGAACGTGGAATACAGCCTCCACAAGGGCTCCATTTGTGACCCTCAGACCCAGGTTCTTTTCTGGGAGATCTTTGCCCTCTGCCTGCACCTCCACATCGACCTGGTTCTGGTGTGCATGAGCTCAGAGGACAACATTCTTGCTGATGCTCTCTCTCACTGACAGTTCGCTTTCATCCAGCACCACTTCCCCATTGTGTCATCACTGCTCCAGTTCAACACCACTTGGTCCCCTTGGCCTTTGTTGCAGCATCTGGTCTCTCTTGCCAGGCTGCCTCCCTGCTCTGGTCTGGGCTCACCCACACCACCTGTGCCCATTCCACCACTGTGTACAACAACTTCAGCACCTTTGCAGCCTCTCTCTGCATCACCAACCCACTTCTGGCCTTGCCAAACATGCTCATTGAATGGGTCACCCACCACCATGCCTCAAACAAGTCCCTCAACACCATCAAATGGGACTTCTACATGCTCAAGTCTTGGCACATCGACCTTGGCCTCCCCATCAAGGCCTTCAACTCCCCCCGACTCAAGTGTGTGGTTCAAGGTTTCAAGCAAGTTGTTGGGGACCCCCTCCTGGTCACCAAGCTGCCAATCACTCTACCACTCTTGTGACAGCTCATTTGCACTCTCCCCACAGTCTGCCCCTCCCAGCATAACTGCCACATGTTCTGTGCCACCTTCTGCCTCACCTTCACCTGCCTCCTTCGGGCAGGTGAACTCACATGGGAGGCCTTTGGACCCAACACCCTTACTGTGTCTTCCATCACCTTCGCTGCTGACCACTTGCACACAACCATCATGCTGCTGGCCAGCAAGACAGACCCTTTTTGGCAAGGTGCCACCCTCCTTGTGCCTGCTGTTCCCCTCAGCACCTGTGCAGTGGCCAGCCTCCAGCTCATTTGTCACCACTGCACCCTGCAGGAGCCCCTCTTTGTGCTTGAGGGTGGCCAGCCCTTCAGTTGTGGCTCCTTCATCACCATGCTCTGGCACTGCCTGGGGGCCTGCAGGGTGGTGCTGTCCTCATACTCAGGCCATTCTTTCTGATGAGGTGCTGCCACATGGGCAGCAGCCAATGGGGCTGATGCCAACACTATCTGCGCCCTTGGCCACTGGTGCAGTGATTGCTTCTGACACTATGTTGATTGGTCTACAGCAGAGCATGCTGCCACCTCCAGGGTGGCCCTCTACTCAAACACCTCTGCTGTCCTACACCTCAACATCCCAGCCTGGCAGGATCTGTAGCCTGACTTTCTCTCTGGGTTCACCTGCATCTATGCCCCAGCCTCAGCTCGTGACTGTCACACCTTACAGTATGCCACTTGCATACAGTGTGGCCATGGCTGGGAGCTCACCAGCGACTCTCCCACGAGTTAGGCAATCTCACATTTCCCATGTCTCCAGTCCCGCATGTGGTGCGTGCACCTGGCAACCAAACACTGAAACCGGAAACACCAAATCTGGTTTCAGGCGCGCGGCCGCTTACAATGGTCTCAAGCAGGCAGATCGACTTTGGCATGCTGCGCTCGATGGGCAGCTACAAGCATTTGGGTTCAAATGATGCCGTGCGGAACCATGCGTCTACGTACGGGGAATCAAAGACACCATGGTGATGCTCGCAGTCTACGTGGACGACCTAGTTGTTGTTGGGGCAACATCGTTGCCAACCCATCAAACAAGCACCTAGTTGCTGCCAAGCGGGTTGTTAAATACTTAAAGGGAACCATCGACATGAGTCTATCTGCGAGCAAGACTAGTAATGGACAGATGCTAACAGGTTGGACAGACTCTGACTGGGCGGGGTCATGAGACTGTCAACGCTCAACGACAGGATATGTCTTGACCATTAATGGATTCATATGCAGTTGGTCCTCAAGGTGAAGTGTGGCCTTGAGCAGGATCAAGCAGTGCTCGATCTCTCAGGGTATCGGCTCATATTTCCATCAACATCTTGCTGGATCGTATCCTTCAGCAGACCTTTCCTCCAGGACCGTACAGAAGTTGCGATCTGAAGTGATGAAATGAAAATTGAGCGTGTGCGTGCACAACAAGATCAACCGCAGTGACCACCCAGCATAAAATGCGCGATCGTTTGTGAGTGTAAAGGCCACCAGGCCCTTCGTATCAAGGTTGAGATGAGGCTTGTGAAGGCTTGAGCCATCCTGACATGTATGTGCAATGCTCGCTCATATGAAGAAACACGAAGGATGCTGACGACTGCCATTGAAGCTCGTTCTGCTCGGACCATTACTCAGAAGCAATTGACAGGCAATGGACTGGTTCAGAAGAGGTTAGCATTGAGACGATACTTGTTACATCAAAGATTCCAAGGACGCCGGTGATATTCAATAGCCAGGTCTGTGATGTCCGGATTCAGGTTGGAAACAGGAGGTATTGGTCGCCGTTGAGTCGACTTAACGTCGTCGGCTGCGAAGTGTGCGATCAACCAAAGAGATATACCGCTTGAAGAGAGCTCCAGCTGTTTGTGGCACAGCATAGATCGGAAGGACGGGTGGAGCGGAACGGATTGCGAGTCAGCTTGCAGCACTGCGCATCGCTACAGGCGATCGTTGCATTACCTTTACTTACCTGGACTGCTTCGAGTAGGTCTGTTCGGGCGACAACGGCATCTTGCGGCTGCATGACGAAAGATCCGACTGACACGGCTCGTGAATCCCGGTCGGTAGACTTGTTGGTACTTGAATAGCTTGGTGGGCTTGGTCTGTCGCGCCTCATCGAGACAATCGTAGACTCCTCCAGACTGAGGTGTAGCAAAGGGAAGGCCGTCAGCACTGCATCCGCCGAAGTCTCGTCAGAGATGTACCGACTTACCAAAGAAGACCAAAGTAAGAGCTTCCTGCTGGGAAGAGCGACCTGTCAATCTGCTCATCAGCCAAGTGTGAGCAACCGAGACCATGCGAAACAGTAAGCAAAGCGAAGCGGTTGGCACACAATTGTCTCCCAAGCTTTACCTTGAGCTGGCCGTTTTGAAGCACGAGAAGGATACAGCCGAGAGGCTTGCCTGGTCGCGCGTTGACATCGTTTGCGATGGTCGCAATCTGCAAGGATCGCCTGAGGCTCGCAATCTGGCGCACAAATTCTTCAGAGGCCGAAGAGAACGGCTGATTGACGATACTAGGAAAGAGGTCCTGTGCCTGATCCCCGAAGCCAAGGGCGTATCCCCGTATCCGAACTACAACAGGAGGAGAGCTGGTCAGCCGTTGGGACTCTGTTCACGCTGACGTGCGGAAAGTACTTACATTTGTACTCGACTTGAAGACTCAATCGCTGTAGACTGAGGGAGAAGGACAGACGTCGCATGAACATGTCTGGTCAAATGGAAGGTGTAAGGACACAAACATACGTACGGGGCTGCTGGAGAAAGAAGAGCCTCGATTGAGGGCGTGTCTGGCTGACCTGGTCTCAGCACATGGTGCAACGTAAGCGTTGTGGCCTTCAGGTCGTGAGTGCCGGAGCAGGCAGTGTCTGCAGCAGCACTCGCAATGTGGTACATGCACACCTGTAATTTCGTCGGACCGAGGCGGGCTTCAAGGCAGTCAGATCGACATCCGTGTAGAGGCAAGGAGTCGGCGGACTTTGTGTGCAACTTACCCGAGTCCCATCTGAGAAGGTAGACACTGTACGTTCTGTGAGGTCGTCATTTGACAAAAGAATATTTGCGTGTCCGAGATCACTGCGGGAACCAGTGAAAGAAAGCTCCATCTTGCGTCCGCTAGGTAGCAACTTTGCTGCATCCTTGTTCTGGAACACTGATGACGTTGAGCAGTGCACGCAGCAAGCGAAGCTCCAATCTGTTTTGCGATTCGCTCTCCCACATACACTGCACCGAAAGCCCAGAAAGGTATGTTTAAGGTCGTTCAGAGGGAGCAGGCTGGCTGCTGATGAGGTGGCGCTGGTGCTAGGCTTGCCCGCATGGTTGCGCATTCGCGTTGTGTTGAGCGTCAAGGAGATTTCTGTGAGCGAGCCGTTTTGACGCTGATTAGCCAAGAAAAGAAAGGAAAAAAGGGAAAGCCAGAGCTCCGAGTTGAGCATCAAGTCCGAGTCAGGTGACAGGCTAGTATGCTAATGCTGGATTACGTACGGCGATGCGGCTGATGGTGCAGACCCCCACGAAGAAGATCTTGACCGTTGCGACCGAATTGTCGACAACGCGGCACGGCCTGCCGAGATCACCGAACAGATGATAGATCCTAAGTGGAGTAGCGGCAATGCTGGCCATCTGCAATCTCTCGAACATTGTGGCATCTGAAGATACGGATGAAGCAAATTGTGAAGTTCTGAACGCTGTTTTCCTCTAGATCGATTTGTGAGGAGGAGGGTGACATACCTGCGGATCTATTATGTGTGTAATGTCGTCAACGATTTGCACTCCGGACAGCCAATGGAAGCGGATACAGGCTACACTTACATATCTGCTACGAGTCGTTCTGGTTCTGACGAGCCATGTACTTTCGCTCGGTCGAGCAGAAGAGCGGTGATTGCGCCAAGCTTGCTGGTCCCTGTTGGATCGCCGATAGACGGGCATTGTGGATCGCAGTGACGCATCTCATCGATTGATGAGGCCCAAAAGAAGCAACGAATCTTCGGGTTGCCAACTTCTCTATTCTGTTGAAGTTTGTCGTTTCGCTCGAGAACAGGATGTTGGGTGTCTTGCTTGTGCCGGACTTTCTTGCCAGTGATAGCATCATAGAAGTCCCAGGGACTGGCACGAGAGCAGGGCAATCGACTTGCAGCACAGGAGCTACACGTCCAGCCAGCTCTATTGCAAGACCTCTTGAGCTTCTTGCATTGTACACAAGTTGGTGTCACTAGTGTTGAGATGTGCCGGCGTCAGCAAGCGTTGTCCGAGACAAGTCTGTATTCCGCAAGAGGGGGGATTCTTACCTAGAAGGAGATCAGGGTTGGTGGGATGAAGGTGAATTGCATCGCGAGAAATGCGATCCTCGATAACGTTAGCTGTGTCTGGAGACGCACGACGGATGACGACGTCGAGAAAGGGAGAGAAGCGCAAGGTCGGAGCGATAAGCGCCCTTGCTCTTGCGCTCTTGGATGACTTTTTGGTCGCTGTATCAGGCACGACGTCACTTGACGGTTTGAGGCCTGTGGAGCAGGCATTCAGGTGTTCGCGAGACTTGACCTGCTGCTGCCTTGGCAGTGACGCGTTGGCGGAGCTACGCAACTTGTGCGACTTGGACTGACGTCGAGAGATCTTGGCTCGGGATGAGTCTGACGCAGATGGCGCCTCGTTTCTTTTACGCTTCATAGTTAGGTAGTCGAAGAGCGGAGATAGCGAAAGCGCTGTGGATCACAAAGCATTTTCGGTGATGCTGATGAAGGAGAAGAAGAAGAAGAAAGAGAGAACAAAAAGAAAAAACAACAATTGGACAGCTTGCAAAAGAGTGGGGGAACTGGAGGCGCTGTCCCGCGGAAGGCGTAACGCCGTTGCCGCTTAAGGCGTCACGCTGCCGCCGTACCGACAAGATTGACCGTGAGGTGGACCGTGCGCGTTGGACCGTGAGGTGGACCGTGCGCGTTGGACCGTGAGGTGGACCGTGCGTTGGACCCTGAAATTGGCAGCAACTCCCGAGAGCCGAGCCAGACTGGAATCGGCTCGGAACTTGGAAGTCTGTGTATCTCCGGACATTAGCGACCTTCTGTCTTTGTGACATGACACACCCATTGCTTTCGAGCCTCTCGTTTGGAAGCAAACCTCGAAAGGGGCCCAATCTGGCAAGTAGCATCGCTTGCAGCAGGGTGTCAGCTTCGTTGTTGCCACATCTGCTTTCAACTCAGCCCAATCTGTATACCACACCGAGCAAGTCGTGAATGCTTGCACCACTAACGACTGCACTCACCATCTTCGTCACCGTGTTGGCTTACTTGACGTCTCGCAACTTCATCAGTCGGGCTTCGCAGTCGTCGTCGTCGGTCCTGTCCAACATGGTGAACGCGACAAAGGCGCCGGTCTACTTCATCAGCCATGGTGGCCCACCAAGTACGTAGCAAGCAAGTCATTCTCACCATGGACATGATCGGAACTGACTTGAGCTCTTTATCCGCATACAGCTATGTTCGAGCACACACACCCCGCCTACCAGCACTGGCTAGAGTGGGGTAAGGAGGTGCGCACACTCCATGATCAAGGCGTTATTCGAGGACTTGTCTTTGTCAGTGCCCACTGGCAGGCTGAGGATCTCAGTGAGGGTGTCTACCGTACGTTCTATCCCTCTACTCACTTGAGTCGCGTGCACCACGCACTTGAATCCCACACCTGAGCAATCTGACTGACAGTGAACCTCTGCTTGTCTTCACCACGATAGTCAATGTCGATGAGAAGAATCCGCTCGTCTACGACTTTTATGGCTTCCCGGATCACTTTGTACGTCCTACCCTTCTTCGCGTGTCGACCTGTCATCTTTGCTGACTATCCATCCCTGTCTGCCTTTCCAGTACAAGCAAAAAGTCGAGTCTTCGAACCCTTCGAACCTTTCAGCTCTCGTTCTTGAACACCTTCGCGATAGTGGCCTTCCTGTATATCCAGTCAATCGCGGCATCGATCATGGCGTGTGGTGTCCTCTCAAAGTGGCTTTCCAGAGGCCTTACCTCGAAGACCTTTGCCCCGAGCAGTGCAAGTCGCAGCGAGCCTCGATTGATACTCCTTCGATTCTTCCTTCCACTTTGTCGCTCACGCAGGTCTCTCTACCGGCCTCGGACTCCTCGATGGACTCGCTCAAACTTGGCGCATCGCTGCGAGGGCTTCGTGAGCAGGGGTTCGCCATCGTTGGTGGTGGCATGTCTGTCCACAACCTGCATGACATGATGAGGTCCTTCGCATCAGCAGATGGTAGGGGACTGGGCAAGTTGCAGCCAAACTCTTACTCCGTCACCTTCCTCAAGGCGCTTGACGAGGCCATGACCGTTCCATCGGCAGCAAGAGATGAAGACAAGTGGAGCAACGCATTGAAGCTTGAACAGAGAAGCGACTTCCTCTCGGCTCATCCCACACCAGAACACTTTTTGCGTACGTGTCGTGAAACGCAACCCTTGAGTTTGCTAGACACAGATAACAGAGCTGACATGCATTTCGCCTCTCTTGATGGACACTTTCTCCTCGACAGCTGCGCTCGTAGCACTTGGTGCTGCTCATGCTGACGAGCAAGGCAAGCTTACCTTTGCCCATGACGAAGGTCCCATGGGCTGGTGAGTGCTTCCATTCTGGCTTCGGGACCACTTTTTTTTTTTTTTTTTTTTTTTTTTTTTTTTTTTTTTTTTTTTGGTTTTTTTTCTTCTTCAATCTGCAAAGCTGACACACAAATTCGACTGGAACGTTTTCAACACTCTATGGTTACAGGAACATGTACAAGTGGGGATGAATGAGCATGGTCCTCAGTTGTCAACTTGTCAACATCAGCCCCGTGGCTCCTTCTGCAGAGCCAGTTTGGCTTGTCTGCGATCTTCTTCTTCCTTCTTGTCTCTCTCCGCCTGATCATGCAATCCAGCGGCAGCACTCTTTGCATTCTCTGCACTTCCACCTTTTCCAACTCTGTTTTTGCCGAATTGAACAATCTTCTTGCAACGTGCACGAATGTCTAATGCCGTTTCGATGAGAGCGAGTCCCCGGTAGAAGTAGACGTAAGACCACCAAGCACGCAGGTAGTCTTTCCACAGCGATAGTGAGGTGAGTAAGCTGGCTTTGCCGCTCTTTCGACGTTCTCTGAGTTGCTTGAGGTCGTCGCGGTAGACTGCTTTGGCGCAGAGACGAGCTGCGATCAGGAAAGGGCGGGTGGGGCCGTGCGTTGTATGCAAGCTTGCGTCTAGAGAGCGAGTCAAGTCGTTGAGCTTGAGTACCATGAGCATACGACGAGGTAGACGGCGAAGGAGCTCCATGATGGAAACAAAGAGGCCTTCCTTCTCCATGACTGTCTTGCGGATGTGTTCTTGCTCATCGTCAGTGAGGTTGCTTCCGCCGTCGATCTCAAGGAGACTTCCTGCCCTGTGGCGGTCCTTGACACCGAGAGGGTTCTTGGGATCGCTGCCTTCCAGACCAGCCCTGCCGGTGATGGCACTTTCCAAGATGGGGTAGAGATCATCGTCGATATCAGCAATGAGCTTAGCATATCGGCGTCGCTCTGCTGTGACTTGAGGGCTGGAACGCTGAAGTAGCGAGAGCCAAAACCTAGCGTAGTTGGCCCGAAGCTCTTCGTCAATGTCAAAGTACAGTCCGTGGTCGAGAAGGACGACTTCAAAGTTGTATCGCGATCGGCTACCAGGCTGAGCGGGACGAATAAGGACATTTCCGCCATGTGGATCTGCGTGGAAGAAGCCATGAAGGTAAAGCATCTGCGAAAAGACACGAGAGAGCTCCTGGCTGACACGGTTGCGGTCGATGTTGTGCTCTGCGAGGTAGCGAAGATCATCTGGACGACGACCGTCGATGAACTCCATGGCCATGACACGCTTGAAGACGTACCTGACCTTTGGAATGTAGACCGAGGTAGTAGGATAGTGGGCAAAGTCGTCATCAGCCCTCTTTGCGTTCTGAGCTTCGTGTCGAAAGTCCATCTCGAGGGGCATGTTCTCGTTCATCTCGTCGGCAAGCCACTCGAAGCTGAAGTCGGGAAAAAGTCGTTTGACCCATTTGACGAGCACGGTGACGGTCTGCATATCGACTCGAGAAAAGCGTTCAACATGAGGGTGCATCATCTTGATGGCAAGTGGCTCTCCTGTTTTGCGATCGACTGCACGGTGGACCTGCGCTAAGGAGGCAACACCGATAGGCTTGGGATCGATCTCGCTGAAGGCCTCGTCGAAGCTCATGCCAGTCTCGGTTCTGAACATGGCCTCGAGCTCGGGAAGTGGCGTTGGAGTGTTCTGGTCTTGAAGCGGGCGCAGCGTTTGTGTCCATTCGACGGGCAGCAGGATGACGGCGGAAAGATGTTGACCAAGTTTGACGTAGAGACCACCGTTGGTCTGCAACGCTTCTAGAATGCGGTGAGCCGAACGTAAATGACATTGTCGCAGCTCTTCCGCTTCTTGTTGGCGCGATTTGAACTTCTTGCCAAGGGTGGAGCGGTAGTCCCAAACACAGAGAGCGACAGCCTTGGCGATAGTAGTGGAGCGCGTCAGAGCCAAGAATGCGAAGTTGGTACCGTTCGCCTGCGCCTTCTGAGCCTCTCGTACATTTCTTTCCATCTCATCGTGAGGAAGCTGCAGGCCGTTGATCGGCGCTCGTGGACCGTCGAGATGGATGCTGTCTCCAAATTGATAACCGATAACACCGACGACAATCGCGACCAAGGCGACAAGTGCGACACGCTTACTGTTGCGACGGAACTTTGCATGTGCTGCGGCAGTCTCGTGTGGGTTGGGGATAGCAGGCTGATCAAAGCTGATCGCCTTTGGCTGAGGTCGTACAGGTGGATATTGCTTTCGGAATGGCCTTGCGTCGGATGACTTTGGCTTCACCTCTTGGCTCGCTGAAGCATCTTGCGACAAAGTAGGTCGGCGCTCTTCTGGAGTGTTGAGAAGGCGAGTGGATGTGGAGAAGGCGCTGACGTGATGAGCAATGCTTGTGCGTGGTGACCAAGTCGTGCGGACGGATTGGGGGACGGGTTGTGCGGGCGGCAGTGATCGAGCGAGTTGCGAACGCGAGAGTGTCGCCCTTGCGACAGCAACAGTTATTCCTGACCGCAACATAATAGATCCAAAGAGCGTATCGACGGCCGCCACCCGGTGCTCTTGAGCAAGTAGGAAATCAAACGCGCTCCTTACGATGACGGGCGTCCAATGAGCATGGTACGTTTTGCCGGCTAGATTTGCAGGGTCGTGCTGCTCGAGGATGGCGAGAGCCAGAACCTACTGGACTGAACTTGAGATTGCCCAGGGAGGTGTTGCGAAAGCAGTTGTTGTTGTTGTTGTTGTTATTGTTGTTGTAGTAGTAACAAGTAATCAAGAAGAAACCGGCAAGAGATGGAGTGTCAATCCGGTCTGCTGCTAACTTTAGCGTGCTTGAGTGGAGAATCGCAGTCTCCGAACCAACTCGAAGGGACAAAAGGCAAGCAAATACGCACGAAAAAACGACGTGAAAAACACAGCTTGTTTCCAGCTGTCATGTTAGCAAAGCGATCTTAACAGAGCTTTTTCTCCCGATCATCGCAATACATCTTCCGATTCCGCAAGATTCGCGATGTCGGACGAAGAAATCCGAAGGCCGACTTTGGCATTTGTTTTACCGGCGGAAATGGTTGGTATACCTCGTCATCAGGGCAACTCGCAGCCAGGCACTTGACACAAGCAGTGCTGGAAGCCTGTGATAGAAGCCGACGTAGGCCGTGTTGGAAGGGATCAGATCTCTTCTCCACGCTGCGACGGATGCAGGAGTGCATGTGTGTAGTGACAGCATAGCCGGTGTCCTAGATGGTAGCCTGTCAAAGACTTGCACCATGCCCGCAGTCAAACGCACTCCATATCCTTGTAGCCGCCGTCGCTCCTTATAGTTACCGTCGGAAACTTGTACCAAGCATCCCTACCTCGCCATACCTTGGAGAGCTCCTGGTCTATATATATTCAAGCTGCCTTGTCGGCGCCGACATGACCTTCCAGATCAACTCTATATCAACTATCTAATCACACCTGGCCCCAGGTGCATGCATGATGACTTGCACCTATGTCAAGACATGCCCGATCAACGTCAAAGAAGTATCTCAGCAGCTTATCCTAGCACTTTCTGCCTAGGTTCACACGTTCATACTCTGTCAAGTCAACTCTCTTCTCTTTCCACCAGACGCCGATCCAAAAAAACCAACACGATGGACAAGTCAAGGACATCCTCGGCACCGGCACAGGCTCTTCTCCCAACTCCAAGCCGACAAGATGAGTTTGATACAAGATCGCATTCGTCGCAAGACGAAACATACCAACAGTCTCCGCCAGGTAAGTTGATCGCCGCTCTGTTGCAAATGCATCTCTCGGAATGAGGTTGGTTCCAAAGTGCATCTGGTGGAAGCAGGTCCAAGCCCACCTTGATCTTTCTTCCCCACATTTGTTCATTCAGCTGACATTCAAACCCCGCTCTTGTGATTGCTTTCGCACCTTGGGCACTGCTCTGAGCACAGTGAGATCACGAGGTTCCTCGAGCATCTCGTTCCAATGTGGCCCTACAGAAACAAGTTCACGCGACCTCAAAGCTGCCCAAGACCATCGTACCGAGAAATTGGCGCAAGTTGCGAAGAAGGAGGAGGAGGAGGAGGAGACCGATTCAAACCTCGTCACTTGGGGCAGCCCTGACTCGCAAGAGAATCCACGTAACTGGTCAAAACGCCATCGATGGGCGGTGACGGTACTCGTATCTAGCTACACCTTGCTCAGTCCACTAGCGTCATCCATGATTGCTCCAGCACTTGCTCTGATCAGTCAAGAGTTCGGTGTCAGGTCGAGCGTCGAGCAGAGCATGATGCTGTCCACATTTGTGCTTGCTTTTGCTTTTGGTCCGATGGTACTTGCTCCGCTTACCGAGATGTTTGGACGCAGAATCGTGCTGCAGACGTCCAACGTCATGTTTATTGCTTTCAATTTGGGCTGCGGAGCGAGCCAAAGTTCAGCACAGCTTACGGTGCTTCGCTTCTTTGCTGGACTCGGCGGATCGGCGCCATTAGCTGTCGGCGGTGGTACGATCGCGGACCTGTTCGAGCCAGAAGAACGTGGAAGTGCAATGGGACTCTATAGCTTGGCGCCGTTACTTGGACCAGCGATCGGCCCGATTGTTGGCGGCTGGATCGTTCAAGAACTCAAGCAATGGAGGTGGATCTTCTGGATCTCTTCCATGTACGGCGGTCTGACGGCCTTGATTGGTGTCTTGCTGCTTCCAGAGACTTACCCACCCGAGATCCTCAAACGCAAGGCACGCAAGCTCAGAAAAGAGACGGGCAACCAAGAACTTTGCACGGCATACGAGAAGCAGGATGCTTCTGCATGGTATGAAAAGTTACGCCACAACATGGTGCGACCTTTCGTACTGCTGGCAACACAGCCGATCATTCAGGTCTTGGCCATCTACATGGCCATCTTGTATGGATGCATGTACATTCTGCTCACCGTATTCGCCGAGACGTTTGGGAAGATGTACAAGGAAAGACCGGCAATCGCATCACTCAACTACATCTCCTTGGCGATCGGCTTCACACTAGGTGGGCAGATCGGAGGAAGGGTTGTCGACTACTCATATCGCACCTTGACCGCTCGTAGACCAGACAAGAAAGGAGAACCGGAGTTCAAGTTGCCATTACTGATGGCGACCTCGGTGGTCTTCCCGGCTGGTCTGCTGATCTACGGCTGGACAGCAGAATACAAGACACACTGGATCGGCCCGAACATCGGAGCAGCACTGTTCGCAACAGGTGCGATGGGGACTTTCTTGGTCTGTCAGAGTTACCTGGTCGATGTACTGCCGCTGTACGCAGCTTCAGTGCTGGCGGCGGCAGTGTTTGTGCGGAGTTTGGGTGGATTTGCGTTCCCCTTGTTCGCGCCCTCCATGTACAGGGCATTGGGACAGGGATGGGGCAACACGGTGCTGGCATTGGTGTCGGCACTGATCGGCATCCCCTCGCCATATGTGCTGTATAAGTTTGGATACTATCTGCGAGCCAAGAGTAGATACGCAGCGGGTGATCGCAACGCGGCTAGCATCAAGTGATACTCCTCACTCGTGACTATGTGGAAGGATTGTTTCGCATTTGACTGTACAATAGACATGATCAGAATGACATTGTTGATGCTCATGCCTACATGAATAGACAGACGCCGTTGTCCAATCCTTCTCAGACGGATGCAGTATGTCGCTCTGATAGCTTTCATCGTGTTCGACGCAAGTTGCGAGACGGCGGACAAATGGCGAGCGTTGTGTTTGTTACGTGCGAGAAAAGGTGTCGCCTGGGGGGCCTTGCCACAGCATACACACAGGCCTTGCAGCGTTCTGTGTATACGTGTAGGGATGATAAAAACTATGTCGGCTATCTGTTAATCGGCATCCCGATGCCAGTCGCGATAGTCGATCGGGATATCAGGAGTGAGCCAAAAAAAAAAAAAAAAAAAAAAAAAAGTGTGAGATCGGAGTAGAAGTCACATGCTTTCACTGAGAGGCTTGGTTTTGAATTGAAATGGCTAATTAGTTGGTCTGTGCCTCCAAGGGAACTGTAATTTAGGCTATTCAGCTCTCAGGGTCCTCTATTTCAAATCGAATGTGGGGAAACCCCGCTTTTTCCTTTTTTTTTCTAATCGCTCGATTCTGGTTGGCGCGCGCGTGAAACACTGCTTGTCCCCACACAGACTGGAGACAAACTCTCTCAGGCCGTCCGCTCTCCTAGCCGCTCAGCTCTCGAACCCTTATAAACGCCAGTCCAGCTCAGCCCTTCTTGTCGCTACCGATACACCACACATACCTACCTGCCCCACCACCACCTGTTGTGCCGCCTTTACCTTCCTTCTTCACTGTAGGCTCTCGTTTCGATTCTCTGCTTCGATCGTCTCTAGCATCTACCCCAGCTTATTCCCAGAGCACAACACATCACTTTTGCACACCATGTCTCGCGTCATTGTCGTCGGTGGTGGTCTCTCCGGTCTTAGTGCCGCTCACACTCTTTACGAGCGAGGTGCCAACGTCCTCGTTCTCGACAAGAACGTAAGTTCCTTCTTTCCTCGCCTTACCTGTTTTGTACTATCATCTTACACTCTAGACAGGACATGCTGACATCTTTTCAAACTCCTATCTGCCTGCTTCGATCTTTCCCTTTTGATACTTGCTTCGCAGCCTTTCTTCGGTGGAAACTCCACCAAGGCTACCTCCGGTATCAACGGTGCCGGAACGACGACACAGTCCGAGCAGGGCATTCCTGACTCTGCCAAGACCTTCTTCGAAGATACAAAGAAGTCCGCCCGTGACCTTGCACGAGATGACTTGATCAAGGTCTTGACCGGCAAGTCTGGTGAAGCTGTCAATTGGCTTATGGACCGTTTTGCTCTTGACCTTTCCAAGGTTTCCCGTCTTGGCGGTCACTCGCAGCCTCGTACTCACCGTGGTGGCGCTCAGTTCCCTGGTATGACCATCACCTATGCACAGATGGAGAAGCTCGAGGATCTTGCCGAGGCTGAGCCTGATCGTGTTCAGATTCTCCGCAAGGCTCGTGTTACCAAGCTCCTTCACCAGAACGGTGAGGTCACTGGTGTCGAGTACGAGTACCAGGGCCAGACTCACAAAGAGAATGGTCCTGTGATTCTTGCCACTGGCGGTTACGCTGCTGATTTCGACGATGTTAACTCGCTTCTCAAAAAGTATCGCCCCGATCTTGTTCACTTGCCCACCACCAACGGTGATCACTGCACTGGTGACGGTCAGAAGATGGTTGCTTCCATCGGCGGCCGTCTTATTGACCTCGAGAAAGTTCAGGTTCACCCTACCGGTCTCGTTGACCCTAAGGACCCAGATGCCAAGGTCAAGTTCCTTGCCGCCGAGGCTCTTCGTGGTTGCGGTGGTCTGCTCATTGACAACGAGGGCAACCGTTTCGCCGATGAGCTCGGTCACCGTGACTACGTGACTGGTCGTATGTGGGACAACAACAAGTTCCCCGTCCGTCTCATCCTCAACGAACAGGCTTCCAAGGAGATCGAGTGGCACTGCAAGCACTATGCCGGTCGTGGTCTCATGAAGCGATTCGACAGCGCTCACGACCTCGCCAAGGAGATGGCTATCCCCACCGACAAGCTGCAGAGCACTTTCCAGGACTACGAGGCCATTGCCAAGGGCGAGAAAAAGTGTCCTTGGGGTAAGAAGTTCTTCTCCAACTCGGACCTTCGAATGGACCAGGCGTTTTACGTTGCTCTTATGACCCCTGTCCTTCACTACACCATGGGTGGTCTTGAGATCGACCCCGAATCTCGCGTCGTTGACAACCAGGGCAAGTCCATCCCTGGTCTTTTCGCCTGCGGTGAGATTGCTGGCGGTGTTCACGGTGCCAACCGTCTTGGTGGTTCGTCTTTGCTCGGATGTGTCGTTTTCGGTCGTGTTGCTGGTGATTCTGCTTCCAGCTACTTGCTCCGTAACCTCGCTACTGGCAAAGCTACCGCTCGTCTCGGTCAGATCTCGAACCATCTCGAGACACGTGTTCGTGCGGATGCCAACACTAAGACCATCACTCTTGAGTTTGGTTTCGCTGATGGCGCTTCTTCGGCTGGCGGTGCTCAGCAGCAGAACTCGGCTATGCCCCAGGCAGTCGCCCAGGGACAGCCGGCTCAGACCGACAAAGCTGCCCAGCAGTCCGGTAACGCAGCTACTGCCCAGCAGACGATCGAGGAGAAGGAGTACACCATGGAGGAAGTTGCCAAGCACACTGCTGAGCATGACGTCTGGGTTGTGGTTGAGGGTCAGGTTCTCAACGTTTCCGGTTTCTTGGATGACCACCCTGGTGGAAAGAAGGCTTTGATGCTCTACGCTGGTCGTGATGCTACCGAGGAGTTCCTCATGCTTCACGACCGAAAGGTGATTCAGAAGTACGCTGCTGATACCGTTATTGGCCGTGTTAAGGCTTGACCGTTCCCCCCCCCTTTCCCCGTTGAGATTATTGTTATTCTTACCATTCCCTTTGACGAGAAGATTTGAAAATTCCAAAAAGCTTTCTCTTGATTTCCTTGGCCCAAGTGGCAAGTATCTGCCCTTTCTGCCGTTTCCTAACGTCTGTGTCGCTCGTGTTGAGATTGTGATCATGTTGACGATGAGTACCAAGTTGAGCTGAGTGACGATGGTCTTAAGCTGACCTACCATTTCGCAGAGACAAGCCTAGGTGTGAAAAGGGACAGAACTCAAGACGCTTCAGACTGAGGCGGACAAACACGACGGACAAGGTATGGTTTGAAAGCGACAAAGCTCAGTTGGAGAAGTTAGTGTAAGCCAAAGCAATTGAACCACTTGAAAAGTAAAGTACAACCGACGCTTGCAACAGACATGACATGCAAGAAAGGCCTACAGAGAGAAGCCCAAGTGATTCTCCTTCTGTCTATCTTTCTCGAGTTTTTGTTCCAACTTTGCAAACTCGTCCAAGGCAATCTCATCCTGTGGATCCAAAACCTGTTGCACGCCCTGCACTTCGGGTATGTAATGCTTCAACATCCTCTCGATCCCCGATTTCAAGGTAACCGTTGACGAGTCACAACCTCTGCAACTTCCTTTCAACTTAACTTTTACAATCCCATCTGTATCCTCACCGAAACCTCTGTATTCCAAATCACCACCGTCTTCTTGGATTGCCGGACGAACACGGGTGTCGAGTAGCTCTTTGATCATTGCCACAACTTCCGAGTCTGTGTCGAGGATCACAGTGTCGCTGCTACCGTGGGATGATTCTGAGTCGGCGAATAGGGGGTGGCCGGCGGTGAAAAATTCCATAATGCAAGAGTAGATTTCGGGTTTGAGAGTCGACCACTGATGTGAGGCGTCTTTGGAGACTGTGATGAAATCCGGGCCGTAAAAGACCGAGACGATTCCGGGGATGGAGAAGAGTTTTTTAGCGAGGGGTGAGGCCATGGAGGATCGGGTGTCGAGGAATTCGTGCGTTCCTGATTCCATCACTTGACGACCGGGAAGGAACTTTAGTGAGTCTTCGTTCGGGGTTGATTCGGTTTGGATGAACATGGTTCGCTTTTGCACTGTGAGAGGGGTGATGGTGCCGGTGCGAAGGGATGGTGTGAGAGAGGAGGTGAGCATTGGGCGAGAGAGTGGGGCGATGCGGGGGACGGTGCGGCTGGTAGAGGCAAAGGCGGCGGTGCGAAGTGCCGCTCGAAGCATTGTGGTTGTTGTTCTCGATGCGACCGTCATGGTATGGTCGATGGTTCTGGTAGTCGATGATGGTGTGTGATAGGCAGGCTTGTGAGGTGGAGAAGAAAGTGAAACAAAGTGGCGAACAGGCGGTTTTGTCATAACTACTCAGCTACTTTCCAAAAATCGCGGATTTAACCTTCTGGGAATTTGTCAGCATTTGTCAGCATTTGTCAGCATTATAAATTATGAGAGAGCTCCAATTCCAACGATTTTCACGGGTTTTTGGGTCCGGTTGAACAGCTCTCCGAATGAGCCGGGCAGCAACCAGCTAACAGCCGCTCAGACCACCTCTCACACCGCTTCTCTCACACCATCATCACCTTGGCCCACACACACACACACACACACACACACACACACACACACACACACTGCTATATACACCCCAAGATGCTAGCCTCAACCATCCGCACAGCCCTCGGCACCACCTTTCCTCGCACTGCACTCTCCTCCACCCGATCCCTCTCCACCTCTCTGCCGCATCTATCCTCTGCTGCTGCTGCTTGGAAGGAATACCAAAACATCCTCGTCTCCTCCCCTGCCGCCGGTGTTACACTGATCACCCTCAACCGACCCAAAGCACTCAACGCTCTCAACTCTGCTCTCTTCCACGAACTCAACGAAGCAACCGAGATCGCAGACAATGATCCTTCCATCTCTGCCATCGTCCTCACCGGTTCCGAAAAGGCCTTCGCAGCAGGCGCAGACATCAAAGAGATGAAAGACAAGCAATACGCAGATGCTTACAAAACCAACTTTTTGGGTCATTGGACCAAATTGGCTCAGGTTAGAAAGCCGATTATTGCGGCTGTGAGCGGCTTTGCGCTTGGTGGAGGTTGCGAGTTGGCGATGATGTGAGTTTTGTCAAGCTCCTTCTTCCCTTTTCTTTGCTCAAGCTTGTGTTTCGCTGGAAAGCTGACTTCTCTCCCTCTCTCTCTCTCTCATTTGTTTTCTGGCGGTGATGGGATTTCAGGTGCGACATCATCCTAGCCTCGCCAACAGCTAACTTTGGTCAACCCGAGATCAACCTCGGCGTCATCCCCGGTGCTGGTGGTACTCAACGTTTGACCAAAGCCGTAGGGAAGTCGACTGCGATGGAAATGGTTTTGACCGGACGCAGCCTTAGCGCTGATGATGCCGAACGTCGGTGTTTGATCTCCCGTGTTGTTAGAGAGGGTAGTGTTGTTGATGAGGCTGTCAAAGTTGCTAGTACTATCGCAAAGAAAGGCCAGATCGCTGTTCAGGCTGCTAAGGAGGGTGTCAATGCTTGTAAGTAATGCCCAACCAAACGTTCGCTGGCAAGTGGTGATAAGGGAAGAGATTCGGCTGACTAGATATACTTTTGTTTTTGCTTGGACAGCGTTCGAATTGAACCTGCAAGAAGGAACTCGATTCGAACGACGTCTTTTCCAGAGTCTCTTTGCTACCAAGGATCAGAAGGAAGGTATGGCTGCTTTTGCTGAAAAGCGTAAGGCTCAGTTTACGCACGAGTAAGCCCATATCCATAGCCATAGCCATACCCCATACCTACTATCTCTACCAACACTTGTTCTCATTAGCGCCAATACCGTGTGCATTCTTCGCACCCAAACGGACTGTGTCATTTCTCGTGCGGGTTTGGAGCCTTTTATTTTTTGGCCCCGGTTCAAGTGTTGGACCCTGCGCTGCACGGACCATGTTGAATTGCGCAGCAGAGTGGGTCATAGCCTTGATTGGAGGCAGGAGCTGAGTGTGAGACAGCTCTTGCTTCCACGTTCCGCCTGGCCGGCTGAGTTCTATCTGCTTGTCCTAAACGCGGAATGCAAAGTATATAACCAGCATCCGCCCTCCCCTCCATCTCCCAACTCAACACGTCAGCTTTCATCATCCGACTCTCATCATCACTTCAAGCTTGCAACAGCAAGAATGTCGAAAGCACGCTCAAACTCGAACTCGTCGACCTCTTCCACTGGCTCAGACACCTATGCCAACGCTTCAGTCTTCCGTTGCTCACCACACTACAAGTCTGACCAACTAGACGATCTTTCTCACGGATCCACAACCAAAGCTCGTCATTGGTCCCGTGGTAAGAAGAACCTAGGCGAAGGTCGGTCTCATTTCGAAGCTAGACTTTACGATAATGGTCAGATTAAGTTGTCTAGGCAAGAGGTCAGAGTTTCGTTGAAGAAGAATATGGATTTACCTACAAAGATCAAGAAGAATCATAGTCCACAACAGGCTGCAAGGGTTGTGGGTGCTGTCGATAGGCAGTAGAGTAGATTCTCGTTAACCTTCTGGCTTGTTGCTGTTATGTCAAGGTCTCGTCAAATCGTATCGAATCTGTTTGGTTTCTTGGTTGTTCTTTCGAAGTTCATGTATCATCGTCCCGTTTCGTCAGTCGAGTCCCGTTAGTGATGCAATCGTATCACATTTCCAGCAATTTAAGATCACAATTAGTATATGGCGTTATTGGGGCCATGATCAGGCTCCCTTACTACAGTTGTATGCTTCTTGTAATGCTTGGTATTTGTCATAGTGTGAACCTAAATGACAAATGCATATATATACCTTGCTGCCTTTCTGATCACATTTGAGCAGAATGAGTCACTTCCCTCATACCCCTATGTTGCTGCTTCACAAGGTGCCCTATGAACTGTTGCTATGGCAACCTTCATATGTTTCATTGTGTTTCTTGCTTATGCAGGCACTTGGTACTATGGTGTCTCAGCTGCAGCTCATGCATCCCTCTTGGGATGCTGACACATCTTCAACTCCCCCTCTCAGTGGGATCTCCAGTCCTATCATCCTAGCTAATTGTGAAGTATTAAGACCCTGTAAAGGCTTTGTTAAAATATCTGCAACATTGTTTGCCATTCTGATGAATTCAATCACCACATTGCCTTCTTGCACATGGTCACAAACAAAGTGATAACATGTGTCAATGTGTTTTAACTTCCAGTGTTTAGCTGGGTCTTTACTTACCTGGATACATCCTTGACTATCTGTGTAGAGTGTTGGCCAGGCATCCATGATTTCCAAATCCCAAAGCAAGTATGAGAAGAATAACACTTCTCATACTGCTTCAGAGGCTGTGACAAATTCTGCCTCAACCACAGACAATGCCACACATTTCTGGACATGAGACTTCCAGCTGACTGGACATCCATATATGTATGTTATTGCTCCTGAGGTGCTTCTCCATCCATTCATGGGGTCTGACACCCAATTTGCATTGGTATACATCATTACTGGTTTATCCACATGTTTGCCTGACCCTCCTCCTAAGTGCAATTGGTACCTGCTCATCTGATTTAAGTACTTTACCATGTGAATTGCCACCTTCCATGTGCTGTCAATCAGGCTCAACATGTATCATGCCAATGTACCCACAGCAAAGGCAATATCTGGTTGAGCAGTGTTGGAGACCCACAATAGTTGGCCAACCAACTCTTGATACCTCTTCACTTGTTGAGGGTTGCATTTCTTGCCTCCAGCGACGTTTGCCACACTCAACATAGGTATCCAGGATTTCTTGTTTGCTCCTCCTAACCATTTGTTTACCATTGCTTTGACATATGCCATTAAATCCAGGGATATCCTCCTCATTCTTCTGTCATGTGTGATTTTGATACCCAGGAACTCCTTGATTTCCCTGTTGTCTTCCATTTCCCATTTGCCCATGATTTCTTGTTTGGTGTGGTCAACTTCATTACAACTGGGTGACATTATCAGCATGTCATCTACATATGCTGTAATAATTGTGATCTTGTTGCCTGTCCCTCTTGAGTATAAGCATGGTGTGCTTGGCATACAGTGAAATCTGATTGTCTGGAGATGTGAATCCAGTTCAATGTTCCATTCACAGCCCAATTGTTTCAGACCATACAGACCTTTCACTACCTTTAATGCTTTTCCAGGTGATACTTTGTTTCCAATTGGGGGCTTGAGATATACATCAAGGTGTATGGTAGAGTTCAAGTATGCTTGTTTGACATCAATAGAATCTATTTCCCAATCTCATACTGCTGCAATGGCAATCACCCCTTGAATGGATTGAATGGGTGCTACTGGTGTGAAGACCTCTGTGTAGGCAATGCCCTCACATTGGGTGAAGCCTCATGCCACAAGCCTGGCTTTGAATTTTGTTGGTATGAGGTTTGCATCAGTCTTGATCTTGAGGACCCAATGCATGTTGATGATGTTTGCACCCTCTGGAAGGTCAGCAATCTCCCACATGCCCATTGCCTCCAATCCATCCAGTTCCTTTCACATAGCCTCCTCCCAATGTTTCCTATCCTCTCCACTCAATGCTTCACACACAGTCAGATCCAAGTTCTTTCTCTGTTCCAGGCATGTTGCCACAAGTCCAAAGAGTTCATTGTCAATTTGGGTTTCAGTGACTGGTTCATGTTCCACCATCTTTGCTGTTCCTCCACTTAAACTCTCTTCTGAAGCTAGTTCCATATCCATGTATTCCTTTAGTGGCTCCTCATCTGCTTCATTGAATAGATTTTCCTCAGTGTACCCTAAGTTTTCAAAATCTTCTTCAGTCATCATTGCTGGAGGTGTCTTTGTGTCAACTGGTCACCACTCTGTTCTGTCTGACCAACACTTTGACTCCATGAACTTTGCTGAATTACTCCAGAATATGTTCAGATTGTAATCTTGGCTGTAGAAAAGCCAGCCCTTTCTCTCTAGGCTGTATCCCAAGAAGATGGATAAGATGGCTTGCTGATCCAGCTTTTTGTTGTCTCGCTTGACCTTGGGTACATTCACCCATGCCAAGCATCCAAATACTTGTAAGAGGCTTATGAATTGCTCCAGCAACTTTCCAAACATTGCTTGGTAAGGGAACTCATTGTTGATGCTTGGAGTGAGATTCATCTTGAAAGCTGCTGCTCGGATCACATATGGCCAGAATCTCTTTGGCAGTCTCCTTTGTGTCAAGAGCATCCACATCCTTTTGCCCAGGCTCCTGTTCATTCACTCCACTTGCCCATTTTGTCTGCTATTGTACCCTATGGTGGTTTGCCACTCTATACCCCTTTCTAGTGACCATTCTAATGCATCATTGCTTTTCCCCTCAGTCCCTTGATCAGATCAGATTGCCTTTAGCTTCCAATCCATCTGTGTTTCCAGGAACAAAACAATCCTTTTGAGTTGTGCAAACATGTGGCTCTTTTGCAACAATGGCTGTGCATGCACATACTTGCTATGATCAATGACTAGCACCAGTGTGCATGTATACTCTGTCACATGGGATGAGTCTATTATCAGATTGATGTGAATAAGGTCTAGGGGCCCCACAGCTCTTTTGCTGCTACCCTGCCCCATCCAGGTGACCATACTTTTGGATTGTATGCACTGCTCACATTTCAGAGCAGTGTCTGGGTCCAGATCCACAATGTGTTTGTCCTTCAGTTTGTCTATGATTGCCTTTGACTTGTCTCAGCCTGGGTGTCCTAGGCATTCATGCCATAATTGTTGTTTTGAAATTTTTGGCTCATTCTTAATATGTTCAAACTCCTCATCAACACCTTCAAACAATGGTGTTGATGTGATCATTGCACTCTCTTGCCATGTATTGCCTCAGAACTCCAAAAGTCCTTGCTTGCAATTCTTTGCAACCTTAAGTGTCATGCTGTTTATCAAATAGATTAGTCCACCAGTATTATCCAATATCACTTGTGCTCCATCATCTGTCAATGAATTTGTTGACAGGAGGTTGACATTGAGATGCTTGACATACAATATGTTTTGTAAGGGAATGTCCCTGTAATCTGTTGATATGTTAATGTCTCCTATAGCTGTCACCTCCAGAACCTCATTTCTGGCAGTGATTAAACACTTTTGGCAGGTTCTTGGGTGGATGAGCATATCATAAGAATTTACCATATGATAGCTCACACCCAAGTCCAAGATCCAATGCACTGTTTCTTTTGCATTCAGAGGTTCTTGCCACTTCGACATGTGAGTGATGGAGCACCATGCTTCCTATTTAGGTTTAGCAAGGGGGGAATCTTTGGGGATGGTGACCAAAGCATCACACTGACTGATACCATGTCCTGTCTGTTTGCAGATCCAGCATTGGATTCAATGTGGTCTGCTTGTGTTCTTCAGGTTTGTGTCACTGCTACCAGTTTCAGGTTCCCCAGTCTGATTGTCTTGATCATCATTGCTGGTGGTCCTGGCACTGGCCTGTCACGGGTTGACCTTTTGCATGGGGATGCTCTCAATGGCTGTCTGGTGAATGCTCAATGCAGTGGTGAGAGTGTTGAAATTGATCTGGTGAATGGTGGTGACTGTCTCTTTGTACACCAGATGCTGGATCATGCATTTCTGCAATGCCAAGAACAATGTGTCATTGGTGAATGGCTTCCTGAGAAGACTGCTTTCCATTTGAATGGTCCAGATCTCTTGAATTAGCTTCCTTGCATCAGAGTGGAACATCTTTATGTTGCCAAGCTGTGAGATGAGCATGAGTCTATGAGATGCCTTGGTAGCTTCATTTGTGAGTCCATCTTCAATCTTTCTCCACACTTGATGAAAGGTAAGATACTCTTTGATTACATCTAGAACAAGGTAGTTGACATTGTGTTCTCTGGTAGTGTCAATTGTTCCATGGAGTGCATTGGTCAAAGCATCATTGAGGGAGTGACTCCATTTCAGGTGCTTCTTGTCATATGTTCCCTCGAGGTGTTTCATTGCATGAGGCATGGATCAGAGGAAAGACTTCACATGGGCACTCCAGCTGTAGTAGCTGTGTGATGTGAGCTTCAGTATGGGTTTGAGAAGCTTTGCGAGGGTACGAAAGTTATATCGCTTGTAACCATCATCAAAATCTGAGTCAGAGTTGGCTCCTTTGTCAGCTTTGTTGTCAATGGCCTCTGGCTCATTCTCATTTGTGGTGTCATTGTCAGCTTGTACCTGGGTGGTCTTGCCTTTCCTGCCTCCTTTGGTCTTTGTGCTGGTGCCAACCTGGGTTTTGGTGTCTTCTACCATTATTGTTGATGGGCTTTGATTAGCTCAGTTGGTAGCTTCTTCAGACTCTTAATCAATTTAAGATAACAAATAGTATACAGCATTATTGGGGCCATGATCAGGCTCCCTTACTACAGTTGTATGCTTCTTGTAATGCTTGGTATTTGTCATAGTGTGAACCTAAATGACAAATGCATATATATACCTTGCTGCCACTCTGATCACATTCGAGCAGAATGAGTCACTTCCCTTGTACCCCTATGTTGCTGCTTCACAAGGTGCCCTATGAACTGTTGCTATGGCAACCTTCATATGTTTCATTGTGTTTCTTGCTTATGCAGGTGCTTGGTACTATGGTGTCTCAGCTGCAGCTCATGCATCCCTCTTGGGATGCCGACGCATCTTCAACTCCAGCCCACTCTCAATCCAGTTGCATGTTTCGCATCACATGTCTGTGCTTTCGAATGGCGACAAGATGCTTTGTATTGCCTCCTGCTTCGACGCTACTCAGCTACGACCTCATTCCAACTCGGCATAAAAGCCACTAGCATTCAACCTAATCAACAACATCTCCACACTCTCCACCCCGCCTTCCCCACCTTCGGCAGCGCTCCTAGCGAAAAAATCAGCAGAATCAGCATCCAAGATTTTCAAATCTTGCAACTCCTCTTGCGCCATCCGCTGTTTTTCCACTTCTACATGTTTTTTCCTCTTGCTCCAGCCTTCCCCTTCCCTTTCTCCGCTTGGTTGGCTATCCGGATGAGTAGAAGATGATGCATTTCTATCCTTGAGTAGAAGGAGCGCTTGGATTAGGGTTTGGATCCGCTTTTGGAAATAGCGATGCAGGTTATGCAAGTCCTTGTAGGTCGCTTGTTCGATCTTCCGGTGTGCGCACCTCTGAAGATCGACGCAGAGTTGCGTGAAGTCGAGGATGGATTGGAGGAGCGAGTTAATGATGGCGAGGAGGGGGGATTGTGTTGTTTTGAGGAAACAAGTTGAAAGCATACGGTCGAGGATTCGTTCGTGATATCGAGCGAGAGAGAAGACGTCTTTTAGTTCCAAAGAGCAGGTGGAGAGTGCTGTTCGTTCTTCCTCTTCTAGCGGTTCTTCGTTTAGGTCTGCATCCCCTTCCTCCCCTTCCCCTCCCTCCCTTTTTGCATAAGGGTCAGCAGGGGAGGCGGCAGAGATAAGTTCCTCACCAACCTCCATCTTAACTCTCTCCAACCTCCGCATAAACCCAAGCCAATTTGCCTCTATCCCCACTTCATTTACAAATGCACCCCAAGTATCCAAAAAACAAGCTGCTTCCCATCGGAACCTCTCCATCAGCGCCCTACTCCTGCCATCAAATGTCAAAGCAGCCGAGGTGGATTTAAAGGTACAGTTGAATGCTGTACGCATTGCCACTTTACACCTTTTAATCCTCAACAACAAATTCCATAATCGCTGATACCGTGATTGCGCCACCTGCGTGAGTAGCGGAGAGATGAGGGCGGGAGGGTGGAAGGATAAAGTGAGCCAGTCTAGCGCGTCGATTGAAGATGGGTCTGTATATGTTGCTTTTCCTTTCTTCCCGCCTTTGTTTTGGGCAGTGCGAGTGGAAGCAGATCGCGGTTCGACGATGGCGAATGATAATCGCTCGTCTAGGTCTTTAAATGCAAGTGACACCGCGTCTTCCTTTGCTCGAACAGATCCGCTACTGGTGCGAGAGAGGCGATCTTCATGAGCCTGACGCATACCTGAGACTGTCTCAATGACGGCTGTGTTTAATGCGGAAGAGAGAAGCGAGTCGTTTGGTGGCCAGACTCCTTCTGCTGTTAAGCGTCGGTTCATTGCTACTACTGCTTTCCCACCGCCACCCTCGCCGGCGCCGTCTTCGAGCGCGGACCCATGATCTACATCGAACAAGCTAGAGACGACTTGACGTTCGAAATGAATGCTTCCGAGGAGGAGGAACCGCTTGCAGGTCTCCAGGTAGGTTCCCAGACCGAGGTCTTGGAAAAAGACGCTGATGAGGGACATGTTGATGAGCCGTGCCCAGGATTCAAATGGTGCAACGAGGCTGGATTGGGTTACTCTGTCGAATGAGTTCTGAGAGATGGAATGCGAGGTGTTGGAAGCGCACGCGGCGGTGGCGAGGTAGATGAGCAGAGAGGACTGCTCGTCGTCAGTTGGAGGAGTGCTGGTGTCGAATGTCGGCTTAGGTTGCAGGTCTGGGAGTGCTGAAGCAGAATCTGTGGGGTCGGTGATGCCGGGTAGAGCAGTGAAAAGCTGCGACATTCGTTCGAACTGATCTTGGGTCGAAGTGGCCGGCTCCATACTGTTGATCGTTGCTGTCTGTGAGATTGTCGCAGCAGCAGCACTTGGTTGATGATCGAGTAAGACGCTGGAGCTGAGAGGCGAACCATCCACGCCTACCCCAACACCGCTTACTTTCCGCCCCCGCCTTCTCCACCTAGCAATCTCACGCTTGAACTGCGTAATGTGCTCCTCGACCGCATTCACCTGCTCGCGGCTCTCTGGAGAGGACCACGTCCAAGTCGGCAACTCCACAGCCTTCCTTTTGCTCTCTTCTACCCGCAAAGACCACTGGCTCACAAGCGGATGATCTTCCGGAGCAGCCTTTTTGAGCAACCTCAACGCCCTACCTGCCTCCAAAAACGCTCTCGCATGTCGGAAAGCCAAAAAGCTGGGCACTGCAGAGGGCTTCAACGTATATCCTACATCCTCTTCTCCCCTTTCATCCAATGACCAGTCCACCAGTGCGCCACTCCAGGGTATAGAGATGTTAGCACCACTTGAGTTCGATCCAGCTTTGAGCGCTGCAGGTCTGTCATCCAGCTCTCCAGTCCGGTCAGACTGGAATCCAGGAAAGCCAATCCATCTCGCCACCTGTTGACGCCAAGTCAAACTCGTTCGATCCAACAAATACGCCAGCACCGCCGAAGGCAATGCATCGGCACCAGACGCAAGCGAAGCAGCAAGATGCGCATGCAGATGCGAAAGGGTCGCATGCGTCGACCCTAACCATGTCAGCGGGCGGAAGGGTGGAAATCGAGGCTGGCCACAGGAAAGGAGATTGCCGAGCGTCTTGAGAACAGCATAGCACGGTTCGAGCTCTGCGTACGCATTCAACATAGCCAGTGAGGTGGTATGGTGCGACGTGATGCGGCTTGTGAGGGTGGAAGTTTGAGATGTGAGTTGGCCCTTGAACCACGTTACGACGACATCGAGTGCGGCTACTAGAGCAGGAGCTTCGTTGCAAAGTCCAGCTGCAGAGCGATGGATGGTAAGAATGCGGTCATCGATACGACGCAAGAGCGCGCCAATGTCGAGGAAAGGACGGACGATGCTGTCTGATGCAGCTTCGCTCCAGCCCATGATGCGTTCTGAGCCGATCCATGGTTTCAGCATTGCTGTTGGAAGTGGCGGCTGCTCGTCGACGTGTTCGCCCGCAGCAGTGAGCGAGGCGTTGAGTGCGGATTGCTCTTTGACGAGTTTGCGTAGTCGACGCACTTCTTTGCGGTGCTGCAGCGTCGCAGACCAGACGAAGGATGCTGTGTCCGGATGCCATTGAAAGTGGTCGGATGACGTGCCTGTCGTGGCTGTGACGACGAGCGAGCGTAATACTTGGTGGGACGGATGCACGGGAGCCAGATGCTGGTCTGCAGATTGTTCTGGTTCGTTGATAGCTCTCTCGTGGATCGCTTCGAGCAGTGTTGTCCTTGGATGCGTGCTGGTGCCTTCTCCAAGGGCGAGGTCTAGCACTCGCTGCTTAGCGGACGAGCCTCTGAACTTGACCGTCGCGGGTTGAGCAGGCTGTTGAGAGTCATCGTCCCAAATGGAAGAGTCGAGCGTGTCCGAACTCGAACTAGACACAGATCTGCGTAGGGGACGTTTTGATGTTCCGGGAGAAGAGACAATGTCGACATCGCTATTAGAGAGACGGTCGAGGGTCGGGAACGGCGACGGCTGGGCTTTTGAGTTTGCTTGCTCGTCCTCGTACTGATAAGTAATGTCTCGTCTGGTGAATGAGTCGAGCACTGGGTCCAATCCTGGCCGACGATCGAGATGTAGTGGTTCGACACGGAGCGTGCTAAATGAAGCGATCGGTGATGAGGAAAGGAATGTTGAGGAGACGAGCTGATCGCGCAGCTTTGTTGAATCCAGGTTGAGAGGAGCAAGTGGTGGCACGTGTAACACGTCCAACCGCTCGAATGACATGATGCTGGCTAGGCTGATCCGATCTGGCCGACTGATCGAACGATTTTGGCTATGAGAGGCAATGCATGGTCGTCAGTTGTGCTGGTATGATGATGGCGTAGTCAGCGAGGCAGTTATTGATGGATGCGAAGCAACTCGAGGATAGTTGAGGTTCGACGCGGAACTCGGAAAGTCAAAAAAGTGTTGGTCTCGAACTTCTGAAAAGTGTTATCGTGCGAATGGAGACGTGCGCATTTTTCCAATGGCGAGCGAAGGGATCACGTGACCAGCACTCGTCCGGGTTAGGCGATTTAACATTCCTTTTTTTTCTCTCAATTTCTCAGCCTCCTTTTCCAACAACAATTTTCTCGCGTTGTCAAGGGCAATAAAAGGGCGATAAAGTCACGGTTGAGTAATTTACGCGCTCAACGCGTCAAAAACCGCGTTTCTCAAGATCGGCGATTTGATAATCTGTGACAGCTGAACACAAACATTTCTTCTTGTCCTCCTCGTCTCGCTCCTTGCATCCTCCTCATCGACTGAGCTACCTCACAATGCCAGTCCCAATCGAGCGTCTCGCTCCACCACCCTCTATGGACTCCTTCAATGACGACCTCGCCAAAACCTTCCTCGTCCCCCTTGGCTCCCGTTCCTACAGCAAACAATTCGCTCAACTGTACGACTACCGTCTAGCCTATCTCAAAAAACGCATCCTTCCACGCGCCCATTCCCGCTGGATCACCAACTTGGACTCATTCTTTCAATCTCAATCCCAACCTGGCTCCGAACTTGACCCTTCCCCCTCCTCCTCCTCCTCTGCACGGGGTAGAATGCGAATGGAAGATCCACCGAAACTCGTCGACCGTATCCTCGACATCCGGCAAGGCGAGATCTGTTATGTCGTCGGAAACATCTATTGCGCAATGCCACTCAAACCTGACGTGTTGGAGGATTTGACGCGGGAACAGTGGCTTGCTCCGCAACCGGTGCGGGCGAAGTTTGTGGATTATGCCAAGGATGAGCTGTTTATTGAGGATCAGAGTGGAAGGGTTAAACTGGTGGGGGAGGCGATAAGGGGTGGCACTGCCTTAAGGGAGATGTTGATCACCGGGGTGGTGGCTGCTGTCTTGGGGACGGAGACGAGAGCGGGGGATTTCGATGTGGTGGATGCTGTGTTTGCTTCCCTTCCCTCTCCTGCTAAGGCAGCGAGCAGTGGGAGGGATGGGAAAGCAAAAGGGGAGAGTGGGGGGACGGATCAATGGGTAGTGCTGATCAGTGGCTTATCCCTTGGTGGGGGAGAGAGCGAACTGGATTCTGAACTCTCTCTGCAACTCTTAGTCGAGTATCTGACGGGTGAACTCGGGTCGGATTCGGATCGCAGTTCCACATCCTCCATCGTAGCAGCCATTATCGCAGGCAACTCTTTAGCCCCTCAGACGCGAAACGAAGATGAAGAATCATGCAAACCCAAACGTTACGGTCAGGACCAACCGACGTTCTCCTCCGCACCTACTCTAGCTCTCGATCAGCTGCTTACGGATCTTTGTAGCGCTATGCCAGTCCACCTGCTCCCTGGTGAAAAAGATCCTGCTTCAGTAGCAATCCCTCAACAACCCATCCATTTCGCACTACTCCCCAGAGCGGGTAGATTCGATTCGCTACACAGACATACGAACCCAGCATGGCTCAGGATCGGCGGTAAAAAGCTACTTGGCACAGCGGGGCAGAACATCGATGACATTTTCAAATACGTACAGCAAGCCGACGACGGTAGGTTGGAGATGGCCGCCCGAACCCTCGAATGGGGCCATTTAGCTCCTACTGCACCCGACACGCTGTGGTGCTATCCGTTTAAAAGTACGGATCCGTTCGTGTTAAAGGAAAGACCAGATGTGATGTTCGTTGGGAACCAGCCAAAGTATGCCAGCGCAGTGTATAGGTATGACGATGACGAGGCGGACGAGAATTCGCAGGAAAATGCGCAGGATAAGGGCTGTAGAGTAGTCCTAATTCCGCAATTTGCAAAGACGAAACAAGTGGTTTTGCTCAACCTCGCTTCGTTAGAGACGAAGCTGGTTTGCGTCGAAACGCCGCTGTAGGACCTCTGCTCAGCTGAAATTCAACGTTTCAAACAGCGTTCCTCAGAGGTGTGTTTGTGTTCCGTGCGAATTGCATTCATGGTATTGCGATCGAGGCGGAGGTGGAGGGGGGGACCAACATCGCTTATCCGCTCCCAAACGTTTCTCTGTCTTCGTAGAGCATTTCCTGCGTCGACTAGGGCACTTTGTTCGCCTTGATCGCAGATGTCGAGGTTTGTATACTGACCTCCTGCGTTATTGATTAGGTCTCGGAGTGCGTCCCATTCGTCCAACACTACGGCTGCCAATACGGTTGGGTGGATGATTGGGACGTTTAAGCTTGCATCTGATTCGCTTTGCAAATCCTCAAGTGTTGCGTCTAGGCCTGCGGCTAGACCTCCTGTCGGGTCCGTTGGAGCGAGAGGGGTAGATGGTTGTGGGTAGAATGGATAGGCATCCGATAGCAGATGTCGGAATTCCAAACACCTGTTGTAGGCGGTTTGGATCGTAAGCCGTCTGAACTTGTCGTTTTTGCTAGGACGAGCGGGTGCGAGACCCTCGCTGAGTTCAAGTGCCGATAGATCCGACCAGACTTGGCCGAGTGTAGGGATAATCTCCTCCTCCATCATTCTCCCCAGTGCAGGAGGCTGAGTAGAGAGGCCGGTCCCTACTTCCGAGTTGGTTGTTGCTGAAGTCGTGGGCTCCGACCCTGGTGGGGGCGGTCCAAAATGTCTCCTCGGTCTCTGCAACAGTCTCCTCAACACTCTACTATCCCTACTAATATCGCCATAATCCTTTGGAGCGCTCCACACCAACCACTCCAACTCGGCCAGCGTCCTTATCTGATCCGCCTCTTCAAAGGCCAAATTTGTATCTACAATCCTCAACACCTTCACCTTCCTAAATATCGGTGCTGAAAAGCCTGCTACAAAGCTATGCGGATTGATACTAGTCAACCTCACAGGCTGACAGGCCGAACCGTAGGTATGGGCTGCATGCAAACTCAACAGTTCCCCCGCCAGCGCTACATCTTGCAGCTTGCGACAGGAACGGAGAATTGTGCGGACCGATGTGTGGATATGCTCCCGCATATCTGTGATATAGCCTGCTTCGTTGTAACAAGGTGGGGAGAGGGCGGTGATTAGGTCGGAAGAGGAAGAATCGGGACCGACCCAGAGCCGGCGGACATGACGGGCGAGTTTGGGGTTTGACTTGACGAGGGAGGCGAAGGAATGGATGGCGTTCGAGGAGACGAGGGTGATGGTGGAGTAGATAAAGGGGGAGAGGTGGGAGGTGTAGTATTTGGAGAGGAGGAGCAAGGTTAGTTTTTGACGAGGTTGGAAGGAGGTCGATGCTGCGAATTCGAGGATGGAGGTGATTAGTTCTTGTGGGAGGGGTGAGGCGAGGGATCGGAGTCGAGAGGCAGCTTGATCGGTGACGGTGCAAGCTGTGGAGGTTGCAGCGCCGCCGCCGGGGGAGCTGAGCTTTGTTGGTGCGGGCACCATGCTTGCCATGTTTTAAGCTGCAGGATACTATGGCGACATCCCTACTGCTGTCGATCGCGAAAGCTGTTATCAAGGCAAAGGTGTTGGTTGGTTGTATGGTGGCAAGCCAGAGTTTGTCAGATGCCAGAAGCATTGCAAATAAGACTCGCTTTCCTCCACTTGTCCGTTTCCCGAATTCCGATTCCCGCTTTCCTCGGCTATATCCCTTAGAATCGGGCATTCCCGATCCAAAAGTCCGGCTCAGGGTTCAGACACATTCTCAAACTCAGCCTGCCACCTTCATTGCCACCTTGCCCACTTGCCACCATCACCACCATCTCCATTCCTCCTCCCAAACTACATCGTACTCGCCGCACGCAGCACCCCTCCCTCTCCTTGCCGCCATGGCAGACCGTAAAGCGCTCAACCACTACTATCCACCCGACTTCGATCCATCCAAAATCCCACGTCGTAAACAAAGCAAAGATGCACAACAAACTGTTCGTCTCATGGCTCCCTTCTCAATGCGCTGCCTCCTCTGTGGCGAGTACATCTACAAAGGCAAAAAATTCAACGCTCGAAAAGAGCTCGTTCTTGGAGAAGACTATTACGGGATCAAAATCTTTCGGTTTTATATCAAGTGCACACAATGTTCGGCTGAAATCACGTTCAAAACCGATCCTAAAAATGCCGACTATGTTGCCGAACACGGCGCGAGCCGCAACTTCATCCCGACCAAAGATGACGGTGGAGGAGAGGAGAAGGGGGAGAGTGGAAGACTGTTGACGGAGGAAGAAAAGTTGGAGAGCAAGTTGGAAAAGATGCAAGCCGATCCGATGAAACAGTTGGAAGAGAGGACGATGGATAGTAGGAGGGAGATGGAGATTCTGGATGCGCTGCAGGATATAAGGACGAGGAATGCGAGGTTGGAGAGGGTGGATGCTGAGGCTGTGTTGGCGAGCTTGCATGGTGGTGGTGGTGGTGGTGGTCTGAGAAAAGCGGAGCGTGGAGCGGGAGGAGGCGAAGAGGGGAACTTGGAAGAGAAGGAGAGGCGGAAGGCAGAAGAAGAGGATGAAGAGTTGGTGAACAAGTACTTTGGTAAAGCGTTGGACTCAAACGGCGGCGATAGTAGATTGAAGGTGAAAAGGAAGCTGGAGAATGAGACCGAGGCTGAACCTGATGTGCATACTTTGTTGGCGATGAAAGGTGCGGCGGTTGCGACGGCACCGACACCATCGTCAAAGAAGAAGAAGAACGGACGTAATGCACTTGGCCTTGTTCGAAAGAAGAAGTAAGCCTTGTACTCTGGCTCAGCATTGCATCAATATACGCCTGACGATCTCTCGCAATGGAGTCGTTTCCTGTTGCTCGCATCACTCATGCTTGCTGGAAGATGAGTCTGAACAACGAGCTGATCGTGTCTGCTTGCATCCCAGCTCCCTCCTCGCTTTTCCACAGCGAGACTCGCTCTTCTCACACCACAAGCAAACATCAAACGCAGGATGAACGAACAACGAAACAAAGGAACGAGATCAACACCAAGCACCAAGCACGAAATTCGAAAACGAGTGTATAACAGCAACCAAAAAGGGAGGGGACCTAAACAAAGAATGTGTACAGCATAGTCATGGAAAACCAAAAGCAAACCGAAAACCTAAAAGAACCAATGTCGAGGAGGAGAGGAGGGATGCGAGACCAAGGTGCGACCATATCAGAGAGTGTGTGTGTTGTGCTGGTGGTGGGAGGAGTGGAGTGGGGGGGGGCAAGTATGTGCGACTGAACAAAGCTACAACGTTGACAAGGTGAAGGGGGTTCAGCTTGAGTCCTGCATACTTGCCAAAGAGTGTTTCTACTATCGCTCGCTATCTTGCTCTCTCAAATGCCAACCCGACTCTTCATCGGACAGTAGGCCTCTCCTACTACCACCTCTACTACTCGCCCTGGCACCTCCACCGCCCGCGGCGGCAGCCGACGCAAGGGGCCCGCCTGCCACCCTATCCTCGCTATCCACCGAAAGCGGTCTACCAGCGATCTGACTTTCCTCATCTTGGCTTCTTTCCGCCATTCCGCCGTAAGCTGTACCTCTTCTACCCCTACTACCTAGCGAGATTGGAGCGGTGGATGCGCTCGATTCCATTTCTGGATCTGCATAGGCTGCTCCTCTTCTGCCCCCCCGACCACTGCTGCCTCTACCTGAACTTGAAGCGGCGGAAGTAGTAGGGCTACGTCGACCGGTATCGCGGTAACTAGTCGCACCCAAAGCTGCAGCGCGAGGAGGGGAAGAGGGGGAAATGGCGGCTTGACGTTGGGTTTGTTTTGCTTGTTGAGCGTAGTTGTACGCGCGTCTACCCCATTCAAAGTGAGGTTCGTTCAGACTCTCTTGATCGAGTAGGAGGAAGATGTAGAGGCCGTAGAAAGTTTCGATGACGAATAGAAACGCTTGTACACCAAAGGTGGCGTAGGCGAATCCAACCGCATAGTTGATAAGATCGCAAACATGGTTGAAATCCTCAGGCTTCTCATAATGCCAGTATGAATCAAACTGACAGTTTTCCTTTCCCCTAAGATCGCAGGCATATGCTAGTGCACCTGATATCCAGAGAACGCACATTGCGAATTGGAGCAGCAGCTCGATCTTTACCATGAACAAGGAGTAAAGGAAATCGCCGTAGTTGATAAACGGCATCAAAGGGAGGAAGATGTTGTATCCGAAATAGATCATCGGAGTCAAGAGGCCGAGGACGATGAGGAAGATCAGAGATCCCCATGAAGGTCGGATAATGGGATCATGAGAGTTGTAGTAATCGACGACGAGAATGCAGATGATTGCGGTGGCGAGGGAGAGGAGGCAGACGAGACCGGTGACGAGGAATCGGACGACTAGCATTAGGTTTGGATGGGGAGCGGGGGGCAGTTTGGCGGAGGTGGGTTGGGAGACTGTTAGGGAACGACGGGTTGGCATACGCATGGTGGAAGAGGCAAGCGAGTTGACGCTGGGCGTGTCAACTAGCTGGGAGAGAAGGTGGTAAACCGGATCAGCGTTGAAAGAAGGGAGAAGAGGAGATTAGGGACGGTCTCGAGGGTAAGGGATATACGGACGGATGGATGGATGAAGACAGGAGGGAGGGAGGAAAGATGATTACGACGAGCACAAGTACAACGAAGCTCTCAACCTACGGACCAAAGGGGGGTTGGGGGGGGGGGGGGGGGGGCTCACGAAGAGGGCAGGGATGTATCATCCACCGTTGGGCAAAGCGGAGCGGGGAATCGCACCTCGCTCTCATCATCGACAAGGGCTCGACCACCAGCCTGCACTTGGGCCGTAGAGGGGAAGCGGGGAAATCGCCCTCTACCTTCGCTCAGCCGTTTCAACCAACTCAGTTGGACCATCCATCCAACCCATCCATCCATCCAACCCATCCAACCAACCATCCAATTGAAAAGAGCTGGGCGTTTGGCTTGGGTCTCTCGCTTAGCATCCGTTGTTGCAGTCTGATTGCAGAGGAGATGGAGCTAAGCGAGGTTTATTCGAAAACAAAAAGAAAAAGAAAAAAGAAAAAGAAAAAGAAAAGGAAAAAGAAAAAGAAAAAGAAAAAGAAAAGAAAAGGAAAAGGAAAAGGAAAAGGAAAAGGAAAAGGAAAAGGAAAAGGAAAAGGAAAAGGAAAAGGAAAAGGAAAAAGAAAAAGAAAAAGAAAAAAGAAAAGAAAAAGAAAAAGAAAAAAGAAAAGAAAAGAAAAAAGATTTTCAATCAACCCAAGCACACACACACTCGAAGCAGTCCGAGCGCACAATTCGACAGACATCAGCCTTGGCGCTGGAAGTGAGAGGGTGCGATTTGGCTATGCAAGAGAAGGATTCTGCTCCCGCAATTCCCAAATTCTGCAACGCTCCTTCCTCTTCCTCTCCCCTTACAACATTTGCTCTTGGGCCTCCTTTCTATGGTGCAAGTGGATGAGATTGTGGACCGTGCTAATACAAGATCAGGCTCGTGCGCGATTGAGCTTGGCTAAGCGAGTAGCTGCGAGCATGGGGGTGAATGCGAGAGACACCTCTCGTGCGAGATTCGTACGCCTCTCTCGCCTTTTGGCGGCGCTTGTGTTTTCGTATCCAAGTGATCCGATGTGATCGGGTTGGAGTTGGGCCCGATTCAATCACTTCCCTTGCCTTGGTCGACGAGGTGTCGCCCATGAGACACAAACAAACCCATATCGCACTCAAACCAACATTCATGGTAGCATCTGTTTCAACAACTGAACCATCTATAAAAGCTTGGCGAAAGGGGGAAGGGGGTTAGGGCAAAGCATCAAAATCACCCAAACTATCCACAACATAATCCGGCACAGTCTTTGCCCCCACACCCTGTATCTCGTCCAAGCTACTGATCCCGGTAAGCACCAAGAGACTTGCGATGCCACCTTGCTTGGCAAATTCGATATCCGTGTCCAACCTGTCCCCGACCATGATGGCTCTTTTCGGATCGAAATGTTTGGTTGCGATGATGCAGTCTAGCATCGGTTTGTGCGGCTTGCCCACAATCGTTGGTGTTCTTTTCGTCGAAAAGACTAGTGGGGCGGAGAGAGATCCTGCACCTGGCCAAGGTCCACCTTTGGCTGGGAATGTCGAATCGTCGTTGGTCAAGATGAAATGACAACCACCACCCGAACAGTTTGCTTCGACGGGCCCGTCAAACCCGGGCCTGGTGAGGTGTTTGAACGCTTTAGCGAGTTTCAGATAGGACATGTGCATGTCGAATCCGCACACCACTGCTCCAACCTTTGGATCGATAGCGTCTTCGGTTTGGAGAGAGGTAAAGTCTAGGGCTGGTAAGAACTTGTTATCCTCGGCATTCGTTCCTCCGCAGTGCTGGATGCCGAGAGCGTCGAGTTCTTCTTCAATTCCATGCATGCCGATTACATATACCTTCCGGTCCGAGGGGAACTTGAGCACCTTTTGAAGATAGACAGCAGAGGCGTATGAAGAGGAAAAGACTTGATCGATATCAGCTTGAATGCGTAAACTCGCAAACTTCTCGAGGTATGTAGCCCGAGATTTGGCCGCATTGTTGGTGACAAAGATGATCTCTTTCCCACGGCAACCAAGTTTTTCGAGGACGGAAACGACTCCGGGGATCGTTTCGTCGCCTGACCAAAGAACTCCGTCGCAGTCGAATAGGAAGGTGTCGTATGCCGAGAGGAGAGATTCGTAGTCGGCGGTATTTTGGAGGTGTTTGTATCCAGTAGCGGCGTTGCTTTCGTTGGTGGCAGCAGTAGCCACGGCGGCGGTCGAGCCACCAACAACAGCAGCAGTAGCAGGGATTGTGGCCCCTTGTTTTCCCTCGTCTGTCAGCTGTGTAGCAGCAATTCTATCCGCATGTCTTTCTACCGCATGTCTTTCTACCGCATGTCTTTCTATCGCATCTCCGTTCACCTCCTCCTTCTTCCCCGTCCGACTTCCATCCTCAGCAATACCGCCAATCCTTAGAAGTGTATCCCAATAGGTCTTAAAATCCCATTCATAATTATACCTCCCTCCTGCGAACTCTGCATCCAATTGCTCTTTCGGCACGTACTCTGTCAGATTCGCATTGAACTTGATCTTTTCCTTCGTCACCGGGTCCAAGAACGGCGTGACTGCGCTGAAGAAAGCATTGATGAACCAAGGCACGTTCACTATAAACGCCTTGCCCAATCTCTCGACATAGTGATTCTGCAGAATGTTGGCCACTGTCCTCGCCGTCGAAAGCGAAGGGTTCGATTGCGAAGTAGCAGATTTGTAGTCGATCACGATTGCATAGTTCTCCACACCTTGAGGCATCATATCGATCGCCCGCTCCAAAGTGTATACGAGGTAACGGACCTGATCGTTAGAGGGACAAGTGTTCTCACGAGCAGGGCGAAGGTATATGAGGGGACGACCTTCGTTGTCGAACCCAGAAACGACCTGTTTGCCTGTTTCAGCCTCGTGTGCTACACTTGATGGGGGAATCAAATCGGGTTTGAATGAGCGGCGCCATTCGAGCGTGGACTGCAAGCGTTTCTTGGCGTTCTGGAGATCACCTTTTGCAGCGCGGAGGTAGCGTTGGTAGAGATTGTATTCAGAGAGCCATTTGTTTTCCCAAGGCGCATAGTCGGAGCGAGGGGGGTTGGTGGAGGCGAAGGAACGAATGAAGGTTTCGAGCTCGGTAAGTTTCGTTTGTTGGTCAGAGGTGAGGGTGGGCAGTGGTTTGGGCGTGCATCCGGGAGCAGGGGTGGTGAGGATGGAAGAGGTTTTAGGGGGGAGTGGTTGCGAGGAGGAGGAGGAAGAGGGGGAGGAGGAATCGACGGTGGAGATGGATTGGGAGGAAGGGGTGCGTGACAGTCTGCCTAGGAAGCGCGACATTGCGAGTCGATGCCGCGCTGGTACTTGAGATTAGGCTCGAGTAGGACAAGGAGGGAGGGATGGAGCAGAAGTGCCTATGGTGGTGGTGGTGATGACGATGGTGAGAAGTCCCCCACTTTGATGATGCTGTGTCAGATATAATCTCTGCGTTTGCGAAGGATCGATTAAGCAAGGGTCAATGCTCAGCTTACTCGGCCGGGAAATGTGTGGCAGATCGGGACACATATCGGCGATTCCACCTGGATCTCCACGGCAAGCTGAGCTGCTGCAGGGACCAAGACAAAAAGACACTCCGCTCATCTCAGTTAGGGTAATCCATCGACATGATCACCAACAACCATCATCGGTAGAAGACATCTAAGTCGAGCATTCATATCCCATCACCAACCTCGCACAACCCGCTTTTATCCGCGGGCAAGGATGACAGACACCGACACAGGCAACCTGATCCACGACCTCCTCTCGGACTTCATCCCCTACCCTTTATTCCGCATCCTCGCCGGCTTCTCAAATCTAATCTACCGTCTCCTCGGTTCCTCAAACGATCCATCATCTTGGTCCTCCACTCTTCTTCCACCTCTCGTCACGCTATGTCTCGCCTACTTTGCACTCCTCGCAGCATATCGGACGGTGAGAAACATGCTTTCGTTGGCATGGTTCGGGATGAAATGGGGAGCGATCATCGGTGGCGCAATTGCGGTGTGGGCTTGGTGGACTGAGAATGGGGATGCGGTGAATAGTACCGGTGTTAATCAGGGAAGGGGAAATGCCGGGTTGATTGGTCAACGTAAGTACAAATTCTTCGGCTGAGTGGGTCTGAGAGAGGACAGAGGCTGATTCTGTTGCGTGATGGGAGGAAAACAGTGTTTGGGGGCAAACGCTGACGAGAAGATCTTGCTTCATTCGAATTGCTACGCAGTGCAAGGCTTGAGTCCAATGTTTAATACGCTCTACACTCAACTTCCGGGGTTAGCAGGCGGTGCCGGTGGTGCTTCGCCGTATAACAAGCGCCGAACGAACAGGAGAAGAGGCAATACGAGATCTCGCACAGGCAACAATCAAGACTCCTTCTCCCTCGATCCTACCGCGGATCTTCCGGATGATTTGGGAGCGGGTTTTGGCGCATTCGCTGATATGTTCGGTCGCAATTCCCGCTCCACTACCTCTGATACTGATTCTGGGGTTGATTTCTCCTCGCTCCTCCGCACGCTAGTGACCGAAGGGCAGAGACAAGGAATTGACGCGCTCTCAGCGCTTCGTGCTGCCGGAAGGGTTCAAGAGGAGCTACGCAGGTTCCAGGCAGATCCAACAGGGTGGTTTGATGGTGTTAGTGACCGCTTTCGCACCTCTAACCCCCAAGTAGGAGGTGCTGGGGCTGACAATATAAGATCAAATACAAGAGCGAGAACGAGAGCTGCTAGAGGTGGTGCAAACGTAGCAGACGACAATTCATGGTGGGCTAATGTTGCTGCTGGAGTAGAAGGATTCTTCAAAGCTGATCCAGACGCTGCGCCTCAAGCTGGTGCTCGTCAAAGACCTACTCACACATAACCAGCCATTATCTGCATGGCGTATCTTTTACTGTGCGAATGTACATCTATTACAACGCGATCAGTCGTTGCTGGTTTCACAGATCTCTTCCAAGCCTGGAACTTTATCTGTTCGAACTGCCAACCGTTTGGCGATTGCCATTGCTACCTTTTGCACTGATTCCACGTCTTCTCGTGTCCACCCAGCTCGCAAGGCCCCACGCATATGCCAAAGCACCTCAACCCTGCAATTCTGTGTTATCAGTGCAGCTAGAACGACCAACTCTGTCTCTCTCCAATCTATCACCTCTTCATTGCTCAGGTTGAATCCGTAGTTGATTTCGAGGGTGAGGAATTTGAGATCTTGCATGTTCTCGCCCATTTTCCTGTCTAGGATGTCGGGTAGGTTGTGTTTGTAGATCCTATCCAAAGCTACGCGGGCTGGGTGGGTGAGGGAGGAGATGGGTTGGGAAACAGTTGAAGAGCGGATGAAATCGGATGATGTTAGCAGGGGTTCGTTGTTTTCGCGAAGGAAGGAAAGTAGGGCGAAGATGGTGTCTAGGGATGGAGGGATGCCGAATAGAACCGAGCCTTTTACGAGGCTTTCTTGGATTCGACGCTGAACGAACTTGGATTCTACAGGATCGCTGGGAGTAGAAGAGGTTTGAGATTTGCATAGGGCAAGTTTGTAGAGAGATACGATCGATTCCGGTCCATGGTGACAAGATACAAGCGCGCAAGTAAGAACAATCAGCCAAGTAGGTGAATCGCGAATCGCAGGGGAAAGCTGGGTGCGGAAATGGAGGATCTCTTCCGAAGTTATGTTTGGCGGGACCAATGCGGTTGGTATGGATGGGGCCATTTTGGTTCTGCGCTCCGGACAGGTGGCGTCCTTGGAGATAGTTGGCGGCAGTATGTCAATGACTGAAGGATGCAAGGTAGATGAGAAAGCGAGTTGGCCACTCGATAGAGGAGGCTACAAAACATGAGTATATATACCTTATCACCGCCGCTTACACTCGCTGTGTTGCTCGAGAGGAGTCGTGTTTCCTTTCCCACATAACTCTCTAGACCGTCTGTCCAGTGACAACCCGCTTTCATAGCCGTTGCCATGTCAACGCAAAGCTCGGCGCCATCCCTCGAGAGTAAGCGGCGCACGTTCTCACGAACTTGGCCCCTATCTCGGTTGCGCCAACATGCTGCAAAGTGCGACTTATCTTCAGCTAGGCAAAGATCAAGGGTTGAAAAGCTGCACTTTCAGAGGCTTCGATTCGGGTGCTTTTGCAAGCCGACTGCAAACATGAGCATCAACCCTTGCACTCGCCGCTACTCACACCATCTCCTCACATCAGCAATCACAGCTCTTGACACGCTTACGATGATGGCATGCATAGGATGTCTGTTTGTTCTTATTGTGCTATTCAAATCCCCATCTGTCGCTTCATCCCCAACCAAACTGCAAAGCTTATACTTGTCATTGGAACCACCTTGAGAAAGCCAATGGTCAAGCCCACGTAAAAGCCTCTGCAACCACTGGTTTTATAAATCCATCCTGCTGTTTCCCACATTCCCAACATGGCGCCTGGTCTAATTATGCCTCCTACCTGTTGTCTTCTTCTTATCACTTCAAATGGATATGCTGCTGTTTGTGAGAGCGCACCTGCGAGAGCTCCCGCTGAGAGATCGACAAGAGTTTTGCTCGGCCAATACCACTGTCTTCTACTTCCCCAAGTATCTGCTGATGGTTCTGAAGACGGGAACAAATCCTGGAGAAGAGTTTTACATCGGCCAAAAACAAGGAAAGATGTTCCAGCATAAGGGATCATTCCCATTACAGTTACGCTAAAGCCTCGGTAGAATTTGAGGATGGGATGTTTGGATAGCAGTTTATTTCCTGCTGGTACGGCGGATGATGGGAGGTGTGGATCTGTTGCGCGAAGGGCAGATTGCAAAGTGCTGGTTGAACTTGAGCCTGATACAGCTGCGGTGGCGGAGGTGGAAAGGTAGGCTTGCTGTGTCATCCTTGCCGCTCTTTTGCGGGCGTCACTACTGAATGGTGCTTCGGTTGCTCCTTCTCGATAGATCATTGCTATAATCCTCCTCAACCCGCCCTTCTGCCTCTTTCGCTTTGTTTCAAATGCCAATCTAACCCTGATCAATTCCAAGGGATAGGTGAGGAACACTGACAAGACACCACTTGCTGAGCCTGCCAAGAACAACCTCGCTGAGGTCTCCATCTCCTTGGTAGGCATTAGGTAGAAATGCAACTTGTCATAAGCCATGTACTTGATGGCCGCATAAGGAAAGATTCGCATCAACGTCGCACTGTGTCCTTGAAACAAAGCGCAAGGTCCATCGGATCGAACAATGTCTCGTCCTGCTTGGAAGACGCCTAGCCACTTGCCCGAGTACTTTTGAAACTCGGGGTTCTGGGCTTGAAAGAGGATCTTGACTCGATCGAGCGGGGCGATGGCGGATTTGGCGACACAACCGGCAATCCCGCCTGCGAAGCCTGAGCGCAGAACGTAGTTCCATGAGGTTTTGTCGGTGGTCTCGCCCAGAAAGGAGCGTGGTTGGGGGAGAGACGCTGCGGATGCTGAAGGTGCGAGGGATGGTGGAGAGGTGGATATTGAGAATGCTTCTTGAGTGTGGTCGTATGCTGCCGCCTGTGGCTGTTGGTTTGGATGGGAGAGAAGGGTGGAATTGGTCTCACACAATAGTGGATGTGTGGGACGTGGTGCTGCCATCCTGGGCGAGCTACTCTGTGATGGATGCAGTCCGCTCCTGCTACCCTGACTGGGTCAGAATACGGCTTCCAATCGATCTCAAGGGAACCCGAGTCGTGATGATCCAATGCTAGTAGAGACTTGATATGGTCCTGAAGCGTGTGAGCGGTGCCGAGGAGGTGCTCAGTTGTTCCGGGTCGTGCCAAGTTGATGACCGTGTCAAAGCCGAAGAAGGTCCTGGCATTCGGGTGTGGTGTTCTTCCAGCGGGCTGCTGAGTCGCGGGTGCAGCTGATCGTTGTTGTGCGACGGTCGTTATTCGAAGCCTGTCTCGTCTGCCGTCGACAGTCGAGCTGTATGTGTTGGTGGAGAGAAGGCTGAGTCAAAAGAGTCAAGATCTTGTGTGTGTGTGTGTGGAGAGAGAGAGAGAGGTGTTTTCAACGGGAAATTTGATTGCCATTTCCCGCGCCTTTCAACGGTCACTTATCGCCCTTTTATCGCGCGTGACAACGCGTGAAAATTTGTTGGCAAGGAAAGAATGTTAAATCGACTACCTCGAGTGAGCCTTGGTCACCTGCCCCTTGGCTCACCATTGAAAAATGCTCATCTATCCATTCGCACGATAGTGCGCAAAAGGGGAAAAACAGAAAAGCCGAAAGATGCGATCTCACATTGCCCATTTATGAGAAACAGATTTCTTGGCACGTGATAGCCTGAACCTGACAAAACACACCCGCACGCCTCAACTATGCCCCATGCCCCCCTCACTATGCAATACCATATGATTATTACATACCCGACTCATGCATGAGGTCTGATGACCACTCTCGCCCAGAAGAAAAGCAAACGCGCCATCATCGCCAACAGTCTGCAACCGCTCCGTCGACTGCGACAAAAAGTGTCCTCGGCGAGAGTCGAACTCGCGATCTTAGGATATCTGAACGCATTGCTGCAATTCGTAGGTTGATTCCTGCTAAACAGGATCGTTGGTATGAGACCTACGCCCTAACCAACTAGGCCACGAAGACAGTATTTCCCACGCAGCTTTGGCATTGCAAACATGTTGGGGTGTGCTGTTTTGTCTCGAATTTGTCCATCTTTGTGCTTTTCACTTGGTCTCGTCGAGCTGATTCAGAGGATGTTTGAGGTGGATAAAGAGAATGATATTGCAACACGAAACAGAGAGGATAGCAGGTTGCTTTTTAGATGGAGCCATAATCACTAACCAACTTGGCTACGCCATTGGCTAGCGGTGCAAGTTCAGAGTTGATGGCACATTCAGCGTAGACGCGGACACAATCTTCGGTTCCAGAAGGTCTAACAAAACTCCTAGCATCTTTATACTTGCCCACCAATTCATCTATCCTCTCCTGCAGTCCTGCTGGACTGATCAACCTGCGCTCTGCATCTTGGGTTTTGAAGAGGAACCTATCTTTGACGCTGACTTTGAGGATTTTATTGGGTAGATCTTGGTATGCTGCATCCCATTCCACCGGTCCCCACTGTCGAGACCTGAGGATTACTTCGACGAGCAGCATGTCTGAGATTGCGTCTCCCACGGTTTGGTTAATCAGATCGATCAGAGCCGAGAGTTGGTCGAGTGCCGTTTGTGCTGCAGGAGAGCAAGGCGTGCAATCGCGAATCTTTCGTTGGGCAGAGGGAGAGAAGAGGATCGTTCCGTGTCCGTTTGCTTCGAAATATACACCAATGTCGAAAGATTCGGCTGCATGGTGTAGATGTTTTACACCGGTAGGGGTGCAAGTTACAGGGACACGCTGTTGGAGGTATTTTGTAGAGGAGCCGTTGGCGTAGGCGGTTTGAACACACCCTAGTTCGAGATTGATTCCTGCTGCTTTGACCAACTCGGATAGATATCCAGCGGCTAGGGAGGCGATTTTATCTCCATCCAACAACCTAAATGAATCCTTTGCACCAGGGGGTCCGGTGAGGTAATAGTATACGATACGATCTGCGTCTCCATCGAATGAACATAGACGTTGACCGGGGTGGAGGTTTTCTTTTTCGAAACCGATGGGCAGACTTTGGTTAGTTTTGACATAGTCTGCACCACATCCGTTGTTCAACGCTCCGGGAGTGGTGGTGTTTGTGCGGAGAGGACGGAATGCGATTTGATCTTCAGGAAGGTACTTGATGAGATTGGTGAGCGCGTACGCGCCAACACCGTTAGCACAATCGACTACGAGAGGTGGAAGGTCTGATTTGGCTGGAACTAGCTTCAAAAATGCCGCGGCCAACTTTTTGTAATAACCTTGCTCGGTAGCTTCACCATAACTATCGGGCGTTCCTTGGGTGTTTAAACATCTTACCAAGTAATGCAGCTGAGGAGTCGTCTTCAACCCAGCATCGGTGGTTTGTGCACCCATAGCGCTCAAGCCGTCGACAATCGCCTCGACCAAAGACTTGCAGCTAGGCCTGGTATCGTATGCGACCATAACACTTGCTGGTTGAGTAAGGTCGATCTTGAAATGCGACACCAGCTTCTCTAGGGCAGCAATGAGATCTTGGTCGGTGACGGCGTTGGCGATGGTGGTGCAGAAGGGTTCCCAACTGGATTCAAGCATTTCTCCTCTTGGATCGACCATTTTGACACCATTATCGTGTTCAGGGTTGTGGGAAGCGGTGACCATAAGACCGATGCTTTTGCCTTTGAGTTTTTTGGAGCGGAGAGCACCTATGAGTCCGATGCGGAAGCAGGTGGAATCAAGCATGTCGGCGCGAGTACGGAGACCGGCGGTACCGTAGGTGAAGGTTTGGTTGATGGGTTTCGGGTGCGATTGGGAAGCGGTGGTGATGAGCTGGATGGGCAGGCCTTCACCGAGGTGGGCGCTTGCGGCGGAGAGGGTGGTTGGGAGAGTCATTGTTGCGTAGAGGCAGTGAAGATGGCTGTTGGGGGGGAGGGAAGGCAACGGTTGCGCTGATCAGTATGGAAAACAGGTGTGTGTGTGTGTTGTTCTCGCTTGGGCCTCTTTTTTATTTATTTTTCTTCTCTCGATGAACTGGCGTCGGTATTATATTTGTGTGTTAGATTTTGATGAGCAATCGGATCGGACCGGACCAGATCGGACCAGATCGGACCAGATCGGACCAGATCGGACCAGATCGGATCGGGCTCTGTACTCACTTTGTGCCCAAAGTAAGATCAGATCGCCTCTCGTTCAAAGGTAAAGTCTGAGGCTAGAGAGGTGCAAAGCATCTTGAGCTGTCACAGCGCAACTCAACAATGACAGGTGGCTACCATCCAAAGCTGCTGTTCGTCGAGGGCAAGCTGTGGATTGGAGGGCAGGGCACAGGAGCAGACAACAGAGGGCGACGTTTGTGCTGTTTGTGTCTCTCTGCTGACGATTTGCGCTGTCTGCTAAAATGGAAAAAGGCGCAGTTGACAGTTTTGTGTCATCGTCATGATCATTCGCATTGCTTCTTGTGTTCTGCTCGCGACCATCATCCTCGACATCGACCTCTTCTTTTGAGTCGATCGCGGCAAGCTAGCAACAACCACGGACAGTAAGATACAGAAGCCACCCTCGCTTCTAGGCACAAACAACTCACTCTAGGGCCGTCGCCATGGCTTCAACACAAAATGGCGCCAACGCCGCACCGCCATCACTCCACATCAGTCCACCTGGCGCCCAGGATTACACCAGCTCCTCCGTCCACACTTCAGGTTCTGGCGCGCCACCACCGGTCAAACGGCCACCGCACGGTCGAGCTCGTTCTTCCTCGCTCGTCTCCGTCACCCGAGTGGAAGAAACTGCCGAAGAACTCATCGACCAATCCACCGGTTTCAACGCCAACGCTGATTGGGTCAACTACAAAGGCGCCTGGGTCATCCACGTTGTTCTCATCCTTCTCGCCAAAATCCTCCTCGACGTCATCCCCGCTATGCAACAAGACACTTCCTGGACCCTCGTCAATCTTGGCTACATGGCCCTTTCCTATCTCATGTTCCACTATGTCACTGGAACACCGTTCGAGTCCAACGCTGGTGCATACGACCAGTTGACTCTGTGGGAACAGATCGACGAAGGTGCACAGTATACACCTGCCAAGAAATGGTTGACCAGCGTTCCGATCGGCTTGTTTTTGGTCTCGACCCATTATACAAAGTATAATCCGTTGCTCTTCGGCTTGAACTTTTCCGCCTTGTTGTTTGTATTGTTTCCCAAACTGCCGGTGTTGCATAGATTGAGGTTTAGGTTTTTCGAACCTCCTCCCACGCCGAGTCCGCATCCTAGTCAACCGCCTACTCCCACTGCCTCTAGGGCTCCCAGTCAGATCTTTTAGCGCAGTCTCAAAAAGGGCCATGTAGATCTGCTGCAAACACGGGGCTGAAGAAGATCTAACGCCATTCCATTCCATGCAGCTGTGGGGTTTCCTATCTCGATCTGGTCATCACCTGCTCTTACGGTCGTCTTCCCAATGTAACCGCTTCGACAACATCAATGTAATCGATAGGAGATAAAGCTTTGCAAACCATTCGTCTAATCTGCCTATTTGCACCTCGATCAACTTGCACCTTTACTGTATGAACCGCTTCAACCCGACCGGGACTTGCTCAAACATCTCTCCGTCGCAGCTGAAACATGCTCTCACCGACAGCGAGTGATAATCATGATCCTCTGCTCGACCAACCAACGGAACTTGTTTGCCCATTCACTTTCAGATCGTACAGTCACCACAGCCGCAGATCGTCATCTCCTCATCTCATCTTTCTTCGTCCAGCAGGTCCTATTTATTGGGATTGCTCCTCCCAGCGTATGCATTCTATCGGCCAGGCTGAGAGCAATCTATCAGAGCAAAAGAGTGCTGTATCCAAACGAAGCTTATCCTTGGTTCTTAGCAGCCAGAGTCTTGGCTTGGACGAGATAAATCGTAAATCGGAAATCGGAAATCGGAAATCGGAAATCGGAAATCAGCAAGAAAGGGTTTTCACAATTTAATTTTTTTTTTTTTTTTTTTTTTTTTTTTTTTTTTTTTTTTTTGCGTGGGTTTCTGCCCTTCAGCCTAAAATTTTCTTTTCTTCTCAGAATTTTCTCCTCCCACCACCACCACCACTACTACCAACAACTCTATCTACCAACAACACAAGAGAGAGCTTACAAGATGCCACATCATCATCGAGCATCCTCCCTCCGCCAATCCAATAAAGCATTCAAATCCAAACACGCCACCAAAACTTGCCTGCGAGAAGCCTCTAAAGGTCGATCCGCGTCTGACGCCTCTTCCCACACCTCCCGTCTCTCCTCACATAAATTCTCGCCTCTGTCCGCCGCTGGGAATGAGAGTGGTTCGCGACAACATAGACGTAATCATGCCAAGCAGACGCAGATGTCCAAGAGGAATGCCTTGATTCAGTCCAACCGCATCTTTTCTAGCGCTCGTCTGCGCGGCTTGCAGAGCGAAGGGCAAGATGGGTTGGGAAAAGGGTTTGCTGGCGCAGGTGCCGGTGCGCCTAGGATTTGTGCCGTGGTTGATTTGGCCGAGGATGGAGATAGTTGGGAGGCTGTCAGGAGGATTCAAGAGGAGGGAGAGCAGGGTGGCGTCAAGGCGGTGGAGGGGAGAAGTGTGGAGGATGCGTTGAGCGAGGGTAAGGCCTACTGTGAGTTGGAAGCGGTTAGGTTTAGACAGACGATTCAGTTTTTACCCTTGCCTTATGGTGCCTTGTATCCGATTCTGGATGCCTGTAAATGTGCCGATTTCGTTCTGTTGGTGCTCTCCGCTAGTACTGCGATCGACCCAGGATCTTGGGGTGAGCTGTGTCTAAGGACGTTGCAAGCTCAAGGTTTGCCGACCGTACTAGTTGCTGTTCCGACTCTATACCCGGACGGAGCCACAGGTGTGGGGGGAAGCAAGAGAGCAGGTGCCGCACTCAAAGCGGCTAACGAGGTACGAAAGTCTTTGCTCAGCTTTGCGCACTATTTCTCGCCAGATGTGGACAAGATCCATGCGTTGGACGATAGAGCTGAACGTGGAGCATTGATACGCACTTTGGCCACCGCTACACCCAAACGTGTCGCTTGGAGAGATTTTAGAGCTTGGATGGTAAGCGAGGCTGCTGACTGGCAACCCGACCCCTCCTCCTCTCCTAGCGAGATGCAAAACGGTAACAGCAATGCAGAGGCTTACCAAGAAGATCAAGACAAGGGAACGCTCGAAATCCAAGGCTGGATCCGAGGAGCCCCACTCTCCGCTGACCGTCTCATCCACCTTCCCGACTTTGGTGATTTTGAGGTTGACCGAATCACCTATGCGCCTCCACCCAATGCACGTACGAAACGGAGCAAAGCCAGCGCTACCACCGCCTCTGCCGATGGCCAAGAGGCTGCGATGGTGGATGCAGACAAGCCTGCCGAAGATGTCCCTCTCGTCGCTGGGGATGTATTGCAAAGCCGCGAGGAAGAATTCGCCGACGATCTCGTCTCGGAAAACGAAGCGGATGATATGGGAAACGAACAGACTTGGCCAACAGAAGAAGAAATGAAAGCTGCACAAGAATACGCGCAATCCCGCGCAAATGGTGAAATGCCCCCTCCTGCTCTTCCTGGTACGACGCCCAAGACGATCGTCAAAGGTGGTGGCTCGCGGGATGCGAAGGATAATGCAAAGTACAGGGCCGCCTGGATTATTGAATCGGACGAAGAAGACTCCGGTGATGATGGGATTAGTGAGGAAAATGAGCAGGACTTGGATTCGGTCATGGCAGATGAAGGGGAGGAGGGGGATGCAGAAGTGAATCAGGCGATTGATGACTACGAGAGGATGAAGGCAGCTGCGATCGCACAACAATCCGCGGGTGAGGATATGCAAAGCGAAGCAGGTGATGAGAACATGGACGACGCTCAAGCAGCCGCCGATTACCAAGCCTACCAAGCTCAACGTCAACGCGAGAAAGATGAACGACTCGATGCTCAATTCCCCGACGAGGTTGACACTCCACTTGACATGCCAGCTAGACAGAGGTTTGCTAGGTATCGAGGATTGAAGAGCTTCCGAACTTCACCTTGGGATGCTTATGAAGACTTGCCACGGGATTATGCTAGGATCTTCCAGTTTGAAGATTTCCATAAGACAAGAAGGAGGGTCGAAGGTGCAGCGTTGCTTGATGGAGTTCAACCTGGATTGCGCGTTACTGTTCACATTAGACATGTTCCTCGTGCAGCTGCTGTCAGAGCCAGAGCGACTAGTCTGGAGGAGGATTTGCCAGAGGTGAAAGTAGCTGTACCTTTTGTTTTGTTCGGGTTGTTGCGCCACGAACACAAGAAGAGCGTAATCAACTTGACCGTCACTCGTAACAGCGAGTACGAAGAACCTGTACGATCCAAAGACGCTCTCATCCTCTGTCTCGGCCCACGTCGGTTGAACATCAAGCCGATCTTCAGCCAACATACGCGCGGAGGAGGGAAAGGAGTCAACAATGTGCATAAATTCGAACGATTCCTTCGTCCAGGAGTCTCTGCTTCGGTCGCTACGATCTATGGGCCGATTACATTCGGTGGTTCTACAGCTCCTGCCGTTCTCCTGCGATCTCGATCACTGGATGGGGAATTTGGATACGATCAGCGAGGTGTTTCTGCTTCTCAAATGCCTCATCTCGTTGCATTCGGTAACTTGATCGATGCTGGTCCAACTCGGATCAATGTTAAGCGCATTTTGCTTAGTGGACATCCGTATAAGGTGCATAAAAAGACGGCTACCGTTAGGTTCATGTTCTTTAACCCGGAGGATGTGTATTGGTTTAAACCGATCACTTTGCATACTAAGTTGGGTAGGACAGGTCATATTACTGAGAGTTTGGGTACGCATGGATATTTCAAGGCTCACTTTGATGGGCCGATTAGTCAGATGGATACTGTCCTGATGAATTTGTATAAGAGGGTCTATCCGAAGTGGGCCAAGAACTTCGATGGCGGTTATGGCGGTCTGCCTTTGCCGAGGAGGGAGGTGCTCGGTGGCGACGAGGAGAAGGAGGAGATGGAGGAGATGGAGGAGATGGAGGAGTGATCCATGCACGCAATCATAGATCCACTTTCTGTTCTACTGTAGCTATGATATGATTGCAGTGTGGTTTAGGTGGCATCTGAGCCTGGGATGGTATGAGAGGAAGCATGGAAGCCGTTGGCATTTCGAAAGGGTCTGAACTCATATATCTCGCAATCGGACGAATCGTGCTTAGCCGACGTCGCAATCGCAATCGCAATCGCAATGCTGTCTAGATGGATCGCAATTTCGCAGCGTCTATACAGCGAACAGAAGGAGATAAGAGCTTCGACATATGCGCAACTTGCCGAATCAGGCATTCCACGTCACAAGGCGGAGAAGCATGACGTGATAAGCAAGGCAAGACAACAACAACACAGCCACTGCTTTCTGCGCTCGAGCCACCTGCGATGACGTTGTCTCTCGCCTTTCTTCGCATCCTTCTCCTTCCTGTCTCAGTGCGAAGATGCAGGTGAGACAAAGAGGAGAGGTGGGGGGTGGGGGGGTTGCAAACGGGTCTGTGCGAAAGCGGTGAGAGGTGGATCCTGCGTGTATATGGGATGTTGTTGCTGTCCAATTGGCTCGTTTTGCAGCCATATCGCTATATAAACCTTGCCTTAATCCTCGATCTTGACCTCTTCTTGGTCCTCATCCCAGTCTCTTTGCTCCATTTCCAACCGATCGGGCGGAACAAAAGTTAAGTCGAACAACATGTCTTGCACAATCCCAATCCGAACCAACGCCAACGCCAACGCCAACGCCAACGCCAACGCCAACGGCAACGGCAATGGCAACGCCACCTCTTCCTCCTCAGGCACAGGAGTTGGTACACCGCGAATCTCATACTCTCGAGACCAACTACTCTCTTTAGCTTCTTCTCCACTCTCGCGCTCTGCACCAACCTTCCTTACACTGCCAGCGGAAATATCAAAAGTTGGACGCAAGCCAACCTCGACCAAGTTGAACGGGGATGATTCTCCAGAACCGGATTCATCCGAAGATGGCGACCAGCCTGCATTCCGACTTGAACTCTAACCAATCAGGCTATCGCAAGAGATACCAGTTCAAGCTTAGCAGGCAAGACGAGTTGTGGGGTTAAGCATTGGTGAGGATTGTATTTAGAAGCGCAAATCTCAAGTATTGTTTGCGTCTTTGCTGCATGTTCGCTTGACTGGGGTGGCGAGTAGGAGGATGGTGATGAGCGGTTGGTGCAAAGAGGGATATCTTTTAAGATTGCCAAGACATGTATGGAATGTACTAAGCGCCTTGATCAGCCTGTGCTTTCACTTGTTCTGCACATCCGGCACCACATATGGTGGACCAAGGAAAGATCGAAACTGACCCAAGACAAGCTCGACAACCAAGAGCAGCACACCACCACCGGGTGCCAACCTAAGGACCTTTGGGGTAAAACCTTTGTAAAGTGCTGAGAAACCTTCTTCCTTGGCAATGAGGGCAATACTTGGGAAAGTCCAATTGTACTTCCTCACCTGACCCTTTAGATTGGGTGTGTTTTGAATTCTTGACTTGACCACATCTGCTGGAGTGTTGATCATAGTTCCTACCATACCACCGATCGAACCAGAGATGAAATCCATTGTAAGCTGTTCTGTTTTAGATTGAGCTTTTGGCATTTGTGCCCGAACGGCAAAGATGACTGAGAAATAACCACCATTCCATAGAACATGACGCCAGAATGTGCTTTCCAGACCAGCGTACAGTCCGAGCAGGCCATCGGCAGCAACGATCTTCCGAACAACGTCCATCGGTCCAGTGTAGAGATGCGCTTGCGCCTTGTCTTGGAGACGAATCTTGACGAGTTCGAAAGGTACGACGACGATCGATTCTGTCGCACCAGCCGAGCAGCCGGTAAGGAGGGAAAGAGATTGGTTCATCTGGTATTGTCCAGTGAGGGAACGGTATGTTTTACCCCAGAAGTCGTTGGCAGCGAATTTGACGGCTCGTTTGGGAGCTTCTAGCATCAGCGGTGCTACCAGACCTCTATATAGGCGACCCGCTCTGGAGGCAAGCAAAGCCGGAGCATGAAGCAAAGGAGGCGATTTAGTAATGCAAAACAAGAGATGCAGAGCATAAGCACGCCCATCCTACTTACCCTTCAGACTTGATAATCTTTCTAAAGGCATCAACCATACCATTGTAACGTTCTGCGCCGACCTCTGCTCTTCCCTGCAACTGCATTCGCGTCTTGACGACATCGAGAGGGTAAAGACACAAAAGCTCGGTAACACCAGCAATCGCTCCGGCTGTGAACTGTGCGTAGAATGGCAACGGCTTTGGTTGGGTAGGAGAGGCCATCTTGCTTTCTTCTTGCCTTGACTATCTTTCGTCAAGATGGAATGGGAGGGGGAAGAGGTACAAGGGGAAGAGGTACAAGGGGAAGGAAAGATGGATGACAAGAAAGAAGGCCTTCTTGTGTCTCGGCAATCAACTCGATCGCTCAACAACTGAGAGAGTGTGTGTGAGGGAGATGAGAGTGTGAGGGAGATGAGCGAGTGATAAGTAGGTCGATTGCTGTGAGATCGTACTACTTTGATTCGTTCGTTTGTTCGTTCGTTTGTTCATTCGTTCATTCCCTTCCTCCCTTCCTCCTTTCTTCCCTTCCTCCCTTCCTCCCTTCCTCCCTTCCTCCCTTCCTTCCTTCCTTCCTTCCTTCCTTCCTTCCTTCCTTCCTTCCTTCATTCCTTCCTTCCGCGGGTGGACGGAATGCTGGCGCAATTCAAGACGTGGAATATTTGGGTCACTTGAAAATCGCCGATCTTATCATCTCGAATCCGGTCCGGTCTTCTCCGTTCTCTCCACACACAACCACGAGGGCTGTCTGAATGACTTGTAGAGCTAGATGCGCGTGTTCTGCTTGGTTCGAACATGGATCGAAGCAGTTGAAGAGATGAATGCTAATGCTAAATGCTACAGAGAAACAAACAAGTGCTTTTGTGACTACGACTGTCGAAGAAAAGCAACACTAGTCGCCGCTGCTGCTGGTCTTGCTGGCGCTGCTCTGCCAACCTCGCCTTGATTCGCTCGTTTGAGACCCCTTGGCAGTGCAGTCTCGTTCGCAGCCAGAAATGCATGCTGTACACTCTCACCTACGCTCTTGCCCGCCATAGCTGCTTCCCTGTTGACCGCCATTCCTTCCACGCCTCCTGTCCCACCCAACGTTGATCCCATACGACGAGTAATACCATTCCCCTGCCCATTCGCGCCGCTCCACCCATTCGAGCTGCACCCATTCGAGGCAGCCGAAAGACTAGTCGAACCATTCCTCATCATCCCCGCTCCGTTCAAGGCACCAATGGGCGGCGCAGGAATTCGAGGAGAAGGAGGTGGTGGTGGTGGTGGAGGGGAAACAAATCTGCCCACACTGCCTGCTCTTCTTGGTTGCTTGGCTGCTTCGCTTTTAACCTGCTTGACTGGGCTTGTTGAACGACGCATTTCCAGCGGCTTGGCTGCTGCTTGATTGATCTTTTCCTGCTTGATGTGAACCATGTTCACAGCAGGAGTGCCCCTTTCTGAGGCAGGGAAAGCAACACCACTGTCATCAGCAGCGTTGTAGTTTGCATGCCCTACCTTTTCCTCCTCTGCGGACGGACGTTGAGATTGGGCCTGATCAATTTCCATCTCGATCGCGTGGGATGCTGCTTCTGCATCGCCCATCTCTGTTTCGTCGTAGGTGGCGAGAACGTGGTTGAGACCATCATCGAACGAGTCCGAGTTGAATTCCAGCTCGGCTGCTGACCCTTGATGACGCTGTGTGCTGTTGGCTGATGTTACGACTGAATGCGACGGTGCAGTGGTGGCGACACTTTCGGAGCTATTGGCGCTGGTAGCTTTGCTGTTGCGCGCTTCGGCCTGTTGTCGCTCGAGATAGGCTTGTCGGGCTAGCATGGATCGTTGTTGGCGTTCTGAGACATTCAAGTGATCTTCCGCTGCTGGCTGCGCTGGACTGTTATCCTTCTCCCGTATGCTGATTTGAACGTGATTTGGCTTGACCCGGAGTGGTGCTCCATCTGTCCGTGTCGGCACGGGCGGGTTTGTGGCAGTCGCTGCAAGCTCGTTAGCACTTGACATCCAGCTCGCAGGAGCAGCGGCCTGAGCCTGTGCTTGCTGTGGTGGAGCTGCTTGAGGTGCTGGCGCTGGTGGCTGAGGCGGAGGTGCCATCTGAGCGCGCAACTCAGGTCTCCTATGCAGTTCAGAGGCATCGAACTTGGGCGCAGGATTGCTCACCTTGAGCGCATTCGCGGAATACTGATGGTCGTATGTACAGTTGCCCAGCAGCTTGCCAAAGTTCTTGAGCGCTCGCTTGGTGGCATCGGTGACAGCCTCCTTTTTGCCCTTCTCGAGGGCGGCATGTTTCTGACGAGCATTCTCTGCACTGCCATAGCCAATATCCTCGTGAAAAGCGCCATCTCGGAGCGTCACTCGGATTACGCAGCTGACGCCGGCATTGAAGCGGGAGCCATCGGGCGAGCAATCCAAGAAGTCAACGTCGAGACGTACAATGGTAGTCGACCAGCCGTTGAAGCCAAACACCTCGTTGGCCAGATCGACGAGCTTCCATCCTTCGATGTAGGTCAGCTTCTTGCCTCCGCTGGGACCGGGACGTTGGGAGAGATATTCAGGGCCGAGGCGTTGGTTTAGTTTGGCTTGCAAGGTTGCGATACGAGATGCACTGTCCTCTCTGAGACCTCCGACAGCGCTGAAGGTTTGTGCTGCCCATCCCGCTGGATAGTCGTACTGGGTCAGAGGACGGGGCTGATAGGCGGTGGTTGTGGATGGACGAGGTTGTGCGTTGTAAGTCGTCATGTCGGTCGAGTCTGCCGCCGCGGCAGCAGGACGAGGGTAGCTAGTATCCCATCCGGCAAAGTTGCTCATCTCGTTGTCTGCAGTGAAGGCGTTAGGCTGCGATTGAGGATGATGGGCTAGAGATGCAAAAGGGGCGATGTTGTTCGTCTGGTTGCCAGAGACTGATGCACCGCCGAAAGGTCCAGGTTTGGAAGCGCCAAACGGATGCTCGGATGGGTATTGGGGGATGGCTTCTTGCTCGCCAAGTTGCTGCTTTTCAAACTCTGCGATGAGTTTGGCGGAATGGAGAGCGGCCGAGTTCATCGAGTGTCAGCACGAGGTTTGATAGCCGAGTCGATCAGCCAAGAGAGAGGATGCGCAAGAGGCGCGATGTAGATATGTGCGTATGCTAAGCTGGCTTTTGCTGTTGGGTTGGTGGTGAGATGTCGAGATGCGAGCAAGAACGAGGGGGGGGGGGAAATCAGCTGGCTCAGCTCAACCCGAGTTCCGGAGCAGCATCGGCCCCATCCGAGCAAAGGCGACTCAGCATTTTCATATAAACTTTTTGCGGCAGCAGAGCGCGGTCCTTACTTTCCACTCGGCACACAGAAAAGGCGCCGAGACGCGCGGAAAGGCGCTTGTGTTGCGAGACGCGTAAATGGCTCACACCGACACGTGACCTCAAGGAGGCATACAAGAAAGAGATCATGTGATCTCCCACTCGATTCTGTGCCGAGACAAGCTTGAGTTGAAGCGGCGTCGAACGTTTTCACTCAGATAGGCGCTGAGAGCCTGCCAGATTCGCTGAGCGAATCAAGCTAGAGTCCGACTCGGGAACAGATAGGCAGCCTTTGCAAGCCCAACGTGAATGATGGCATCCCGCAGTGAGGCACTCACAGTGATCATCATCCCCGCTGTGGCAACCGCAATCGCAACCGCAATCGCAACCGCAACCGCACCCTCAACACAGCACAGCGACAGCACAGCAGCTCGACGTTTTCGATTTTCTGTTCCAGCTGTTGCGCCTCTGATTCGCTCTCTCTCTCTCTCTCTCTCGCTGTCTTCAAGGGACCCTTGCATGCTCGTTGCTGTTCCCGAACCATCTTTTCTTCCATTCCAACACGCAAATGCATCTCAGATCAAAGGATAAAGCTACTTGGAGCAGCTATACTACATGTAGTAAGAGGATAGCAGCCAAGTCAAGCTTGACCGTTGGCTGTCGCTCTTGCTGCTGCTGGACTCTCTCGATCCCACTCGCTCACCGAGAGTCGCCGTGTGGGCTTTGCTTTGCTGTCTTTGTAGCCCTGTTTTTCTTTCATTCTCTGGCCTTTTTCAATTCTTAGTCCTGGAAGACTTGCTTGCCTCCTTTTTTGCTTCGAGACTGTGTCGCAGCGGATGGGTTCAAGTCCATCCGACGACCCTCTTTTCTCAGCGGATATGGCTTTGCTGTCACATATCATCGCTGAAAGAGAGAGCAACCTAGAGCTCACACACACACACATTCTTTCTCTCTCTCTCTCTCTCTCTCGCGCCCATTTTCTTTTCTTTTCTTTTCTTTTTTTGTTTTGCAGCTCCGACTGACGCCCTCTGAGAAAAAGAAAATACAAATGCACGCAACACAGCCCACACACACACACACACACACACACACATTCATCACGTAATCGTCAGGAAGGCATGCACATCTGGGCTAGACTCAACAATCAAATTGAGCAGTGTTGCAGGCAACACTATACATTCATATACATACATACATTCACTTTGTCACAGTGCAAGAGCAAAGCTCATCCACTCTACTTGCACTTTATCTTACTATACCTTACACTTGTTGTGACTGGCTATAAGCACAGCATCACAGTCTTTTCATCAAGTATTGTCTTGGTTACAATTGCAGGGCACTGCAACTACTCCACACTGGTGTGTGTTGTATCACTGCTACTAGACATTGTCAACACCTCAATTGATGCTACAGCACTGTCATGGGCCTGGATGCACAGAAAGCAGGAAGATCCAGCAAGTCATATGAAGGGAGCACAGGAATTGAGGAATCAGGCAGATTGTGGGACTTGCAGTAGAGTTCACCAAGATCTGTAGGAGGAACAGCTCTAGGGCAGATCCCAGCTAGATCAGCATGAGCCATAATGGTATCACAAATCCCACCAGAATCTGCAGTACACAAGATCATAGGACATATTCTGCAGAGATCAATGGCAAGGAGGATTGCATGATAAACAGAGTAGTGGCAAGGATGGCTGGGGTTGCCACTGGATGAAGCAGAGGCCTTACACAGCATTGGAGTGGTGCCAGCAAGTGGGCACTGATGACAGGGAGTAATGAGAAGGGGCAAGTTGCCACCCAGATGAGGTGGGACTGACCCCCTGATGGAGAGGAGGCAACAGGAGGCCCATCCATCCACAAGGGACAAGGAAGTGGTGCCAATGAGGAGCATTGCAAAGTGGATGGGGAGCATAAGGGGGACAAGGAGGAGGAGCAGTGTTGCAGGCAATGCTACACAAAAGGTATATAACCATGTCCCCTGCCACAGCAAGTGAGTGGATTGCTATCCACTCTACACCATACATAACTAGTTATCACTTCAGCATAAGTATACATTAGTTTCAGTCAGCAAAGTTGCAATCAAGTAGATTGCTTCCATTGTAGTGCATGTGTTGTATCACCACTTACTGATGTCCAAAGGTGGTTCATAGCAAATCAGTGGTCCAGATAACGATAGAACCAAAGGCAGTCATCCACTGTGGTCCAGGGATCACCTCAAGCTCTTAGTTGACACTGGTGCTACCAATCATATCACTCACCCCAGACCTTGGTGTAGTCACAACACATGTCATGGGCCTGAGTGCACAGGAAGCAGGGAGAACCGCTAGTTCATATGAAGGGAGTGCAGGAATCAGGGGATCGGGCAGATCGTAGGATTTGCGGCAGAAGTCGCCGAGATCTGCAGTAGAATCGGCTCTATGACAGATCTCAGTGAGATCAGTATGAACAAGGATGATATCACGAATTCTGATGAGATCAGTAGTAGGAGAGGTTGTATAGTAGATTCCACAGAGATCAGTGACAAGGATGTTCATATGATGAATCCACATGCACAGAGGACCAAGCTCTGCCAAGACGGGGACCGAGCTCAGTAGATTGCAGCTGGTTACCACTCAGGGGTTCACAAGATAGGAGTCAAGAGAACAGTCACTGGTTAGGAGGAAGGAGAACTGTGTCAAGGACACCAGCGTATAGTTCATGAGGAAGAAGAGCTGTGTCGAGGAGGTCGCCACGCAGCTCAAGAGGGACAGGAGTAGGGTTACAGGGACTCCTGCATAGCACTCGACGAAGGAGGTACTCTCTGGAGAGAGAGTTGGAGCAGTGGTGCTGGCAGCACTGTGAAGAGGTATAAAGCCATACCTTCTCATCACTAAGTGGTTGAGTGGATCCTCATCCACTCTACACTCATCAAACAAACTAGTATTACTTCAAGCAATAAGTATCATTAGTTCACAGTCAGCATAGTAGTAATCAACAGATTGCTCCTCATCGAAGTGCATGTGTTGTATCACTGTTTCCTGACATCCGAAGGTGGTTCTAGCAAACCAGCAGTCTGGATATCGATAGAACTGAAGGCAGTCATCCACTGCGGTCCGGGGATCACTTCAAGCGTTAGTCGACACACTGGACACTCGTGTCGACGTCATCTATCCATACTCACACCAGACCATTGGTGTCAACATCAAGTTCACTTAGAGTTGTATCATAGTTTGATTGTGCCGAGCTACCTCTGGACAGAGTGTCCATGGTGGTCAGTCGAAATCTGTCACAACATCAATACAACTACAGATTCCAACGAGAAAAGCGGCAGAGATGGTTCTGTCGCATATTACACTAGGAATCGTAATACCACTAGCGCTGTTGCATAACTCGACAGAATCGGTGATAGTACTGATACTACTACTGATCTCAGGTTTCAGGTGCGCAACCGCTGACAACACATTTGTCATTATTGATTGTGCCAAGCTAACTCTGGACAGAGTGTCCACAGTGGTCAGTCGAAATCTGTTACAACATCAATACAACTACAGATTCCAACGAGAAAAGCGGCAGAGACGGTTCTGTTGCATATTACACTAGGAATCGTAATACCACTAGCGCTGTTGCATAACTCGACAGAATCGGTGATAGTACTGATACTACTACTGATCTCAGGTTTCAGGTGCGCAACCGCTGACAACACATTTGTCATTATTGATTGTGCCAAGCTAACTCTGGACAGAGTGTCCACAGTGGTCAGTCGAAATCTGTTACAACATCAATACAACTACAGATTCCAACGAGAAAAGTGGCAGAGACGGTTCTGTTGCATATTACACTAGGAATCGTAATACCACTAGCACTGTTGCATAACTCGACAGAATCGGTGATAGTACTGATACTACTACTGATCTCAGGTTTCAGGTGCGTGACTGCTGACAACACATTTGTCATTATTGATTGTGCCAAGCTAACTCTGGACAGAGTGTCCACAGTGGTCAGTCAAAGCCTGCAATAGCAATCAATCTTTCACATATTCAGGTGAGAAAAGTCATAGAGGCCTTCTACAACAGATTTTGACAAGAATAATAAAGCATGGTATTTTACCACATATCTTGATGGGATCTGTAATGGAAGTGTTTCTACTACAGATATCAGGTTTCAGGTGTGAAACCTCTGACATCAGGTTGGTCACTTGGCAAGATGATTATGCCATCCTTCTCCTCCCAGTGTCAAAGACTGACTCCTTTTTGGCTTGGGACCCTAACCCCACTTGTTGTCGCAAGGGTTGGTGGGGTGGAATGTCCTACACTGTACTCCACCTCCTCTGCCCTCCCAATGCATGCCACTTTGGGTTGTATGATGGTTACAAGCTGCTCACTTGATTGTTCTTCCTCCTGCACCTTTGCTTGGCACTCTCTTGGCTTGGGCTGGACACATTGCAGTATGCAGGACACTCCTTTCACAAGGGAGCAGCCACCTGGGAAGTGTTGCTGGGCATTGATGCAGACACGATCAAGATCTTCGAGGACCTCATGGGTCTTTGCCTGCAATCCACTTGGGTGGGTGGGTTTGTCATGTTATGTATATATAATTTCGGTTATGTTTCGTGCGATTGAGTCTAGGCGGGACTACACGCACGCACGCACGCACACACGCACACCACGCACACCACGCCACGCCAACACGCTCTCCTTTGTTGAAATCACTGAAAAACACGCAGCCAGTAGGCAGTAGGCAGTAGTAGGCAGTAGTAGGCAGTAGTAGCCAAGGAGCCGAGGAGCCGAGGAGCAGGCTTCTCCTTTTAAGAGGCACACACCCACGCCAACTCTCTGCTTTTCGCTTCGAGTGGCAGCGAACAATGCTGAAACGAACGACACGTCGACTGTCATTTGCACCCATTCAGTCACTCACAAGAACCTGTCGCGCTCTCATCACCATGGCCAAGCTCGGACACTACTAGTATCACCCTTACCACCATTTACTTACCACCACTTACTTACCACCACTTACTTACCACTTTCAGCATCTAGTTGTGCGTCTACTCCTGCTCCATGATCCTAGCAAACCACTTGACATAGATCCTACCTTGCCAACAAGTCTCTCGCACCGCTTGGCGTTCACCTCCTGCCTGCTCTCTCTACCGCATCAGTGTGTTTGGGCCACCATGTCATCGCACTCACACCATCCTTCGCCTCCGGCCTCTCCCGGCTCTGGCTCTGGCTCTGGCTCTGGCTCCGGCTCTGGCTCCGGCTCTGGCTCTGGCTCCGGCCTTGGTCACAACCCAGCCCCGAACGGATGGAAAATCTGCGAGGCCAAATCGATGCGCTCGCCTGGATACCCCTCCCCACCTGCCTCTCCTCCTCACGTCATTCAAGACCAAGCCGCGACACACTCCTTCCGAAATGTCTCTGGCTCTAGTTCTGCCCTGCCTGTTTCGGTCACTCGTTCTGCCTCCAACTCCTCTCGCCACGTTTACGCTCCTCAATCTGCTTCGGCCTATACCAGTATGACTAGTGCAGGCGCTGCCATGCAGCACGCCTTCAGTGCTATGCAGCCACCACCCCTTGCCTCTGATGCCTCTGATGCCTCCAATGCCTCCGCCTCCACCTCGACACCTTACCCTCCCCAACATCCTCCAAGCAAGCTCGCTACCGGCGGACAGTCACACTCTCACCGACCAGTCTCGGCCATGCCTACCCCGACCGAACACCACTCCAGCTCTGCTACGCGCAATGCCGCTCAAGCTGGTCCAGGAGCCGCCTCCAATGTCTTTGCAAGCATGAACGCCAACTACACCGAGCGAAGAGCCAGTGCTCACCCAACTATGACAAGCAGTCACAACCCATCATCGCCAGCCACTCCTGCTACCATCGACCCTACTACCAGTCAGGCAATCTCTTCAGGCATTCCCATCACTTCTCCCGCTGCCCTCTCTTACTTTGCCGCTCACCCGCGTCGACAGCAAGTTCACTTTGGCAACTACCTCTTGCTTCAAACCCTCGGTGAGGGCGAGTTTGGCAAAGTCAAGCTCGGTGTTCACAAGGAATGGGGTGAGGAAGTTGCCGTCAAGCTCATCAAGCGCGACAAGGTCGCCACCGACGCTGCTCCTCTCAACCTCGACGACACTCGCAACAAGGATCCCGCCAAGATGTCCAAGGTCGAACGCGAGGTCCAGGTTCTCAAGGATGTTCGCCATCCCAACATTGTGCGTCTCTACGAAGTCATCGAATCGGACCGTTACATTGGTATCGTGCTCGAGTATGCTTCAGGAGGCGAGCTCTTTGATCACATTCTCGCCCACAAGTATCTCAAGCAAGAGCACGCTTGTCGTCTCTTTGCTCAGCTCATCTCCGGTGTCTCGTACCTTCATCACAAAAAAATCGTCCATCGCGATCTCAAGCTCGAGAATCTCTTGCTCGATCGCAACCGCAACGTCATCATTACCGATTTCGGCTTTGCCAACAACTTTGAGGACCGACGCGACGACCTCATGGCCACCAGCTGTGGTTCCCCATGCTATGCTGCCCCCGAGCTTGTCGTCCAAGACGGTCTCTACGCTGGTTCCGCCGTCGATGTCTGGTCCTGTGGTGTCATTCTCTATGCAATGCTTGCCGGCTACCTCCCCTTCGACGATGACCCGGCCAACCCAGACGGTGACAACATCAACCTGCTCTACAAATACATTCTAGCTACTCCACTCTCCTTCCCCGAGTACATCACTGCCCAACCGCGCGATTTGCTTTCCAAGATGCTCGTACCCGATCCCACACGCCGTGCTACCCTCGAGCAAGTCATGCAGCACAGCTGGCTCCGCAACTACCGCGAGCTCTTCAAGTTCTCCGTCGAGGATCTCGAACGTGCCGCCATGGAGCAGCAGACCAAGAAGCGTCAGATGTACCGCCAGCAGATGATATATCAGCAACAGCTCCAGGAGCAGCAGCGTCGCCAGCACATCGAACGCAGCCAGTCGGTTCGCCAGAATCTCTCGCCCCTCCCTGTCGGAACTGCCTACACATCCAACACTGCTGTACCTGCTGCTTCTGTTGCTTCTGCTGCTTCTTCTGCCCATCGTCAGACACTTCCAGTCAGTGCCACTGTGCCCGACCGTCTCTACGAGCCTGTCGGCAGTGCCAGTCGTGGTGCCGAACCTGGCGTGACTGCCTCGCGCATCAGCGTGCCTACTGTCCCTGCTCCAGCTCCCGTTCAGCCCGCCACTCCAGCCTCTGTGCCTCGCGCCACTACGCACAGCAACATTGTCACTGCTGGTGTCGCATCGCACATGGATCCTGTCACGGCACTTGGCAACGCACGTGGCGAGCCACGCACTCGTCTCGACGACCATGTTCCTCAGCCGGCTAATGCTGCTGCTAATGCTGCTAATGCTGCTGCTAATGCTGCTAATGCTGCTGCTAATGCTGCTGAGCAGCGTCGACCTGCCACTCAGAAGGGGCAGCGTCACACCATCCAGCTCGAGTATGGTGGAGACGAGCGTGCTCGCAAAGAGTCGGCATCAACGGTCGTCGCATCTCCTCCTGCCTCCCACCAGACTTGGCAGTCGCACCGCAAAGTTAGCCAGGGCAGCACCACTTTGATTTCGAGGGCTTCCGAGAACGGACGTGCCAAAGCTGCCTCCGAGAAGCTCGCTGCTGCCGCTGTTTCACCTTTGGTGCTTCAGCCAGCACCTGCCAAGGCCATCGATGCTGTGCCTGCCGTCGTTCCCGAGAGCGACAAGGTCACTGAGAACAAGGCCGAAGCTCAGGTTGGTGCTGCTGCTGCTGCTGCTGCTGCCGCTGCCCCGGACATGATGCGCTCGGTCTCGGCCACCTCTGCATCGCGCGTGTCGGTTCCTTCGCCCGTCATGGAGCAGAATCAAACCAACGGTTCGGCTTTCAACCGCATTCCATCTGCCTCCTCGTCCTCGTACGCCAGGAACCGTGTGCCAAGCTCTGCTAGCGCCAGCAGCCGCACCAGGATGGAGAATGGCAGCAGCAGTGCTGACAAGCCAGCTCACATCCCTACAAGTGCCACCAACAGTCAGCGCATCGTCTCAAACCCACTCCCTGCAGGCGAGGCTGTTGGCTTCCCCTCGGCAACCAGCACCACCGCCAACAACAACGATCGCACTGTCTCGAGCCAAGGTGTTACAACACTTACCAGCGCTTCTCGCCAGGGCAGCATTGCCGCTGATGCTCCAGCTGCATCTAATGCAAGCCGTCCTCCCTCCGCCGCTCGACCTGTCACAGGCGACCAGGCTGCAGCTTCCGCCTCACGCCACCGCAAGGGCATGTCGACTGACAAATTCTTCCTGTCGCGCCTCTTGGGCTCGAATGGTACCAGCCAGGCCAACGGTACTGGCGCAGCAGGAGCCGAGCCGCCTGCTTCCAACGGTGCAGAGGCCAATGCAGAGAAGAGCAGCAAGAGGAACAGCGTCACCCGACCTGCCATCGATCGCGCACCCAGCTCTGGCGGCGCTAGCAAGAACAGCCGACGCAAGGCCATGAGTCTGGTTGTCGGACGCCAGAACGAGACCTCGCCGGCCGCTGCAGATCGTCGACGCGCTTTAGAAGGTGGTGTTCCTCTCCCGCAGTCAGCCACTGAAGCTTTGTTCCCTACATCGCTGACTTGCTCGTCGCGCAGGAAGGAAGCCCCTTCCACTGCTTCTCAGCACCGCACAGCCGCAGCGTCCAAGTCGAGGAACGATTCGAGCAGCCTGGCTGGTCCAGGCAGCAATGTTTCGACTTCACGACCTGTGTCCAGCGGCACTCGTCAACAGCAGCAGCAAGATAAGACCTTCTACGACGGTTCTACCATCGCCAGCACTTCAACTGCAGGTCCATCGAGCAATGCCGCCAAAAAGGTCATGGACTGGTTCCGCAAGAAGAGTCTTTCGCGTGGAGGTACCTTCAACGAGCAGCCTCCTCTGGGACCTTTTGAGCGTTCGCCCACCTCATCGCAGATCAGTGCTCATTCGCCTACGGCTCCTCTGACGCCCTCGGTGATTGTCACTGGTGCTGCTGCCGCCAACGGAGCTAGTCGACATGCTGAAGCCAACACGGGTAGCGGTGAGGGTATCAGCGGTGCTTCGTCTGTGCCCTCTTCGCGATCGGCTTCGGGTACGCATAGCGAGAACAGCGAGGCGACCGAGTTGACCAACATCACCAAAGTCAGTGATGCTTGGCACACGTCGCACACCGAGAGCCAAGGTCTCAAGTCGAGCGCTTCGACTGTCCAGCAGCAGGCTACGCCCAAGGCTTCGCTTTCGGCTGTCTCCAATGTCTCGAACGTGTCTGGAGGTGAAAGCTCCTTGCAGCAACAATCTCGAGACTCTCCTGCTGTAGCATCAACCAAGGCTGCAGCTGTCCCCTTCAACGAAGCTCGATTGCGATACCATCTCGGCGCAGTCGACCAATCCGCCCTTACCTCACGCTCACCCATCGAAGTCCTCAAAGAAGTTCATCGCGTACTATACGAAATGGGAATCGACATCCGTAAAGAAAAGGACGAAGATTTCAAACTCGAATGCATTCGTCGCAAACGTGCAAAAACGCTCATGTCTGCCACTCACACCATCGGCATGAGCATTCGATCCTCGGTCTTCCCGCCCACTCAAGCTGACGTCGAACGTTGTTCCCGTATGTCTCATCGCGATTCCCTCACTCCTTCGGTTAGCACTCCTGGTGGAGGCTCGTTGAGAAGCTTGCTCCGTAGAGGATCGTATCAACCCGGTATTGGTTTGCCCACCTCATCTACCGTTGCGAGTAATATGGTTTCTTTGCAGCAGGATGAGAATCAGCCTTCACCCCTTTACGGAGATGCATCAGTAGATGGAGGTCAAGAGATTAGGTTCTCGGTCGAAGTGACAAGGATTAAGAATCTTGCTGGACTCTATAGTTTGGATATTAGAAGGATGAAGGGCAATTTGTGGGCTTATAAGTTTGTTTATCAGGCTCTGTTGGATCGGTGTCAGTTGGCTGCTTAAGTTTTCGCACTAGATCCTATCTTGAGTAGCTGTTTTTTACACTCTATTGATGCATTTGCAATTCGGTTTTCGTAGCATTACTATTCGAGCGTTTGTATGTTGCGCTATAGGAACAGATAGATGGGCAGTAATGGCAAATTAGCAAACAACACAACCACCACCACCCTCACTCTTCCCACTCTTCTCTTCACTGGCAGACCTCTCGATCCTAACCAGCATCTGCTTAACACCTTCCAAAGAGGTAGCAGCAGTTCCTTGATCCCAATTGACGATGATCGGGCCATCTTTGATTTCTGGCATTGCACTGTCCTTTCGCGCAGGAGCTGAACTGGTTGCAAGATGATGTGGCAGGGGAAATTTTATTTTTTCGTGTTCTTCCATGTTGAATGCAGTGTTAGTAATTTTCTCTCTGTCAGGCTGAGCAATTCTGGTGTCTGTGGGGTTTAAACCGGCGGCACTGCTTGGAGTTGAGGTAGTGGCTGTGGTGCCTGAAGCAAGATAATCGATGATACTGCGCATTTGATCTGGTGTAGGAGGATTAGCAGTCCTATCCACCACTTCTAGCTGGATAACCGAGTTAGAAGGCGGATCAGAAGCAGCATTACCGAGGTATTCGCCTACTCCACCGCCATTTGCTTCTATCACGCAGCTCTCGCCATTGTTAGCCGCTGATCCCGAAGAAGAAGGAGCGGCGGAAGCAGAGGGAGATGGATGATGTCGGTTGGAAAGGCGGCTGTTGGTCTTGTTGTAGGAAGAGAGAAGGTTGAGGATTTGCTTTGAAGTTGATGATGATGGATCGTGACTATCAGCGAACGAGTTATGCCAAGGTGAGTGATAGGAAGGAGCGAAAAGAGTGGTTAGTCAATCCAACAAAGTGCATGTGCGCCGGGAGAGGGTGCACTTACAAAAGAGTTATGATAGATGGTCCTTTATGATAACGAAATGACATTCTTGCTGATCTTGTCTTTCACTAGTATGGGCTGTGAGTTGGATGTCGAGCAGCAGTTGTAGTGCTAATCGGGGGTCTGGTGTTGAGCTGTTGACGATGATGATAATGATGGTGGTGGTGGTGGTGGTGACTGAGAGGGAAAGGGATGTGCGGGGTAGAAATGTGGAGGCTGAGTTCTGAAAAAAAATAATATATATATATATATATATATATATATATATATATAAAACACACAATTTAGCCGAGGTTAACCGCGCATTGACGTGGGCACGTGACTTGGTGTGCGCATCTGAGCACGGACCACACCTGTCGCAACCTGCTCAGCCACTCAGTTTGTATATATAAGCTTCGTTTCACTCCTGGCTCTCTCTCTCTTTCCTACCACCATCTCCTCTTCTCGCAAGAGTCGCGCAACACCGACCTTGCTAATCCTTCTTTTTCCCCACCTGATTCCCTCCCTTACGTTGCGCCTTTACGACCAGCTCGATAACCCCGACCGTCCACTAAGAGGATCATAGCACCATCGTACCACGACATCCAGCGATAACTCTCTTGGACAAACCAACTCCGACTACCTCCTTTGCTTCAAGTATGCTCGACACCGGCACACTGCCAACAGGCAGCGCGCATCAAACAGCGCATACAGCCACTTCCGCCACCGAGTTCCAAGACTTGCACGCACCTGCATGGGTTCGAATGCTCCTTGAGCAGCAAGCTAACGCCAATCGTCTCATGCTCGAGCAACAGGCTAACGTCAATCGTCTCCTCGAGGGCCTCTTGGTTGGTCAAGGCCCCCGCAGTCAACACTCGCAATCGATGCCCGATCGCAACACTCCTAACTCTCCGCATCTCCCCGATGATGCACGCGACGAGCGCAACAATGCGCGCGACCAAGGCAACATTGTGCGCGACGAGCATACCCCGCCGGCGCCCCAGCTTTTCGTACGCTCTCTGAGGCCCGAGGAGATCGCCACCTTTAATCCCAGCTCGGGAGACGACGTCGAAGTCTTCTGCCGGCGCATACAAGACATGGCTGCCGTCAAGAGTCAGGCTGCCATTTGCGAAATTCTGCCGCAGTGCCTGCGATCGACCGCAACCGACTGGTACACTAACTTAAGCGAGACTGAACACGCCCAGCTACGGGCGAGCACTTCCGCTTGGACCCGGCTCCTTCGCGACCGGTTCGGAATGAGCGTTACCGAAGCTCATAGCACACTCAGTAACCTCTGCTACGACATAGCGAGCGACTACCATGCTTACCATGAGCGCAAGATACGATTGGCGCGAATCGCTGGTATTAACACGGAACAGGTCGTCCATTATATCTTTGCTGGCTTGCCCTTCGAAATGAGGAACGCCCTTGCTAGCAGCCTGGAAGGCAAGGAAGCTGGAGACCTCAATGTCTTCCGTCGTCGCTGTCTGGCGCAAAGAGCGACACTGCTCACACGTCGGTCCGAGCAGCGGCAGACGCCAGCTCCGGCTTTCAACCAGACGGTACAAGCACCTCGACCTCACCAAAACGTAAGCTCTCCGCCGGACCTACAGCGGCGCGCCTTGGCTGATCGCGTGGTACAAAGACCGCCCCCGCGTCCTTGTCGTCATCGCGGCGGCTCACATTGGGACGTCGATTGTACCAAGATGGAAAAGCCCTCTGTCGAAACTCATCAAAACCGAACGCCAACAACTCCTCTCTTCCGACTCCCAACAGACGTCTGGTTACATATCTTCATCCATCTCTCGCCCTCCAACCTCTCTTCACTCTCCCTCACATCTCGACATGCATTGCGGCTGGTAGACGTACACGCATTCAAACACATCTTCACCTCGCAATACCCTCTACTTTCGCCGGACCGGATCGAATGCTACTACCAACATTGGCTACAAGGAAGGAAGGGTGGAAGGAGAAGGTCGAAGTGGTGGTTTGCTTGTCTTTATGCACATGCACTCAGACTGTGCTGGGATAAGCTGATGTTGCGGCGTAGATCGATACCGATTCCGGTCGCAGAGAAGAATAACAATGCGGGCAGAGGTGGTGGGAGGGAGAGGAGCACGTTTTGGATGAAATTTGCGATCCCCACTCTAACCCTTGGTACAGAGTACGCTGTGGTAGGGGTCAGGTCTGAGCTGATGGTGTATAGTGCTAGGGACATGAAGATGCTAGGTAGGCTGAGGTTGAATAGTAAACCACCAGATACAGCGGCAGAGGGAGAAAAGGGGGTTGATGATCCCTGGTTAGACATTACAGTTTTACAGAAGCTAGATGAGGCAGGCAGGAGGTTGGGGGTTGGATTTGCTAATGGTGCGGTTCAACTCATAACCTTTTCCAGCAAGAAAGACCAGCTGAAGTTTGAGGTAGAGCATCATCTCCTGAACAGCAAAAGACAGGAGATAGCCGGGCTATCAATACAACCTTCCATCCTACTAACAGGGTCAGAGATAATCGCCTCTCTTTCAAAGAGAGGCAACCTTCGCTTGCATCACATCAAGAAATCAGGTTCGGTAGAAACACAGTCATGGGGTATAGATTCAGAAGGCGTCGCCACACCATCAAGTTCTTCTGTTCAAGTGTCCGAAGAAGAAATGAGGCCAGGAAGCAATACTCCTTCGAGGACTACTTATCGTGGTGCTGCGTCCAACAATGCCCCTTGGCAACTTGAGGATATTTACAGAATGAACTGGGCTGGTGGAAGGGGCGATATAAGAGCTTGGAGTGTTCTTTTGGGTAGTAGTACCGACTTGCGGCACGATTCAGACGGGAAGAATTGGGAAAATCAAAGATGGGTTGCAGTCGGCATTACGGCTGATCCCGCCGTCTACATCTATCCCATACACCAAACTCAGAGCGGGAAAGGTGTAGAGCTAGGGGAAGCATGGCGCATAGCATCAACAGGAGAGCGAATGAGCGTTTATGCTTTGGCCACACCTCCCCCGGGATCACTTCTACCTGCGTTTTTGTTGTTTGTTGGCTTCTACGACGGTGTAGTACGCGTTTACGACACACGACAGCTACACCCTCGCTCTACCACCGAGGGCGAAGGAGAAATAGAAGCGCTGAATGGAGCATTAACCCAGCTCACACTCAACGGTACACCCCGCCGGCGCAGAATTAGGCGAGAACTAAACCCTATAGCAGTGTTTAAGGAGGAGTTGGACGCGGACGCTATCTATAGTCTTTCTTTTGGTGGACCGCAGGGAACAATGGTGGTTGTGGGTGGGGCTAGACATGCCAAGGTCAAAGTGTTTGATGCGGAGATGCTGAGTGGGTATGATTTGCCGTTGCTCTCGGCGCCAGTGGGTGTGGAAGGGGAGAGGCAAGGGAGCAGGGGTGGAGATTGGACCGCTTTTGCGTTGCATAGTACGGATAGTCCTGTGTATGGGGTTGTGGGCGAAGCGGAGAGGGTCCTCGGGGTTACGGACAGCAGGATTTGGTGGTTTGACTTTGCCCCATCCCTTTGCGCTGCTATAGAAGGGAAAGATGGGAAAGGGGAAGGAGGAAGAGTTGCATATTTCAGACACCAAGATGTAATCCTCTCCTACTCTACACCACACTTTGTACACTAAGGCAAATAGGATTGCATTCTTGCATACCATTCTATATACATTTCTGAGATCAATTGTTCTTCTTCACCCCACTAGGATCTTCCCTAATCGTCAACCAGATCGCAGTAAAGACAAGAAAGCCAAAAACAGTACTAAATGCACCCGTAATATAAGGCCAACTACTACTCAAAAACCTCGGATACTCATCATGATTAAACGGTCTAACTGCAACAATATCCTTCTTCTCCACAAAACTCAATCCCTGACGTTTCAACTGTACATGAAAAGTAAACACTCCATGACGATCTGGGATTTGAAAGCATGTTTCGAACCTCCTAAACCCCTCCGCTTCGACCTTACTTTCACTTTTGGTGCTAAGTGCGTTAGAGGTGAAATTGGACAAGTCGACCGGAGTAAGATGCGCGGTAATGTATGGGTCAAGCATTTTGAAAGCAACCTGAATATCCAGCGTTGAGGCAGCAGGAATCCAGCCAAGTTCAGGCTCATGTTGGGCAAGGTCGAGATGGTAATGAACGTGATCTTTGATACGATACATTTTGGTTGCTTCGGGTGTTTCTTCGTAGTCTTGTCGAACATCGGTTTGGTTGGAGCAAATACGATGATGATGGGTAGAGATGATTCGAAGGACTGATTTTTCTTGGAATACCCAACTAGTAATATCTTGCGCTACTGCTTTGTTGAGCGTGTTAGGTGTGGAGATGAACGTGTTGCTGAGCAGATCTGTTGAGCCGAGGAAGATGACACGTGCCGAGTTTGATGCCAGTTGGAAGCCTGAGATGAGAGATACCACTGAAGAGAAAGGGGAAGTGGGGATGCCAGCAACGAGTTCCTTGCGCGATTCCAGCGGTTCCAGTGAGGCACGGTTAGCGATCCAACCATTTTCGCCCAGTTTCGAGGGGGTTTTGGATTTGATGACCGCAGGGACGGGAGGAGGAGTGGAGAGAGTTTCCGAAGTGATCGTCTCGCCCTCGGTGATGCGCGTGGTGGTGATCGTGACGGGTGCCGGGGTGCTGTATGAGGTGGATTCGACTACGCTATCTGCCTCCTTCGTGAGCTTAGGTACTTCAGAAGAGTAGCTCGTGGCTGGAGGCAGAACGAGAGGGAAAGCGAGCGGGTTAGCACCCACTCGGTGAACAATCCCTCTATACAGCAACGGCTTCTCCTTCGCAGCCTGCAACGTCTCGTGCGAGAAAACGTTCAAGTTCTGCACAACACCACCGTGGCTGAGTCCAGCTTGAGTAGGCTTCCCACCAACAAGCACGGTCGTGTGGTTTCCAGCATCGAGCTCGCTACTGTATCTGAAGTGATCCACGAGAGCGGAATCTCTGCCTTCGAACTCGAGCGAGAACTCGCGTGCCAGATCTCGCTGCATCTCGCTGACGCTAGAGTCCAAGCCGACGATCATGTTTCCTCCATTTTTGAGGTACTCTACCAGCTGCTGAGGAGCAAGGTCAGCAGCTAGCAACTTGGAGGAGGGCGAGAGAAGAACGAGATGGTCGTATGAGAGAACATCATGTTCGACGAGGTTCGGTTTGACGTCTCTTGGCGATTTGTAATCGATGGTGTATCCACGAGAAGTGAGGGTGGAGAAGAAGGTCGAGTAGGTGGAACGAGAGGTAGAGTCGAGGACCACGAGGATTCGGTTGCCGGTGGATGAGGGCAGAGCTGATGTGAGAGTTGCTAGGAGGCCGAGGATGAGAGCCGAGATAGCCAGGAGCGCGGAGCTCAGTGATGATGTTCGAGACATGGTAGCGGACAAAGTTGTTGGAGAGGGTGATGAGGATGGTGAGAACAAGGACAAGAGGAGAAGGAGAGAAAGAGTTGAAAAGTGTGTGTCTGTGCGCGCAATTGCTTCTTTCTGCTCCAGCTCACCGTCCTTTATCTTCCACTCGCACGGGTAAGCCAATTTCCCAAATTTGGCAGAAATAAAGAGAGAAAATCTAACAACAGTTGTGGAATACTTTGCCGAACTGTGCCATGTTGAAGATTACGATCCAGTGATGACGCTAAGAGGTGACGCAAAGACGACGAGATCGGAGATCGGAGATCGGGGATAACCGATCCTGTTAAGGATCGGGTACAACCAAGTCCCGCTCGTTGTCAGGCTAGATCATTAAGTAGGAGTACTCCCACCTTCAGCATGTGCCGCTCACATGTATATATATATCTCACAGAGAGCACTAGGCTCTCGCCACATTCCCTAAGTCAATTGAGTATATTTGTTCTGTCTATCAACTAGCAGCGACATCGTACTTAGACTCTCCCCGATCACCAGTATCGGGACCGAAACGTCTCAAGTTTCTAACAAGCCAACCTTTTGAAAATCGGAATGCATTTCTCCACTCTTCTGAACCCTTGCTCGTCTACATCAACCAACACCATCTCCGCTCACAGCAGCAATAGCAGCAACAGCATACACAATGCCAACACTGGCAGAGAGTCTCGGCGGTGCAGCGGCTTCAGAAGAGGCCACGGGCTCGAGCAACTTCAAGGGCCAACTCGGTCGGGAGCAGGAACTACGATCTCGGCTACTGGCGTCCAAGCAAAAGCCTCAAAGCAATGACACCGACGATGCCAGCCGAGAACCACTCAGCTCGAGGATAGGCCGCAGCAGGTCAAAATCCGCATCACCACGCTCAGAAAGAAGTCGCAGCCCGAGACAGCGACGAGGCCCACCATCGTACGAAGCGGCAGCACCTTCTTCTGGGTCTAGCGCACAACCACCACCCCGTCCATACACCCATCCTGACCGACGACCACCACCGCCGAGACCGCAAGTGGATCGATGGGTGCCGCCTCCTCGTGAGGATCGGGGGGATGACGATAGGCCTTATCCACCTCGACGAGATGGTGATGACAGAAGAGAGCGGGATGACTGGGGTCGCGATCGAGCGCAGAGGGGACCACCACCGAACAGCAGCGGAGGACGATACTTGGGTGCGGGAAATAATGACGAGCAGGACCGCAACGGCTCGAGCGAGTATGGTGCAGCACAATGGAAGCGCCTTCCTCGCGATCCTTATGCATCGTCCATGTCATCCCGTCCTCAAGGTGGAGCAAGTGCGGGTGATGGAGGATTCTTTCGCTCTCGGGATGAGCAGCGCAAAAACTCGACTCTTTCCATTTGGCCACCCAGCCCACCGCATCCCACCATCGATAGCGAGCAAGAGCGCGAAAGGGAACCAGAGAAACGCAAACGCAGCAGTAGACACAAAGACAAGCACAGAAGCGACAAGCACAGACATTCTTCCAGCTCAAAGAGTCATCGTCATCATTCCAGCTCTAGCAGGCACCATCATTCGAGTCGACACAAGGACGGGAAAGAGTCAAGTAGCAGTCATAGGCATTCGCGCTCCTCCAGATCTCGTCGCGATGAGGAGGAACGTAGAAGGAGGCGGTCCAAGAGATCAAGATCGAAGGTTTCTGACAATGGATCTGGTTCGTCTGGTTCAGAGAGCGATTCAGATGACGGTAGAAGGCATAGACATCGCTCGAGTCGACACCATTCTCGAAACGGTTCCGACAAACGACATCGTTCAGGTCGTCATCGCTCCGCATCCGTCTCGTCTTCGTCTTCCGACTCCGACGCAGACCGCCGCCGCAGTCGCAGTCGAAGCAAGCACTCCGCCTCACCCTCCAAGTCCCACCGTTCCCCCTCACCCTCCTCTTCAAGCTCAGATGTCCAAGTGGGCCCCACGCTCCCCGTCTCTTCGGATGGCAAACCCATCGATCCTCGTTCCTACGGTAGTGCTTTGCTGCCTGGTGAAGGTTCAGCTATGGCATCATATGTCCAAGACGGCAAGCGTATCCCACGTCGTGGTGAGATCGGCTTGACTTCTGACCAGATCGAGTCGTTCGAAAAAGCAGGTTACGTTATGAGCGGTAGTCGACATCACCGTATGAACGCCGTCCGTATGCGCAAAGAGAATCAAGTCATTAGTGCCGAGGAGAAAAGGTCAATGCTCAGATTGCAGGCGGAAGAGAAGGCGAAGAAGGAAAGGGAAATTGTTAGTCAGTTTAAAGAGTTGGTTGATACGCTGCAGCCTCCGCCGCCGAGTGGTGGAAAGAGTGCGTAGGATGGCCAAGGGATCTCGCCCCATGCACAGCTGTGCGATGACAATCGTATACATGCAATGTATTAATGTGTGATTCTGTGGAGATTAGATGCCGTGCCATACAAGTGCCAAGTCTACAGGTTGAGCAGTTGTGTCGGAAGCGAGACTGGTGAGTAATAAACATGGCGTGCGGTGGGATTGCTCCAAGACCGCATTCGCTTCTCGGCCCGAGGCAAGGAGATCGTTGAGCACATCCAGAGCTTTGTTCGAGGGCGTGCAGAGAGGTTGGAAGAGTTGTGTAGCGTAAACGCTTCTCACCAGACTTTCTATTGATGTCTTGAGCATCTCGATGGACTTCTGACTCTGCTGTGCCGAGGCGTTGGCGAGTTGTCGGAGAGTAAGAACACCGAACCTGCTCTTTGCTGTATTGGAGCTCGTGACAGTGTGGACGACTTCGAAAGCTGCTCCAGTGGAAGAGTTGAGAAGAGCTGAAGTCTGAGAGATGCCGACATCAGCCACATCGCTTCCGATGGATTCTTCCTCGTCGTCGCTCTCATCGCCTTTGGTCTGCTTAGGCTGGCTATTAACAACAGGAGGAGGTACGCGACCAGTATGAGCGGTGATCTGCCACTCGATAGCTGCACTCCTCGGTAGCGACCCCTTCGGCAACGTGACGAAGAGCATTGGAGGCATTGATCCTTCTTCATCTTCAGGTGTCGTTTGTCCTAGCCAGTGCTCTTCCTCTTCCCCCTCTTCCCCCTCTTCCCCTTCTGCCTCACCGCCCAGAGCCGGGTTTTGGGCGAGCCAAGCCCGTCTGCCAAGCTCCACCATCGCCTCATCTTTCTGCAACCAGCATACGCCACCTTCGACCCATCCACTCTGCACTTTCCTACCAGCCATATCATTCATCGTCGCCTTGAGAATTCTTCTTGCATGCTGCAAACTCAGACTTGCCTGCAACGCCCTATCCTCAGGAAGGGTGAGATCGGAAGGGATAAGGCCGATCTGACCAGCAACCCAAATCTTTTCTGCTTGAACCAAACTTTGTGAGTAAGGTCCGATGTTGGCCGGTGCCCAGAAGGAGCGGCCTTGGACGTGTAGTGCTCTTCGATCAAACGGAACGGAGGCGGAAGAGGAAGAGGTCTCGTCGAAAGCGACGAGATTAATCATAATGTCGCAGCCAGGAGGTAGGTTGGGCAGTGCAACACAAGCTCGGCTGGGAGGGGAGACGCCGAATAAGGTGCGGTAGATGGAGTTGACAGAGGCAAAGTCGGTTTGGGAGCCAAGGTAGAGGTTGATGTGTGAGATGTGTACCAGGTTGAGTGGGGTAGGGGATATGGAAGAGAGGAGGTGGGAGATGGTGGTGAATGCTTGGCGGACTTGGTCCTCCACCGAGACGGGATGAGAAGGAGTGGTATTGGGGAGGCCAGTGATATTCGATAGGACTACGTATCTGCTCTTGCGTGATATCGAAGGCGTTGGTACCTCCATTTCCTTGCTCAAGTGTAAGATACCCAGCTGCTCCGATATGCCTTCCGCCTTTGTAGTGCTGCTCGCCTTTTGAACCGCCTTCAACGTCCGTCTTCCCACAACATCCAGCAACGGTGGAGTCCTCGCCTTCCTCCTCTGGCCCTCCCCTCTCTCCTTCTCCACCAGCCTCGCATTCACCAGCCGCAAATAGCTCACACTACCAAAGCCACTATCCGAATGTAGAACCCTCTCCACATCCCCCACATCCACCTTCTTCTCAAACAGCGGCGAATCGATCGTCAAGGTTTCATACTCCCCTCCCTCACCACATACATGTGCACCGTAGATGCTGTTCAACTTGTCCAACTTGCCCTGCATCTGGCCCAAAGTTTTCCCCAAGTCTCCCTCATCCAGCCCAATGCCCGCCACTTTGATCAATATCGACACCAGTCCCGCTTCCAACATTTCCGCGTATAGCTCCGACTGCTTTCTCTGCCAGAGATAGGTTAGCGGCGTAAGGTTGAGATCTGGTCTCAGCGCAACATGCTCTACACGTACACGCTGGTAGTTGGATAGAATAGCGCCAACGGAGACAGCTTCAATGTCAGGGTGGTGAGATTTGACTGTGTGGAGTAGGTGGTAGAGGTCTTCTGTTTCATCTTCCAAAGTTGTTGCTGAGGTCGAGGGCGTGCGGGAGCCGTATTGGGACCGTTGATTTAGCGCGGTTCCGACGATAGTGCGACGGTAGAGAGGAAGTTTCATAGCTTGAGCTACGAGGTGAACCGCATCGTGACCAACGGTTTGGTACATGTAGGAGTCGAGTTCATCTTTGGAGCCGGGTGGGGAGAGGGTGGCGAGTGCGACGAGTTGGTGGCCTTGTTGGAGGCAGTGGAGGAGGTTGTAGCATGAGTCTTTGCCGCCAGATAGCAGCCCGACGACCTTCATTGCGGAGAGGAGGCGCAAGAGTGGGTGAGAGGAGGGTGCCAGTGATGCTTACGAAGATTGCGAGAGAGAAAGGGATGGTAGAGGGGAAGGGTCCAAGAAGAAAGGTCAAGAGAGTTGGATTACGTAATCCAGAAAAGAGCTGTATTACGTAATCAAGAAGGAGTTGAATTACGTAATCCCGAAATAGTTGGATTAGTTAAAGTCATTTGTCAGTAGTTGGAGTTGAGGCGTTTTGTTGATGATGATAGTAAGAGGGAGAGAGCGAGAGAGCGAGGAGAGAGAAGGAGTCTATATATATACAAAAGAAGAGTGGCAGAGAGCCGCATTGACTGCGGAACATAACAAAGCATTTGTCTTGAGTAGGTTGTGACACATGTGGTCCGTGCTCAGATGCTCAGGCCTTTTACTCGGCCATAAGCATTACCTTCACTGTCTCTACGCTTTGTGTAGCTTTATCTACTTCAACTCCCCCCCTCAACAGTATATGTACCCTGTTCATTATGCTGTTGTTTCAAGGTGTGACCTCCGTTCTTCAACACTGTCGCATAGCTCAGGGACCCCGTTTCGTACACTGCTGCCGGTATTTGCAGGTGTAGCCCAGATCTTGCTTGCTGCATTGCCTGTTTCCCAATGGGCTTTGTGAGTACATCTGCCAAGTTTCTTGTGGTGTCTACGTACTTGATCTGCACCCTTCCCTCTTGGATGTTGTTACGGATGAAGTGATACTTGGTGTCGATGTGCTTAAGCTTCCAGTGCTGTGCTGGGTCCTTACTAACCTGTATGCAACCAGTGTTGTCCAAGTAGACCATCGGTGTGCCTGTGGCAATGCCAATTGAGCGTAGCAGCTGCTTGAGGAAGAGCACCTCACGTGTTGCTTCCGTGGCTGCAATGAACTCTGCCTCGACAGCGGACAATGACACACATTTTTGTGTCACTGACTTCCAGGCTACTGGGTTCCCGTACACTAACGCCACTGACCCCGATGTACTCCTTCTCTGTATGGTGGCATCGCTCGCCCAGTTTGCATCGCTGTGCGTGACCAGTGGCTCTTGCGACTCACTTGCCCTATAAACCAATCCAACCTGCCTTGTGCTTTCGAGGTAGCATAAGACCCTTTGTGCTGCCTGATAATGCTCCTGTGATGGTTCACACATGTGCCTAGCGAGAACACCCATGGTAAGGCTAAGGTCGGGCCAGGTGCTGTTGGCAACCCAGAGCAGCTTGCCAACAATCACCGGATACTCCTTCTGTTGTGCTGTGCTTGCGACAAGGGTTCCCTCCGGTATGCTCTGCATTGGAACCATGGTCGGCTTTGTACGTTTGTCCAGGTGCTTTGCCAGCACTTGGTCAATGTACCCTGACTGACCAATCGTCATGGTGTGCATCGCACAGTCTCGACTGATTTTGATGCCCAGGAAGTGAGAGACCTCACTGCTATCTTCCATCTTCCATCTCTGACCAATCTGCTTCTTAACCTTTAGGACCATTTCCAGCCATGGTGCTATGACTAATGTATCATCGACGTAGATGACCACAATGGCCATATCTTTACCCTGTCCCTTGGTGTAGATGCAGGGAGCGCACTCTACCTGGAAGAATCCCATGTGTCACAAAGACCTGTCGAACTCCTGATTCCATTCTCGCCCAGACTGCTTTAGGCCATATAGACCCTTGACTACCTTGTACACCTTGCCAGGTGCTACTCCTGATCCTTCTGGCGGCTTCATGTAGATTGCTTCCTTTAACGTGGAGTTCAAGTAAGCCATAGTGATGTCCAGAGCATGCACCTCCCAGTTGTTCTGCACTGCTAGTGCTAAGATGGCTCTGATCGCTCCGAGGGGTGCTACTGGAGAGAAGGTTTCTTGGTAGTTGATCCCCTCTCTCTGTGTGAAGCCCCTTGCAACCAGTCGCGCCTTGTGCTTAACAGGTACACCATCAGCGTCAAGCTTCAGCCGAAGCACAACCTTAGAGTCCACAAGTGGTACTCCTGGCGGTTGGTGCACCACCTCCCAAGTCCCCATTGCCTCGAGTCCTTCTAGCTCCTTTCGTATTGCCTCCTTCCAGAGCTGGGCGTCCTCACCGTTCATTGCTTCCCCAAGCATTGGGTCCAGGTTCAGTATTGCTGTGTTGGCAGCGCCTACTGTGCTGTCTACGGCTGGTAGGAGATCCTCCACTGCGGCCTCTGATTTGGTCTCCTCCTCCACTATGGCTGGCATGACACCCTCCTCCTCAACCTCTGCGGTCACCACGGGCCTGACTGCCTCCTGTTGGCGATCACTCCATCCTTTGTCCTCATGGAACGTTGCTGAGTTGCTCCATTGAATTGACGCAGGCTGGTCCGGGTTGCAAAACTTCCATGCTTTGTGTTCGTCGTCATACCCAATCATGATGGCTGGCTTTGCTCTAGCCCCATACTTGCCTTGCTGGTCCTTCTGTTGAACATGAACCCATGCCAAGCATCCGAAGACTCACAGCTGCTGGGCCAGCTTGTGCGCGGTGGTTCCATAAAAGGCCTCGTGGGGGATGGTCTTGGTGGCTGACGGGGTAAGGTTCATCACGTGTGCTGCTGCTGTGATTGCATACGGCCACAACTCTCTGGGGCAAGCTCGACCAATCAGCATCAAGCGCATCTTTTCTTGGACTGACCTGATTGCTCTCTCTGCCCGTCCATTTTGGACGCTGATCCCCGGGATGCTCTTTTGCCACTTGAAACCCTCTTGAGTTTGCCAGTCTTCGGCTGCTATGCTGCACCATTCTCCTCCATTGTCGCTGCAGAGTGTTTTGAGTTTCCTGTCCGTTGCCCATTCCATCCTGGCTATCCACCTCCTCAGCGCCGTGAGTGTGGCACTCTTGGTGCAGAGTGGTTCCATGTAGATCAGAGAGGAGAAGTCGTCCACAGCAACTAGTGCATAGTGGTAGTTGGCATGTCCTTTGAAATCTGTCATCAGGTCTATGTGTACCAGCTCTAATGGTGCCTCCATTCTTTCTGACTCTGATTGGCCCATCCGTGCTCGAGTCTGTTTTCCTTGGCTGCACACGTTACAGTGCTTTGACTCATGTTCCATTTCCTCATTGGTACCTAGGTAATGAGCCCGGATTTGTCTTGTTTTGTCTCGTCCTGGGTGTCCGAACCTCTCATGCCATAGGTAGCTGTCTCGATGCTTCGTGTCCTTATTGCCCTCTGGGGCATTATCTAGTTTTCCTGTGTTCTGGTTGTCCTCTGGGACGTCATCGAGTGTCTCTTCCAACTCCAGGGCTAGTGCCTTTCCCTGTACTTCGAACCACCCTTTTCTTCTGTTCCTCTTGTATTGTATTTGTGTGCCATCATTTTGCTTAATGATGGTTCCAAACTCATCGAAAGTTACCCGTGCACCATTCTCGATCAAGCCTTGTACTGATAATAAATTAGAATTAAGTTTCGGCATGTAGAGCACATCCAATAGCTGAATGGTTACATCGCCAACCCAAAGGGAGGCATCTCCTATGGCCTTCACTTGAAGCCTTTCATTTCCAGCCGTACAGATCTGACCATCCTTGCACGTCGAGGTGAGCAGCATTCTTTCATCGTTCACCATGTGATGCGTCGCACCCGAATCGACGATCCAGGTGTCCGATGTTGGTTGCTCATCCCCGCCGATCGCTAGGAGGGTGCACCCAAGTTCCTACCGACTCGCTTCTTGTGCTGGATTGGTGGTGGGTCCGTCCCTACTCGGTGCGGGGTTATTGTTGGTGTTCGTGCAGTTCTGAGCAATGTGATTAGGTCCTCCACAAGCGTAGCACTTTGGGGGGGCCGAGGGGTTGCGAGGATCGTGCCTGCCCCTGGGTCCTTGCTCTGCCTGGTTGGTGCTCCCCTGTTCCATGCTTGTGGCAACCCTTGCTGCTCCTCTAATACGGCCAGTGACCTCACCATCCTGCTGTTTCTTGGCGAGTGCGTGGTAGGCTTCGTCATACTTACAGTCTGGTCTGGCTGTCTTCAGTGCATCGATGGCGTTGGCATAGAACCAATCTTGGGCCATGCAGCGATAGAGAGTTGATTTCTTGAGGTCCTCATTGAAATGCTTTCCCAGGCGTGCCACATCATTCCAGATCGAATCGAGTTCCTTGCCTAGCCTGACAACGTCTCGATTGTGCAAGCGCACTGTGTGAATACGATCCTGCAGTCCTGCTCACTTTACAGCATCGTTCAGTGTTAGTGCCTTCTTGAGTTTGGCATAGAGTGTGCTACCGAGCTGGACTTCTTCATCCGCTCCCCTGACGGTGTAGGTGTCAATACAGCTGTCTGGACTGTTGTCGCAGCAGGCGTGGATGAGGCCCACGAGGGCTTTATCCAAGTCTTCGTTGTATTCCTTGTTTCCAGGCGCCACCGTGCCATACAGTATCTCCTTCGCATTATGTACTCTTTGGAGGCAGTCGATGAAGGTAGGTTCCCAAGTGTGCCAGTTGCTGTCGCTGAGCTTTTTGATGTGCGCAATGGCGCTCGACACCTCCTTGGGGATCTTCTCGGTCTCCCTGCATGGGGTCTGGTTGCTAATGCTGATGAGGCCCATAGCTCGCACGATCGCTTCCTCGGCCATTAGTGCTGGGTTCGCCAGCTGGAGGATCCTGACTACCTGCGTGAGCCATCCTTCCTCCTGTCCGTTGCCTGTGGTTGTTTGATCATCATCGCCCCTTCCCATCTGTCCAGCTCTTGTCGATGGCGGCATTGCGTTGAGTTTCAGACTCTTAATCAGTTAAAGTCATTTGTCAGTAGTTGGAGTTGAGGCATTTTGTTGATGATGATAGTAAGAGGGAGAGAGCGAGAGAGCGAGGAGAGAGAAGGAGTCTATATATATACAAAAGAAGAGCGGCAGAGAGCCGCATTGACTGCAGAACATAACAAAGCATTTGTCTTGAGTAGGTTGTGACACATGTGGTTCGTGCTCAGATGCTCAGGCCTTTTACTCGGCCGTAAGCATTACCTTCACTGTCTCTACGCTTTGTGTAGCTTTATCTACTTCAACTGGATTACGTAATCCTTTGTGTTGTATTTTGGCCCTCGTCACTTTTTTTTTTTTTTTTTGTTTTTTTTTTGTTTTTTTTTTGGCAGAAATCTCCACTTTTCTTCTTGTGTCAGGTAAGGCTTTCTTCTCGATGCATGTTGGTCTCTCTGCACCACCATCAGAAAGCGTGTTTCGTTCACACGGTAAGCTTGGTCGCTACGAAAAGGATGTGGAGAAGTTCGCTTGCTGTAGCAAGCCTTTCCTCTGCGGCGGCATTTACCGCTTCAACGTCGTCAAGACGAACCGTGGCGGTGCTTGCTCATCCAGGATGCCTGCTCTGCACCGCGATCTCTTCCTCGGCTTACCCATCCTCATCAACCGCCGCAGTCGCGGCTCGGCCATTCAGTAGCACCCGCCTCACTTGGAGAGGCAAACAAAGCAGAGGGTCCTCAGGCAAATTCAACAACAGCAAAGGCGGCAAACCAGACGGTTTCAGCAAAGGCAAATTCCAACGGTTCAGCAAAGGACCAGTCAAAGCAGCCGACTTCTCCATTCCCGAACCTCCCACGGCACAAAAAGTAGGTCGAAAGCTTGTCGAAAAGCTCAGCGCGATATCACAAGATCCGGAGCTACCTTCACAACTTGTTGCTTATGGCATCAAAGGGAAACCCGCACAACTCCTCTTGCAGCACCATACACAGTCACAGGCCCTCACAAGCGGTGCTATAGCACGGCTCGAAAGGCAAAATGACGCGGCGACGGCAATTCGACTCTTCCGTGCATGGTCTGAGGATGCGAAAGACGCGATACCCGATCTTGCGGTGCTGTTAGACTCAGGCAAGGAGGCCAAGAATGATGTGTTTGGAGATCTGCCGGATGCGCTTTCGTCTTTCGGTAGCGAGGGTGACGAGTGTTTGGGGCGGTTTTGTGTTTCCGGATTTCTTGATTGGGTGCATCGTGGACTGAGCGCTCTGCTCAGCATCAACTCTTCGACCCTCTCTGCCGCTGACCAAGGGCAAGTCTCTCTGGCACGGTCGCAACTGAATCTGCTACGCAACACCATGGATCTTCGTCGTCCCTATTATCAATATACTCGCGCCCGCTCTCTAATCCGAAACATCCACTTGCACGTCGGACCCACGAATTCAGGTAAAACGCACGGCGCACTCGTTGCGCTCTCCAAGGCTCGTACAGGCATATTTGCCGGTCCTCTGCGTTTGTTAGCACATGAAGTGTGGGATCGATTCAACAGCGGTACTGTCTCACCAGGGGTGCCTGCACGAGCTTGTAACTTGATGACAGGTGAAGAGCAGCGTACGGTGGATCCGTTAGCAGGCTTGGTCAGTTGTACTGTCGAGATGGTTTCCACGATGAGTTCGGTAGACGTGGGAGTGGTGGATGAGATTCAAATGATCGCTGATCCGCACCGAGGATCCGCCTGGACCAACGTCGTTTTAGGGCTTCCTGCGAAAGAGCTGCATCTTTGTGGTGAGGCAAGTGTCATTCCTCTCATCGAAAGCCTGGCTAAGGCTTGCGGCGATCATTTGACAGTTCATCGCTACGAGCGATTGACGCCATTGAGCGTAGCTGAGGAGAGTCTGGACGATGATCTCGGAAAGATCGAGAGGGGAGATTGCATTGTTGCGTTTAGTCGTTCAGCTATCTTTGCGCTCAAAAAGGATATCGAGAGGCGTACGGGACTTCGTTGTGCAGTAGCCTACGGCGCGCTTCCACCAGAAACGAAAGCTGAACAGGCTAAACTCTTCAACGAGGGCAAACTGGACGTAATGGTTGCCAGCGATGCAATTGGTATGGGTCTCAACCTCGGCATCAAACGAGTCATATTCGATACGCTCACCAAATGGAACGGCAAAGAAGAAATCACTCTCTCGGCCAGTCAGATCAAGCAGATTGCCGGTAGAGCAGGACGTTACGGCACTCAGGACAAGTCTACCAAGAAAGCCGACCTGGGAGGAGTCGTTACAACGCGGCACGAATACGAACTGGAAATCCTACGTTCCGCTCTCGCTTCCCCCTTGCTTCCCATCACGAGAGCGGCGATTCAGCCGACTTCGGGGACCTTGTCGAGTCTATCTGCAATGCTGCCGGGCGCAGGTGGTGGCGAAGGGCTAAGAATGTTAAGCCAGATCTTTACGGATGTAGCATTGTTGTCGAGGATCGATTCGGGCAACTTCTTCATGAGTGATTTCAGTCAGCAGTCGAGCATTTCGCCTTTGATCGAATCTGCTTCCTCCGGCTTATTGACGTTGGAGGAGAGGGCGACGTTTAGTAGTTCACCTGCTAATAGGAGGGATGAGAGGCTGATGGCGTTCCTCAGCAATATTGTAAGACAGTTTTCTCGTGGTGGCTTGGTGGACTTTGACACGGCTGCGAAAGACCTTGGTATGCTCGAGGTTGAAGATGAAGTCGTTACTCTCATGCGTCAAGCGATCGCTGCACGAGAACAAGATGCACAACCAACGAAAGAAGGGAAGGAAGAACTACCACTCATCGCATACCTCAACAACGTCTCCGGCTCCTTGACTCAGGGAAGCTCAGCTCATCCGTTCATCAACGTCACTACTCTGCTTATGCTCGAGTCATTGCATAGGTGTTTCACTTTGTATCTCTGGTTGAGTTTCAGGTTCCCGCTGGCGTTCTGTTGGAGAAAGGATGTGAATGAGAGAAAGAAGAAGGCGGAAGAGGCGATTGACTTTGTCTTGCAGGGAATCCGGTTTGGTAGAGCAAAGAGGTTGCAAGCGCTTGGAAGGGATCCTGAGGGGATCAAGGGTAGTCCGACTCGATTTGGAGCGGATCGTAGTCGATTTCAATAGACGTCCCGTAGATAAGCATGTGTTCTAGTTCACCACAACTCAAAAGCACCATACGCAGACGGTGATTGGTGTGTGGATACTGTATGGGAACACGCTATACCCTGGTGTTTGCGGTGGCAGCAATTCTGGGGTTCCATGTTGCACCGACGAAGGGCAATCGCACAGCCTCCAAGCGCCATGCACAGCAACAGAAGCAGAGGCAGTTGATGTCGATGTTGATCATGTCGCTTGCAGTATGCGCTGGTGTAAGAGATGCGGAGAGATGCTTGAGTCGCCGGTGACATCAGTCTCTTGTCCACACCGATCCTCTGATCCAGATGGAGGAGTGGAGTGGCATCATGGCGGAGAGCTTCAGTAGTGTGTGAGGCTGGGAAAGATATACGTCACGCTTGCATGCGCCACTGTCATCAGGAAGCGTATCATCCAACCACGCCGACAGAAGTTGTATTCACAGACAGCGACAGCGCCATGTGGAACCGGCACGATGGAGCGAGATGCATCAAGGCAAGAATGTGGGATGGGGAGTAGGTAGGTTCGGGATTTGCTCGGCGCCATTTCAAGCTTTAGTGTGCTCTTGGCGTTAAGATGGTGGGCGTTACAAGCGAGAACGTGTCTAGACGCTAGTACTAGTAGTACAGCACAGCATGGCGTGGTGTGGCGTGGCGTGGCGTGGTGTAGTGGTAGTGACATTCCAGTGCAAGAAAGCGTTCTTTTTTGCTTGGCAAAAACAGCTTGTTTCCATAGATGGTTGCCAGTGAGACCCTTCTGTCTCTACCAAGCGACCGATATCAGAGAGAAGTGCTGATTGGGATCATACCCTGCAGAGACACGAGAGAAAGATTGTTGGTCGCCGTTCTTCGCGCACTGCTCAAGTGAAGGTGCTTCTTGGCACCTTCCGCGAAGTCTGTGGCTGGGTGAGGTTCAGTGGGGGTTCAAAGCCTGGCTTCATTTAGCTCGACTACAGAGCGGTGGAAGCGAGCTCAAAGCGGAACTTGTTCATCATCGTCCCTATCGCCCAGGATGTACTGGAGGATCAGAGGTGAGCGAGAGTGGCAAGAAAGCAGCAGCGTGGCCCGCTTTGTCTCTCTTTTTGCTGCTCCGACGGGCCGGTATCCCTTCTTTCGTATACACAGCATGACAGAGTCGCTTCTCAATAGCACAACGGAAAGATCCTTCCTACCCCACTTTTGAGAAGCCCTTGGGATCGTTGCAGCCCACAGAGATAGTGATGCGCATCTGATGAGATGTCCACTTGCTCTTGGCATTCCAACGCTGACGTCTTATCAGTATCGCGTCCCTATCAAGATGCTTTCTGAATGGCTTTTCACACACAGGCGAAATGGGACTACGAAGACAACGAGATGTGTTCACCTTTGGTCACCTTCGGTCGCCTTCGGTCAGCAATCGCAGCAGCAGAGTGGATGTTTGGGCGGTTCCCATGAAAGCTGCGCCTAGAACTGACTAACGACATTCGGCTGCCACTCTTGGCTGCTTGCAATTATCTCTGCGTATTATATTATTCATAGCAGATCTCTTGGCAAATCGCGACGTTGTCGACTTGTGTTTTTCGCCACTTCTTGGCAGCTGCAGTCCCACAACACAGTGGCATCTCTGCCCAAGCCTGTATCACTTGGTGGTGATGGAGGCCGCAATCATCCTCAGAACCATGCTGTGCTCTTGCTTCTCTTGCCGAGATCGGTTGATAGGCATAGAATTGACCGAGATGCAAGCCAACAAGTGCCATCTCCCCCCCCCCATCTCATCTCGCTCTCGGATTCGTATCGAAAGGGCAAAGGCATGATAGGCATCGATGGAAGGTGTGGCTGTGTACTATCCCCGCTCTCTCCTTGTACTCACATCCCCAGACTTGATCAGCCTAGTGCTCTTGCATCGATATGTGAAGTTGCATCTCGGGTAGCTAGCCAATTTCTGGTGCATGAAGAGGACTGTGCTTGAGCAAATCTGATGCACAAGCATGAAGAGGAAGAGCACGTTTGCTTGCATCTTGCCGGCTGGCCAGCTTATCCTCCGGTCTGAGTGGGTCAATAACCAATGCCAAGAAGTCCATCTTTGACGTTCCACTATCACCTTCCTTTACCGTAGGCTTCAGACCGAGAGCGGGATCGGAACCCACTTTCTACGACGGCCTTTGCAACACAATCTTCTTGCATGACGCTAACACTTGGCTCTTCATCTCCCAAGCATTCCTGAGACGACGTGCTATTGTATCTTGCTCTGCATCAACGTCAGTGTGTCTCTCCCAAAGTGCCTGTTGGAAGTGTAGTCCCACTGCTCTCCGTAACGAGAAGCCGGGACCCACCGGGCAATGTATGCCACGTCTATCTATCACGCAACAGAACTCGCTTCTTTCCTAGGACAGCAGCCTTCACTGAGTCTTACTCTGCTCTCCTGTGGTGATGCAGTGTTTGACGTGAGATCAAAGAAGCGATCTTCGGCGATGTACATATATCATTCGATTGGCCGCTCGCAACGTCTTATTCAAGTCCCGACCCGTAGGCTCAGTCTTCAACAGCCCCTTCCCCCCCCCCCCCCCCCCTCCCCCCTTAGCTAGCTATCGCATTGCTCAGCCAGCTCTTGTCTCTATACCATAAGATCATCCTTCAGCATCACAAACCACGCCTTTCCGTCTCGCTTTGATGGTCACCATTGAGCACAACTTGTCTGGCCAGTATCTTGGCTCTTCTTCACCATCACCACTCAACATGAGCCCACCGCCAGCCAAGAAGGCATCAACCTCAGCACAGCAGCTCACGCCTGCACTTGTCGTCGCTGCTCCAACAGATCCCAGAGCCAGTGCCACTGCAGAAGAGCCTCTTTCACCAGCTTCTCCTTGTCCAATAGCTTCGTCCTCAACGGCCCGCGCAGGATCAAGCAGAAAAGTCGTCGACTCCACAAAGCCCATCATCACCACCATTGAGTCCTCATCCGAGTCCACAACCGAAGCACCAACTCGTCGCGGCTCAGCAGACGGACCATGCGAAGCATGCACCATAGATCGACCCTATGTCGACCGCATTAGATCCCCTTCCCACACCATCCTCGCCCTTCGTCTGCTCTTTAGCGACAAACAACGTCGGCGTCAACTCTTCACCAATTGGGTCCACGTACCGATTGGCATTGCTTCTCTTCTGTTCCTTGTGTGGATGATCAAGCAAGCGATGGATAGGGCTCCTTTTAGGTTCCCCTCTCCAGTGCTTGCGATGGTCTTGCTGTTTGTCATGCTGCTCTTTCTAGACTATCTTTCCACTCGATCCTTCGTGCAAGCCCGTTTGGAGAGGGGTACTGAAGGCAAGGTACTCCTGCAACCCATGCTGGCCTTGTTGGAAGCACCATGTGACTTTTGTCTCCGTTACATGAGTGTTATGTTCACTCCGAGTTTCATCCTCATCCCCGCTCGAGAGATCATCAATGGCAAAGAGATCGGTCTGATCACTGGCTGGTTTGCAGCTTCGCAGATCGCAGCACTAGTCTTCCCCGTACTTCTTCACAAGCTCATCCATTGGACTGTCGCTAAAACTCGATACCATCTGATTCAACGCAAAGATCGTCAATTAGAAAAGTCTCGACGCACAGAAGAACAACGCAGGGCAAGCATAGCCACCCTGGTCGCTGTCATGTCTAATATCAATCCTCTTCCGCCAACTAAAGCAGAAACTCGGATTAGCTTTAGTGACCTCGAAGCAGGATGCAAGCCCAGATTGGTTGGTGGAGAGAAGTTGGGTAGTGTCGCTACAGGCTTGTCTGGAATGACGGCTATTGCTACTGCTCCACTCACAGTCAGCATTGCTACTCCTGCAGTGGAGACGCGAGGGCAGGTAGAGGCGAGACAAGATGCGCAACGACAACTTGAACAGGTCCAGCTCGAAACAGCACGCCAACAAGGTGATCCCTACGCCATGGTCCACACTCGGCTTGCCGATGCTCATCATCATTACCCGACCCCTGCTTCGCCTAGATCTGCTAGCTCGCATCACAATCACCGCCTGCATCAGAGCTCGGATTACTTTGCATCTCGCCGTACCGCTGGCCGAAGAGCAAGTGAAAGAGGTGAGGGAGCGCAAGGTGTAGGAAGGAGTCGATCTCTAGCTCGCTCATGGGCCAGTCGCGTCGCTACAAGTCTTTCTCCCACACGCGCACCCCGTCCAAGCTCTGGAGATGCAGACGGCACTCGATCAGATATAGACATGACTGCAATGAAAGGCAAGTTGGGAGCAGTAGTCGTCGGCCCAGGGAGCGGACTCAAGAGCTTCTCTCTGCCTGGTAGTAGGAGACCGCAAAGTGCAAATGCAGCTTCTGATGGATCAGGTAAGCTCGGAGTAGGTACCATTGTCGACACCACCCTGTCGCCCACTTTTGATGAGTATATCTTCAAGGCTCGTGAGGACCTTATTCGACGTAATTCGCCTCTTGCCAGTAACGCTGGGGATGAGGAAGAAGAGAGTGTTGATCCAAGCGACGAGGGAACAGGAGCGGAAACACTCGTCATGCCAACGCTTGTTCCTCCTACACCCATCCGACTCAGTCAGGAGGTCGAGCTTGCTGGTCCTCGCTCACCCACAAAAGCCAGCAATGGTGTCAGAAGAGCCAGTAAAGCAAATAGCGAAATGACTGCTAGTAACGATAACGAGAAACTCAAATCGAACGCCACTCGCACTCCAACACCTGCACAATCGCAAGAGCAAGAAGAGCAACTGGACGCAATCGACACCCTAATTCAACGCCTTTGGACTCTTATCCCATGGGTTATCTTCACACTCGTATTGATCGCAGGTGTTCCTATCTTTTACATCCTAAATGTCTCCCTTCCTCTCTTCCTGGCAGTGAACCTTCTCACTTTTCTATGCTCCATCACTCTCGTTCCGGCAAAGATCAGAAGGTACGCACATCCAATCCTTACCACCTCCGTAGCTACAGTTTTTATTTTGTGGGCTATTGGTGCTATTCGAGGTTGGACTTTGCGACGGACACTTGAGAGTTACTCGGTTGATGCCAAGTATACGGTTCTTTGGTCTCTATCGGGCTACACTGGTCCGGTTATCGGTGCGGGAGATGTACTTTTCTCCACGCTTGATGTGGGAATTGTCTCTCTTGCTGTACCGATGTACCGATATCGATGGGATCTGTGGTTTCACCTGATCGACATGCTAGTCGTACTCTTCCCTTGTTCACTCTTGTCGCTATTCGTTTGGCCCACGGTAGCAGGAGTTATCGGAATCGCACCCGAAAGAGCCTTGGCATTCGCTTCTCGATTCATGTCTACGCCTCTAGCCATCGAGTTATCTCTCACCATCGGTGCAGATGACAGTATAACCGTCGTACTTGTCGTCATCACAGGTATCTTAATTTCCATCTTCAAAGATCCTTTCTTCCGTCTCTTCGGCCTCAATCCTGATTTAGACGGCCCGCAAGAAGACTCGAATTGCGGAAATGTAGACAAGCGCAACCAGGACTACCTCACTATCGGTATCGCAATGGGCTCCACAGCAGGCGCAATAGGCGCTTCCAGTTTGATCTCTAAACCGAGATGCATGGCTATCGCATCCCTGTCTTTCGTGTTGTTCGGTGCGATACTGTTGATCTTTGCTGCTATCCCGCCAGTGGTGGATACGATGAGGATGCTTGCCAGAGCTCCGTTGCAATTTCTACCCGCTTCCTAAACTTTCTTGATACAGCTCTAGTATAAACTCCATGTAGATGATCGTCGACTCACTCACGAATAGTAATGTTTTATGGGATCATGAAAGTTTTTCGGCTATCTAGAGATTGCATGTGGTGTGCTGATGTATTGAAAGGGCAGCAAGTTGTGGTACAAAGATTAAAGGAACAAGTGTATATGTGTATGGGAATGGTGTCTCTCATCTGACGCTTTGAAAATGAGTTCTGTGCTAGCGCTCGATCGGATGCTCCAATCTCGACTACATCTCATCCGGAATCGGATCCATTGCGCCCGTGACCATGAAGGGCAATCCATGCTTGCTTAGCTTAGCCTCGAATGTCACAACCAGCTTACGACGCACTACTGCTGGGCTTCCGTCCTCACAGAGACCGTCACCAAACAGCTCTCCTGTCCTCGGATCAAAGCCAGGCTTGTTATACAGGAGCAAGCTCCTATCGACCTCCATCATGGCGGTCTGAGCTGGAGGTGCATCCAGCTTGCCCGTCGCTTCATCGGCATACCTTGCCCACATCTTGACGCAATCCTGCTCTGTCACTAGCTGGTAATGACAGATCTGACCGCCTTCGAAGATGGATTCGGGAAGCTGCATGAGTCTGCACGCATGAGAGTTGGCTGCGTAGATCTCGCCTGTGCGACGGGCGACAATCATCGGGATTGGGATCATCTCGAGTACGTTGGCTTGGTAGTGAGCGAGGAGTTGGTAGAATTTGTCTTCGACACCGATCAGTTCTGCTTCTGGTAAGCTTCGGGACAAGGCCATGAGCTTGGGACGGATCATGGAGAGACTGCGGTCGACTTGTTCGCAATTCTCAGGCGAGAAACGAGTGTACATCCATCGAGCTAGCTTAGCGTACCCATAGGTGTACGAATAGGCGGGAGGGCCACCACGAAGTTCGGTGGCAGTAGCTGCTTCTTCTTGCAAGAGATGCTTGGGTCGTGGAGGCAGCTTGAAGCCAGCTTCATCGACTTGGCATTGACTGGAGGCGACGGTCATGGAATGCGATCGCTTGAGGCGGCTATTGTAGTCGTTGGAGCCTGTTCGGTGGGGAGAGCCTGGAAGGTCAGCTGAACCAGGACGTAAGATAGCTTGACCTCGAAATAGTTTGGCCATGGCAGGTGTCATGAGCAGAGAAGTGGGCATCTCGCCAAAGATGTCGTTCAAGTCACCAGCAGCAGGACCTGCTTCGAGCATCTGTTTCATCTTGACCTGCGTGGAAGGATCCATAGATCGGTTCCACGCTTCTTCCTGCTCCTTTGCCGATACACCTGGTGACAGACTGCGTTTGGGAGGACGCCGTTGCAGTTCGAAGTTGGCTGGACTAAGAAGATTCGAGATGGGCATGGTGGGTCGTATGTCGGGATCTCGAGCAGTGGCTCCGGGCATCTGGTTGACGTTGTAGGAGTGATTGCGACGTTTAAAGATGGAAGAAAACTCGGCATCAGAAGCCATGCGATTACGGAACGAAGAGGCGGGTGACGACGACATGCTTTCGGCGTCAGAGCCAGACTCGGTCTCTAGCGCCGTCTCGCCGTCTCGTCGTCGTCTTGCACGTGAATGGTCACGAGCCTCGTCGATCTTGTTTTTGAGACCTTTTGCATTGCTATCCGTCCCCGTAGGCGTCGACGAGGTAGAACCGGATGCGGAAGTTGAGCCAATGGGCTCAGCGTCTTTGCAGAGGTGCGAGATGCCTCGTTTGACACAGCGCTTACATGGTCTGGCCTCTTCACAAGGCATATGACTGCGTTTGCAAAAGACACAGGCCTTCTTGACCTTCTTCCTACTCTCCTTGCGCTGTGGAGCGGCGGCAGAGCCCTCAGCCGCTCCAAGCTGGTCAACACGTTCTCCATCGTCGTCATCGGCAGCGCCCGAAGAGGAAGGCTTGGAGGCATCAGCGCCGTCCAGCTCGAGCATATACTTGAACTGCTTCTTTCGCTTCCTGGTAGCTTGTTGTGGTGCAGAGGCTGTCGATGAGCTAGAAGTGGGATTGGTAGAAGAGGAAGCAGATGGAATGGTAGAAGAGGAAGCAGATGGAATGGCACAAGTCGAAGCATCGTGTTGCCTGTCCTGAGATGTGGAGGTGGAAGCGTAGCGTGCGTAGTCGTGGACGCCGGAGGGATATGCATCGCGATGTGAGCCAAAGTCGCCTGATGGCGAGATAGGATGCCTCTGGCGATTGGATGCGCGGGGCGATGGTAACTGAGGTCTTGCGTGGCCCTGGAAGCTGTCTTCGAGACGCAAGTCACGCGAGGGATGACCATGTTGTTCGGGATGCTGTTGTCGAGGAGGATAGGTGTGAGGCTGGTGATGGCTCGAGTGAGGAGGGTGCTGCTGTTGTTGGTGGTGCTGGTGCTGGTGCTGGTGCTGGTGCTGGTGCTGGTGATGATGCTGGAGGTCGTCTGAGGGACTGTAGTGAGGGGAAGGGTACTGGTGCTGAGGTGGCAGAGGTGGTGCTGCGCGTTCGTCATAGTATCGCCGACGGTGGGATGGATCGGAAGCAGCGGATTTGTAGTCGTCGTAAGGACGATTCGGACGAGAACAAGGCTGAGCCATCGGTGCTGCAACAGAATGACGGTCATGTGACTGTGCCATTCTGGAAGGAGCACCTTCACGTGATGATGAATGAGCGAGAGGTGGCTTGCAGTGATAAGCGTGAGGATTGGCGTAGTGATAAGCAGGATCGATATGACCTTGCGGCAAACCCGAAGGTTGCATCGGCACAAGCCGACGGTCGGGTTGGCCGATGCGTGCATCTCTTCTCATGGCTGTGTGACGCTGTTCGGCTGCGCTTCTATCGGCATGTAGGTCGTAGCCGGAGCGATGCGGATGCATAGTGAAGAGTGGCGCCAATCACTTGCTCAGAGAACATAGGAGTCACACAGCCGATCAACGTGGGAACCGACAGACTTGGCTGAGCGGCAAGACTGGAGCCGCCGATGGCGTAGCCTACTCAATCGGATGCGCCACCAGCTCGATATCCAGGGAGCAGGCCGATAGAAGGAGAGCCGTCTCCTGTATGCAGACAGCGCCGGCAGACAGGAAGGATGAGAGAAGCAGCGTCAGCCCGGGCTGGCCTTGACTTTTATAGCTTTCGCGCGACTTATACCGCTTCTCGACGCTGAAGATTCAGCCGTGAGCCGTTGACTGTACGTGACTTGTGACTGTAGAGAAGAGGCTTGGCGCGCTCTGAAAGCAAAGAAATGCGCCGTTCCGAAGTAGTCTAGGGCGTTGGTGTAGAGGCGTAGCGAAAGCGACGATGCAGTCGGGAGGGCCGAGTGATAAGAGCGCCCGCAGCTGGGACGCCTCCTGCAGGTCCTCCTTTAGGACTGCCAGGGGCGCAAGATGGAAGCGAGCGACTGTTGAGAGTCGGAGAGAGGCGATGGAATGTCTAGAATTGTGTCCAGACAATCAGGCTTGTTTGGCGCTGTGCTGCAGACCTTAGAGAGAATGAGACGGAAAGCAGATGGCCAAAAGAGCATCTACGCCAACTAGCTGTGATTGTGAGGGTCGCAGCGAACTTAGGCGGGAGAAGCAACGCAAAGCAAAGCAAAGCAATGTCGAGGCCGATTCTGCAGATGGATAGCAAGCGGTCCAGTCGCTGAGGCGTGCAGAGAGGCGCTTAGAACGGGACTGACAGTCTAAGGATATGGGAGATGGTCTAGGGAGTCTCGGAGAGATGAGCAATGCAACGGCATGGATGCAGTTGTTGTTGATGGTGATACTAAAGCACGAGCTCTTGATCACGCTTTGACAGTACAAGTCGCAGCTGGACGGGCGGAGGGACAGACGGATTGTCGGCAGGCATGAAAGTAGGGCAAGCCTCGTGCGCTTTTCCGAAAGGGAGGAAAGAGTAGCATAGACTTGGGTTGATCGTCTGATGCTCCAGAGTCGGAGAGTAACGACGGGATCGCGAGGCTATTGCCCGAGTTGTTGCTCTTCGTCTACGTCGGCAGCGGATAAGAGACCCAGATCTGGCAGAGAGGTCAAGGAGCGTGGACGAGGCGAAGAGAGTTCTTAAATCTGGTGTCTCTGTTGAGAAGCCAGCGCAAGTTGTACAGCATATAGTTCGGAAAGGATCGAGGAGGACAAGGAACGGAAGGGAGGAAAGTGACAAATTTAGAAAGCAAACTCAATCAAATGAGTTGGACGGCAACGAGGAGCGAGGGTCCCTCTCGTCGGAGAAGAAAAGAGAACAGCAGCAGCAAGAGGTTTCAGACAGAGTGACACAATTGTCATCGGTGTCGGTGTCGGTGTCAAGGACCAACCGAGCCAATCGACGTGACGCACTGGCAAGCGAGTCGAGGGAAAGAAGAGGGAGGCCGACGGTGCGCCGAGCGAGCGTCAGGTGGAGAAAGTTAGCGGCAGCAGCAGTGTGATTGTGATGCACGCTTGTTCGGATGTTCCAAAACAAAAATAAATAAAAAATAAATAAATAAAAATAAATAAAAATAAATAAAAATAAAAAGAAAGACGAAAACAAAATCACGGATGAATCGAAACGAGGAGAGCAGAAAGTGAGGCTGCAGCTCAGGACAGCGTGGGAAGAAACAAGGGAGAGCGGACCCAAAAGAAGGGATCTACTGAAACTTGGATTGGTCCTTCTTTCTTTCCCTTACTCTAAGTTGCATGCAACGCAAGGAGGAGTGGCCAGGCAAGTTTTTCAGGTCGAGCAGAAATGATGAATCGCCTTGGCCCTTTGGCAAACTGGCCGAAAGAAGGAAAGGAACAGCGGTAAGCAGAGGAAGAACAACAAGAAGAAGAAGAAGAAAAAGTGTGGCTGTCGGGGACCGACGCATAAAACTAAAGCTTCTAAGCGAGACAAGATCCAAGAGTCACAGAACGAAATATATCAAATAAAGGTAAAAATAAAAATAAATAAAAAACTTGGCACTCGAGATGAAGTCAAACTCCTCTCTCTCTCTCTCTCTCTCTCTCTTTCTCTCTTTCTCTCTCTTTCTCTCTCTGTCTGTCTGTCTGTCTGTTCGATTCAAAAATAAACAAAAATGTAAATTAATCTTGAAAAAGAGATTGCAGTTCGAACGAGCTGTGCGATGGGCATCGAGACGCCGAGGAGTAGTTACTGCTCAAAGTCGAGCTACTGAGCCGCCAGAGAGAATGAGCGAGGGCGGAAGCATCAGAACGTCCATGTGATGGCTCTTGCCTGTTGCTGGTTATTGATAGAAGGCGGCTTGGATGGTCAATGGCAAGATCTTGGCTATACAAGTAGCGCCGTTCTAGGCATTCAAGCCCAACGTTAGCGTTGAAACTAGTGAATTAATTGTGAAGTTGATGTTGATGATGATGATGATGATGATGATGATGCATGACAATGACAATGACCGAAAGAGCACCGGAACGGTGTATCGGAATGAAAATTCCATCTGCATGTGGTCGCAGCGGACACAACAAGAGGGACTTCGGGGATCGCGGCCAGCGGGAATTTGGATTAATTACAATGGAACAAAGACGTAACTGTATGCAATCGTACTAGTGATACTGTATGTAGACACGAGACACCACGACCCACTTTACTCTCACGATGCTGGATCACCGGCAGCGTTGTGTGTTCAACGCAATTCAAAAGACATGGAGAGGCTGCATTCCGAAATCGAGTCTAGACCTGGAGTTGGGTCAAGTTAGGTTCATTCAGCTCTCGACGTCCCTCCGGACCGTGATTCGAGGAGCCTAAGCCCAAGATTGCGGTAAAGTGGCGTGCAACTTGTCGGCTGTTTCCGAACTGCAAAGTCTGAAGGTTCAGCGAGCTCGAGTTCTCTCATGAAGGGAAGAATGGAGCGAGATGCGCCAAAGCTCCCACTGCGGAGACCGGGATGGAGGCCGTGTCGAGTAGGGGCCATGCGAGACAGAAGGTCAAGGCAACATGCGCAAGTGACGAGATAAAGACACTTGTGCAGAATCCGTGAGATCAGGCATGTTGCATGCAGAGCGGGTCAGCATAGCCTAATGAATCTGGTCAGACGTCCCCTCGGATCAGCCGCTGCAAGAGAGATCGCAGGGAGCATGTCGACGGTAGAGCGGCGACCAGCTGGCTCCTGCATCTTGACTTGCTGCAGGAACTGAAGAGCACTAATAAGGATCCAAAGAGGAGCCAATCAAATCCCTTTGCCTCTAAAAGCCTCTTGGAATAGGCCGAGTGCAATTCGCAGTGTGGGGCTGGCAAGCAAATCGAACCGATTCTTTGTCCTTTCCTTCAGATATTCAGACAGTCGCCATCTCATGGCGGACGCTTGATGCTCAAAAACTTATGGCCTAGCCGAGACCAAGCTTGTATTTACGCTTTCTTGAGTTTTGATGCCGAATAGCATAGAAGAATGTTGCAAGCCAATCTTGGCTGCCCTTTCTTACATCGCTCAACTTTTTTCGGCGATCTCGTCAATGCCTTATTGTTATCCGAACAACAATACCATCTTGCTTTGTCATGCCGAAAACAGGGTCCAATTCTGCCAAGGGGCACCGAGGTCCATTGTCTCTTTATAGCCTCTCCAGCCGTCCGTGCCGATCGAACTGCCTAGCATTGTCATCCAACGGACCGGCAGCATAGCAACGCTTCTCGGAGCGGTACTGACGCTTGCCTTGTCTGTGCAGGAAGCGCTTTCAATTTCTCGGAACGCAGTCTTCCCTTCGGCCCAGGAGCTGGGGATCGCTGCCCTCCTTATGTCTCGATGTCTTTATGCTTTCTCTTTACTGAGATAGTCGCTTCTCATGTTGGCAGCAAACAATGGAGGCGGCGAGTAACACGGTCACTGGTGAACAATTGTGCCGAGGATCGGGTAGATCGGGCTCACACTGAACACTGTCCAGAGGTTCGATCGGCAACGTCGTCAGGGCGACAAAACACAGCTGACGTATCTGAAGGAGGGGGGGGGGTATCGACTCACACCGAGAGTCCGATGAACGGTCTCTTACGGGACAGCCGACGGAGGTTCACACGATGATAAGCTTCATCGGATTTTCCGTCGAGTAGTCCCCGTTGAAGTGATCGGCGCACCCGACGGGACGGCCGACAACCTTTCTCACAATGATAAGAGTTGTCGGGCTCTCCGTCGAGTGGTCTCCAACGATCAGATCGGCGCACCCGACGAGGCGGTGGACAACTCTGCTTCAGATGATAAACCTCCGTCGATACTCCTCTTGAGGGCCCTCATGCCCTTCATGCTTCAGACCTCTCTCCTACCTTTCGTCAGTGTCAAGGTGTATATATAGAGTGCTCGAAGTCGGCTAGTTCGTTTGTGTTGTCATCCATCCATTGTACTTACTCATCAACGCCGAGTGCTCAATACAAACCGTGTCCTGCCACAGTCCACTAGCCTTGCAACAGTATCTACTGTAAGGGCGATTCCAATTGCGTTTTTTGAGGCAGTGAGAATTGCTGTATTCCTGTCAAGACGTCCTCTGAGCCTTCACAATACAATAGTGCTTGAGGAGCATATCAATCTCTTCGACCTCATCCAGGCCCTCCAACCGCGAGAGCCTATCAATGGCCCAATCCGAGTCAAACCGAAGATGCGGGTGTCAGTGTGAGTCTTTCATGCTGTGAAACTTTGCGTGGTGCGCGCGCGAGAGAGAGAGACAGAGAGAGAGAGAGAGAAAGAAGATCGTACCTGTTTTTCTGTTCAGCATCCAACGCAGACCAAATGGAAAACAGACTTCTCCCACAAGCTTCGACTTGCGACGAGCTTGTGCTAGACCAAGCTCGGGTGAAGCGCTGACTTTGCGCACCAATGGTGGGGTACGCTTTGGCACCAGGGAGCGATAGTTTTCGAATCTACGTGACAACGGAGACACATAAGAGAACAAGTCAGCAACCGATGTTCGAGACGCGGTATCGCTGTGCGGCACTTACTTCGAGATTCTGCAGCATGACTCGACCGAATCGTGAGGGCGGTACATCAGAACTTGCTGAGGTAGCTGTTCCTTGGCCGAAAGCAGCAGAAATTCCGTGTTGCACTTCCGCATCTCCAGCAAGAGCGATATCATAGCTGACTGCAGTAATGTTTGCGAACCTCTTTCCTAATAGCTCGACAAGCCAATCAGCTTTGTTTGGAGTGATGTAGGCCAGCACACATTCGAATAGGATCAGTGTCGGTCGGCCCGGCTGGAGCGCGGTGCTGTGAGAGCCAAAGAGGAGGTCAGGATCGATTCGTTGCTCGGATGGTGTGTCTGGATGCAAGTTTCTGAGATCGGCGGCGAGAAGCGAATACTTTGATGAGCGTAGCACCTGCATCCGCCTGGCTCGAGCCTTGTTGTCCTGCTGCGTAGCGGCGGTGGGCGAGAGACCGTTTAGAGGAACACCGTGCACTAGAGAATCAGAGTCGAGCGAAGATCGCAGTATTGGGCTTCGCAAGATGCGTGTGAGCTTGTGCGATGTGTTCTCGTCAAAGTCGATCTCAAGGTAGTGTCCCAGATGTCTTGACAGATCGGGCTTGGTCTATAGTTGTGGCGGAAAAGTAAAGGGAAGAGTGAGATGCTATTTCAGTCAATGTCTGGGGCGGATTTCAGGCGAGCAGGCACCTACCATGATCCTCCAGTAGCGGCTGTCACTACCGGCACCGATCGAGATGATCTGTTTCGGCGTGTCTCGCTGCTTCAGGAAGGCTTCGACCTCGCTATCGATCGTTGTACAGCGTAGGTATGTGCCAATGTTTATCAGTGGGGATCTCCTGGCTGCGGTATTGCACTGATCTGAGCGCGAGAGGGGGGCCCCATAGTCGGAATGTGAGCTTGTTGAGAACTCTTGTGTGTATGGTTCGGGTGGTAGATAGCCAAGTTTCAGTGCAGAAAGACGGGAGAGCAGAGCATCCGAGTCCGTATTTCGAACCGCTTCGTCTGCTTGATTTGCAGCGATCGGCACATTGGCAGATACTCGGGAGAGTGCGTCGTTGTTACCGCTTCTTGCCGCCATTCTGTTCCTAGGTAGGCCCAAAGATAGACCCAGAGAACGAGGGGCGGCGCTTGGGCCAGTGCTTGCTGCATCGTTTGGATCCTGTCGGGAAATAGATGAGCGCAGTGCGCCTAAGCTGACGTTTGGCCTTGATGAACCTGGCACTGAATCGTGTGAGGGCAGCGAGCGAGATGAGGATGATGTAAGAGTCTCCGTTGGATGGCGTAGTGGTGGTGCTGGTCCAGATCTTGGCAGTCGAGGTAGTGGTCCACCTGCTCCAGAATACGGCTGCTCCTCTTCTTCTGGAGCGTATGGATCTCGCAGCGGAGCGTTTCGTTGCATCGTGTCGCTGTTGTCGGCTGAACACTTCCGAGGAGACGCTGTGACGTGGTAACTCTTAAGGACGGAGAAGCGTAACGACGGGATGGCGGTCGAAACAAAGTTGGCAGCTGAGCAGCGTCTGTGCGAGAGGGCGGCGAGAGGTGGAGGAAGAAAGGACCCGATCTCAGGGTCCACGGAAATCGCCACCCCGATCGTTGACGGAAATAGCCTTCCAGGGCCATGAACTGCAACCGGCAACTCACACTCACTCCTCAACCTTTGCAACGGAGAGATCGCAACGGACTAAGAGATCAGTGGAGCGGATCAAGGATGATGATCATCCTCGTTTTAATTCAAGCGAGAGAGAGGCTAGCAAGCGGAGTTGATGGTGCGGCAATCACATCGGGCATAACTCTTTTGCAGTGAAAGACCGGTCAGATTATGTGTGTCTGTATCAGCTTAACACCACCGCAATAAAAGCTTCAGTCGCGGGAATAAGCTTGGAGCAATTTGCATAGCCGACTGAACGCCTTTGACTCGCAACTTTGATTGCCGATGTCTGCACTTTCGGTAAGCAGTGACATAGTGACACTCGGTGCAAAGTGGAAAGGTTCTATGCTACCTTGTAACCGCTGCAAGGCTATGTCCGCACGCATATCCATGCTTCGTCGAGAATGTGTCTCTCATGCAACGCGCGCAGAGCATATCTCTGAAGCAGAGTCAGCTCCTCTCGTGAAATCTATAAACAGAGCAGCGCCTCTTCTCTATCGTCTTTGCCCACCATCACCAACCCCAAGACACTACTACCTCTTGACTTGTCGTCGACACGAGCCTTGGCAACTCGCCAACACTTGCAATCCTTCAGCGCACAAGCTTTCCTCAAGTTGACGATAGCACTTCGCACGCCTCTTCGGACTCAGCAGCTCTTCCGCGCATCAGTAGCAGTACCGCAGCAATGTCGTCCACCGCTACCGCCACCGCCACCGCCACCGCCACCGCCGCCTCCTCGGCATCCTCGAGTATTCAGTTTGCTGGTGCACGCAAGGTTCCTGCCAAGATCAACTACATGTCTCGTACCGTCAAGAAGCCTTTCACCGCTCTCTATACTCCCGAGGATGGTATACTTGACAATCACCTCTACGACTCGCCCACCGTAGAGATCACCGACCTCCGCGGCACATCTCGTGCCCAACGCGAACAAGCCGGCCTCAACGTCCGCCAAGCTGGTTTCGAGATCATCTCAGGCTTTGGCTCTCCCGAGACCGAGAAAGCTTGGGCTGAGCACAAGTGGGAGGAGACCAAGTGGATCGAATCAACTTACTATGCCGATATCGACAAGATCTTCAAAGATAAGCTCGGCGTCACCTCCACCTTCATCTTCGACCACACCGTTCGCAAGCGTCGATCCAAGGAAGAAGAGGCTCTTCCCGAAACTCCCGACTCGCGCAAGCCAGTGCCCATGGCTCATTCCGATCAGAGTCGATGGGCCGGTGAGAACCGTATCCTTAAGCATCTTGGTCAACAGACGCTCGATAAGGTCAAGCGAGGCGAACTTCAGGCTCAATTGATCAACCTTTGGAGACCTCTCCGTGGGCAGGCTTGGGATATGCCTCTTGCTTTTGCCGATAGCCGAACTGTTTCCAGAGGTGAGAATGGCGAGCCAAAGGACTGGATCCAGACCGAACTTCGCTACCCGACCTGGTCTGGAGAGACTCTTTCCATCTACTCCAACCCAGCTCACCGTTGGTACTACAAGTCTGGTCTCGGCACAGATGAGGCTATCCTCCTTAAGTGCTACGATTCAGTCGATGAGACAAGGACTCCTCATACTGCCTTCGAGGACCCAACGACTCCCAAGCATGCAGAGCCCCGATGGTCGGTCGAAGTCAGAGTCTTGGCGATCACTGATCCTGCTCTCAAGAAGTGAATGCGATCAAACGCCCATTCTACTCGCAAGCTCCTCTGCCGCATCTCACGTTTCAGCGCAGTCTCCCGTCCCCATCTTTGCTCTCGTCCCCATCTTTGCTCTCGTCCCCTATATTTTTGCCTATCTGTATCCTCAATTTTCGCATCGTGTTGTCCCGTACGCCCGTCTTTCTCTCCAATGCATTGTTTTCGCATATGTTCCGAACCGTGTCTTTGCGAGTGAGCAATCCATCTTAACAGCATACAAGGCCAGCCATTTGAGGCGACTCTGTTGCCATTGTGAAGTGTGAGGAAGCAGCACAATCACAAGTCGATCAAAAAGCAAGTGCACAGACCTATTGCTCTATTGATTGAAGAGCTGTCAAAAAAAAAAAAAAAAAAAAAAAAAAAAAAAAAAAAAAAAAAAAAAAGAGGCCGTTCAGAGTTGAAACAGGAGCGCTTGCAAACACAAACAGCGCAAGCAAGCAAGAGTGTGTGTGTATATGGAAGGTGAGATTAGGTTGTAGAACGAAGAAAGAAGGGGTACAAGTGATTAAACGGAAGAGACTATGAGAGAAAAGCGAAGGTATCAAATGATTGAGTTGGGTCGCGTCGCGGCAGTCGTCATCAAAAAAGTCGTTTGCGGTCACCATCATACCAGCGCTTAGTTGACGGAGATGGGAGTGCAAGAAGTCTGCACCAATCCATTGTTGGCAGAACCCTCGCAACAAACAGCCGTGTTCTTGCAAGTGTTCTGGAGGGCAATAGCGCCGCCAATAACACCGACGGGGATCTGCTGGCAGTCGAGGCCGATAGCACCGTCAAGGATCTCGTTGAAAGCGAGACCGAGACCGGCAAGGGCGTCCTGGGCCTGCTTGCCCTGCTTCTGCTCGTGTGAAAATGTCAGATGGAAGAGAGAAGGCTGTACCGGTCAGATCACTGTCTAAGATCAGAAAGAGAAGAGAAGCGAGAGAGGCGTTGGATACTTACCACCTGGGAACAGCACTGAGCGGTACCAGTGGAGCACTGACCGTTGCCATTGGTCTCATGGGCGGTGGGGAGAGCCGAGGCGACGGCGGCCAAGGTGGCAACAGCGGCCAAGATAGTCTTGAACTGCATTTTGAAAGATTCGATTGGGGAAGCTGAAGAGCTGAGAGAGTGTAGAGAGTTGGGAAGAGTGTAGAAGAGTGGAGTGGAGTGGAGTGGATGAGTGGATTGATGATGAAAAGGAGATGGAGAAGACGCCATTTGTCTCGTTCTTTATAGCTTTCGAGAGGGTGTTGGATGATCTCGTTTGAGGAGGGGGGGGGGGGGGGGCATAGCGTGCTTGACGGTGGCCTTGGGCAGAGGCGCGAGGCGCGAGGTGATGCAGCTCAACGGAATGGACATTGGCCAATTCCAGGAAGATCAAGAAGCGACGCTTTCATCGACTTGAGGAACAAGGTCCAAGGGCAGCAGGCAAGATGTCAAGATTTGCAAAGCGTCCAGTGTCAACAAGGGGGAGGAGCAACGTAAAGTGGTGCGCGAGCGTGGGGTCAAACGCCATGAGAAGTTGTGGTCAACAGGGCAGGATCGAGACAAGGCATCTGTAGGGTTCTCATACCGCCAAGGCTGCTAGCTGCGTTCGACAAGCTGACTGGCAGAGGAGCATTCCCGACTGAGGTCCAAGAGACGGCGGCTGCGTTGCATATCATAGCATAGCTTTGGCGCATCAGATATTTTGAGCGCTGGCGTGCGCAGTTTGACATCCGAGCAATTTCACATAGCGACGCCGCGCTTTCCCTTGCCGCCTCCCATCTCGGCAGAGCAGGAGATCGCTAGGAGAAGCTTTCTCCACTTTCGCAATACATCTCGTACATTCCTAAGATCGGCCGGAGCATTCGAATGCGCATACCCTACATCCTGGCTCCAGAACAGGTACACAGAGCTCGGGCAGAATAGTTAGCCAAGCAAGGCGAGAAGAAGAGCTGCTTAGCGGCCACTGAATATTTGTAACAGCAGAAAAGGGCGCTGGCACACTCAGTCATAGTTACGATGGTATATTATATTAGCATTTCCAGGCTTGCAATGTGAACCACAGCAAACAGCGGCATAAGGCAAGCTCGATTCGATCCCCACATCAGCATCATCATCGTCTCTGTGCTTCCCTGTGTATGCAAGCCTGACAGCCGGACCAAGTCAACTGTGTGCGTGTACTTTCATGCTGCCCTTTCCCGTACCATCCAAGAGGGTTCCTGCACTTGCCGACCCACACCAAGGTTCAGCCCTCACTGATGATTACGTCCCTGTTCTGCAAACTCTTTCCGGTGACGTACAAGCTCTCTCCGCAGTTAGGGGCCACTCCCAACGCAGAAGCACTGCACAAGGATGACCGAGCGTTGTGCATGCGGCGACAATTGCGATCGCTCGGGGCTGTGTCCGGGATTGCAAAGAGGCGGAGGCGAGGCTGGATGTAGGCCGGGGAGAAGGGCCTCTCGACGCTCTACTCAACATGCCAAATCGTGTTTCAGACATGTGACCGACACCATCAACCCTCTTGCCACGCTCACTCCAACACTTGGATCCGAGTCAAGCACTCTCTGTCTTGCTTCGGTGGCGAGCATTCAACTGCCTCAGAGCGGACTTGTCCCCTCCTCCAACTCGCGATACCTGCACGTGCTGGTCAACTTGACAAGAAACATGCTCATACTTCACCTCCGACTTCCGAGTCTTGAACGTCACAACATCAAGACAGTCACCTCCGACGTTCTCGACGTCCATCATCAAGGTTCTCGCAGCGCTGTCGATATCGGTCGGTCACGCAATCAGTTGCACGGCCACTGAGTCACAGTCGTGATAAGGACGAGGAAGGCCTGCTGCAGATATCTGTCGCATTCATCGTGTAGTAATCAATGTGGCAGTCGGCAGCTGCTCAGTTTTGGCTTTCAAGGCAAGACGAGAGAGACACGACGCACTTAGGCGACGGGCTCCTCGACCTTGACGGTCTTGCGCGGGCCAGCGCCACGGACCTTGCGGGCAGGGGGCTGCTTGCGACCACGCTGCGATCGGAGGATGGCGGAGGCACGGACAACGGCGGCTGTTATCGTCAATGACCGCAAAGAGGAGCGAAACGCACAATCGTCAGTAAGGCTCTTCCGGATGATCTGCGACGGCATTACGGCAGCCATGACACCTCGGCAGACATCAGTGTCGGTGATAATGAACATTAGTCCAGCTTGACCCTAAATCCTTTCCCCGACTCGCTGTCCTTCACCCCAAACCGAGGTCAAGAGGCGAGAGACAGCGATGAATGATGTACGTCGGACAGTCGCACCACTCCAGAAGAGTAGCACAACGTTGGTGAGCCAGCAGCGCCCGAAATGGACGACAGGGCCCCACGAGAAGCACGCAAAACGTGCTCCGTCCAGACGCATGTGATCGATCTTGCATCGCTATTACGCCCAAACCTTCAAGGAGTTATGTTTGTATATCCGGTGGGTTCTAGCGCGATGCATTGGTTTCGCCAGACCTTGTTCCCAGCTCTCCTTTGTTTGCTTGCCTGTCTCAGTCCGGCTGGCGATTGCTTCCATTTGTCCTTCTCTGGTGCCATGATGCATGCTGTAGATATGATACGTACCCTTGGTCAAGTCAGCACGGTAACCCTTCTTGGCAACGATGTTGGAGACAACGCCGGCGGCACGACGGCTGCCACCCTTCTTGATGGTGGAAGTGTTCTTGGTGCCCCTGATCGAAAAGGGAGTCTTCTTGGAGTTCTTGGTGGTAAGAACGACACCCTTGCCAGACTGGGCGGGCTCAATGCCGACGGCCTTGGAGTTGACGAGACCAGAGTACTGTATCAAGCGAAGAGGTGGAGGTGGGCAGATGTCGGGATAGTGGTCAGCTCAGATGTTCGTTGTCCAAGTAAAGGCAATGCTTTCGACCTGGAACCTTCAGCTGGTGCATGGCCGTAGGAAAGAGCGGTGGTGGCAACGTTGAGCTGATGTTCCTGCTGGGTGATGATGACCAAGCGTGGTAAAAACGACGAGCAAGGACTGTGAGCGCGGCTCGCATAGATGACGCCGAGATGACTTTCTGCTGGGAAGCCGGAGGTTCGTGCTGGAACGTGCTGGCAGTACAGTCTCTCTGAACATCGATTGGGTGGTCCGGGCACATGCCCTGTATGAGGCTGTCGCAGATATGCTGCTACCAACCTGTGCTGACTCTCTGCGCTTTTCTATGCTGATTGCAGTGCTCCAGGTTTGATGATCCATTGTCGCTGTAAGGCTATGGTCTTACCTTGTAGCTGTGGAGCTGGGTGAGGTTGCGGGGCTCGCGAGAGAAGATGCGGCCGAGACCCTTCTGCTTCACAATGAAGCTGGAGTTGTTGCGAACAAGAAGCCACTGAAGATCCTGGGAAGCCATTTTGTCGATATTCTAACGAGGTTGGTAGATGGTATGATCGTCTTCGGAAACCAGACACTCTGATCGCGACGACCATGTCCAGCTTCTCGCTCACAAATCTGTGCCTGGCGTGCTCGTGGATCTGCGGATCGGCAACGATCTCAGTTGCGTTTGTCCGTCAGATTGGAGACTTGGTGGCCCGATCTAGTTCTTCTTTCTTACCCTTCCACACGCTATCCTGCTAGATTGGTTGCTGTCGGATCCGCCAAGCACTTCCCTCGGCCGAACCACACCATCGATCGGCTCTTCTGTGTGATATCGGGCCCGATGCCACTTAGCGATCAAGAAGGTTGTTGGCAGTGCAACTCGTCGAATATTGCGACCTTGATTTTTGGCTTCTTTTCTCTGAAACGCGTATATTATCCAAAAATTCTAAATAAGGCTTGCTGAGCATTGACCATCAACCAATTGTCAAAATCTGTGCAACACCTTACTCACTATCGTCTTACCATCATATCAAAGCTCATCGCAGTCTTCACAGCTCTCGGCATACATCGTGCTTCTAGCAATCCTCTCGATCTCTTAACTGCCAGTGACTTCGTTGCATCGACGCCCACGCATTTGCTGTCGAGCTTAGAACACTCGACCTCCACTTGCCAGTTTATGTCTCTTGACCCGCATCAGCATCATACACACGAACAACAACAACTCAAGGAACGAATTGCATCCCTCCCATCTCCTCCAAAGTCTGCCCAGCATGTCTCCGGTCTCGACAGCACGTCGTCCAGCATCTCTCGGGACCTTGGCAAGGTCTCACAGTCGCAGGAGATCAAACGCGACAAGGGCAAATCTCGCGAGACTGACCCAACAGAGGTTGCTGACTCTTCGACCGTAGTTCGTGTTACTGATCCAGAAATCGCCGAGGATGTTCTTGCAGGAGCAAATGGTGCCGCCAACACATCTGCACGCTCATCTACGGCCATGGATATCGCGCAGATGGCGCCAGAGTTGCTCATGCGCATCTTTGCATTCTTGGACCCCGTATCGCTCTCGCGTGCAGTCGCTGTGTGCCGTCCTTGGGCATCGATCGCACGCGACGACGCAACATGGCGAGCCGCATTTGCGGCATACTTCAGCCTCGAAGCTGCACAGGCTCATCGTGCCGCATCTCTCGAGGTTTCCGCCACACCTGCGCTCCGACGCCTCGCCAACGCTTCCTGGCGACAAGAGTTCCAGCAACGCGTTGATCTGCTTAGACAGTGGCGCAAGTCTCGTACACCAACCGTGCTCTCAACGCCGCGCATCGACATCATCAAGAAGATCTCGCTTTCTAAGCAGCATCGCCTGCTCATATCTGCCACGGACACCTATGGCGTCGCTTCACGCTCTAATCCATGGACTGGCAAAGTGATCAAGGGTTACCTGGACGCCGAAGGCACAGCCAATGGCAACCCAAACCTCGAATTCAGTCCCAACGTCTCTGCCCTCAATACCAGCTCTGATGCCTCTAACATCTTTTGGGGTTTCCGTTCGGGCGAGATCGGCATGACCACCATGTCCAGGCAAGGCACCAATCCTCGTGGTCTCATCAGGAGTATTCGCTTCACGCCTCGTGCTTCGCATGCAGGTCCCGTAACGGCCATTGCCATTCCTTTCGCCAGCGATAGCGACGGTGCCCACGGTCCTGGACGTAGTCCAGAGCGTCTGCGACAGGCCATTACCACGCTCGGAGGCGTCGCTTCGACCTTTGTCACTGCCGGCTTTGACGGCACAGTACGCATGTGGTCTTCACTTCGCAGCTGGCCTCTTTGGATCGCCAGCACATCGACAAAGACGTCCATCTCCAATGCCATCTCATCCAACACGCAGGTTGAGAAGGATGCATCGGCCGCTGCACCCATCTGTGCCCTCGCTTATGACGCCAAGAATGGTGTCGTCGCAGCGGGTAGCACCACCGGCAAGGTCTTCGTCTGGACCAAGATCGATGTTGCAGCGCTTCTTCGCATCCCTCCTGAGGCTACCGATCCAGAGCATCTTCGAAATAATCCTCCCGAGCCAGACACACTCGAGGCTCAGGCGCTATATGCTCGACTTTCACAGTCCACTCGCTCCACGACCATCGATCTGCCTCCTGGTTCCAGCACTGAGGTTGCAATTACCTCGGTATACATCGATGCTTCGTCTTCTGCCACTGCGAAAGGCACCGACACAGTAGCTAACGCGGAGGAGTGCTCGCTTCTCGTGCATCACTCAGGCGCAAGGGTGCTGCTGCGACATCGCATCTTTCAAGAGGCCTCAATTTTTGTTGAGACAACCGTGCTCGGCGCGGCAGTAATGGACGAGATCACTGCCATTCGACCCGACTTTGAGCCTCGCTTGCCAAAGCGCGATGCTCGGTCATCAGCTGCTCAAAGCCCATCTACGAGCGTGTACTCCTCGCCAACGCTTGCACCAACACGACCGAACCTATCCGGGGCTAACACTGCTCTACACCCACAAGCCCCGACGCTCGTTCTTGGTCCGGACCCATTCGAGAGTTACGACGGCTCCGGTCAGTATCCTGAGCGCAAGTATGTTTGCGTCGGCACCAAAGCTGGATCTCTATTTCTTTTCGACTGGGAGAGTGCAGGTACGGCCTTCGAGGAAGCGACGCAGGAGGAATGGCAAGGTCACAGTCCACCACGCTTCCGAGGCGAGAAGCAGCTGCTTCCTTCCATCGGCTGGGAAGCCCATCACACCACTGTTACCGCGCTCGATGTCACACCCTTGCACATCTTTGTTGGCACCTCAGATGGGACCATCAAAGTGTTCGACTCGCTCGCAGGTGATCTCATTCGTACCATCAACGATCGTACCGCTACACGCCATCCTGCACGCATGCTTGCTGCTGGAGAGTTCACCGAGAACGAGGCAGCAAGGTTCCGCGTCACCCAGATCATTGCTGACAACGAATGCCTGGTGGCTAGTATTGGGCATCAGACGCTTGCGTTCCGGGCCGAGCCAGTCTTGAGCAAGCGCGCTGCGGCTGCAGGAGGTAAAGCGAAGGGTGGACGGCCCAGACTTGTGGAGAACAAGTATGCGATGCAAGTTGAGCTCAAGCGTGACTTACGCGACTCAAAGGCAGAGCTGGAGGCCGAGAATGAGGAGAGGCAGACTGAGTACAGCAAGATTCGTAACAGACATGGCTTCGAGCCCGAAGGCTTGAGCGAGCAAGAGGCGCTAGAATATGCACTGATGCTATCGCGCGATGAGGAAGCAGCTACGGCGACGAACAAGGCTCGACACATGGGCGCAAGTGGGTACGTACCGGGCTGCCACGCTTCCAGCAGCAGGAAGCAGATCGAAGTACCGGAAGCCGTTGTTGACGACCCCGAACTAGCCGATGCATTGGAGCAAATCGCTTTAGCCGAATCCAAAGCCGAAGTAGAAGAACAGTATCGTCAGGCACGCCAACCTCCTTCCTCCTTCTACGATCGGCCTTCCCAAGGCAGTAGGCGAGGCAGCTCTTCTGCATCCTCTTCATTCAAGACTACCGGTGGTGAGAAGTATCGCATGTTAGAGGATCAAGGTTTTGGCTCAAACGACGATCTAGATGAAGAAGACCTGCACGGACTTGAAATGCACGAATACACGAGACCTTCTCCGTCACCTTCGCCATCCGCTTCACCATGCATGTCAGGTCTCTCCTCCCCGCCCACCTCCCGCGCTTGGACCATTCTTAACCAGGCTGGGTCAAGCGCTACCACCCCAGCTCATTCCTCGGATAGGTGGGGGAAGAATTCGAAAGTGCGAACGGTGAATGTTCCTCGCAGTGCAAGGTTGTCCTCACCTACGCCAGCCGAGGCTGCTTCTATCTCGTCAAGTCTAAGCAGCATCGTGGGGGAGAGCCTTGGTGCTGGGACAAGGCTGTCACCACCAGAACTGAGCTCGCCACGTGACTTCCCAGCTATGGGCTCTTTGCATCCTGCTTCCATGTCTGCTTCTCCGCATCACGGGTCTTTTTCCACAGCGATGAATGAAGGACAGATGCCGCCGCTGTTCCGTAGAACTAGTTCCGCGTTTGGTGCAAGTCCGATGTTGTCGCCGCTTGGAACAGCAGGGATGGGTAAGTGGAGTAGAAGCCCGAATCTTCGTCCTGTTCCCTCACCTTCGCCACCTGCTCCGAGTGCAGTGCGAACACCGCAAAGGCAAACCGCTTGGACGTCGAGATCCCCTTCTTTCACCTCTCCACCAGCAGCAGGAGGGCAGAATTCAGCACCTTCGTTGCTAGCTGCGTCTCTAAGGTCTACTCCAGCACAAACGGATGTTGCGCGAGATAAAGGCAAGTTGCCAGTTCGTCAACCTGCCATCGACCGTGCCGAAGAAGAAATGGATGACGATCTCAAATTTGCTATTCAACTCAGTCTTGCTGAAGAACGATCGCGGAACGAGCGATGATCATCCCTACACAGTCACATAAATTGCTTTCATCGTACACAGTAAGATCAGACGTCGCTTATAATCCAGGTTTTGCAACGAAATCAATTTGCTTGACACGATGTTCACCAACAGTCTGACACAACATGCGAGTAAGAAAGACTTCATCTGAATCCGGCCCAAATCTTCCTTGCTGATCCAGGATGCAGTGTCCACTTTGCCATAAATCCTCTCTCAACCTCTCCTCCATCGATCGTCTGAATCCGATCAGTCCTGATCTCCACAATCCTCGACTCAACCAAAGTCTGTGTTGCCAACCAAACATCAGCAAAGCTCGTCCCAATGACCCTCTTGTTCGATCCATCAGCTGTGTCAAGTGTGGTACTGAATCTGGATGCTAGCCAAGCAATGTTGAGTCCTGGACGCTGGAAAACCAATGCGACGATCGTTTCGAGCAGGTGCCGCCACGCTTCAAGAGAAGGAGAGGAGAGCGTAGTCCAGATGTGTGGTACTGTGAGCTGAGATCCTTGAAGATGGGCGCCAGAGGGGATGTTGAGGGCGTAGGTGTGGACGAAAGGAGAGGCGATCAGTACGGCATCCGAGGTGAGAGGTGAGAAGAACGCCAGTGGGAGCGGACTTGCTGTGAGGGCTTGTACATCGACTAGGGTCGATCCTTCGTTGAGAGTGAGACCTAAGCGGCCTGCCTCAAAGAGTTGCGTTCCGAAGCTTTGCAAGCGCTCAGCAGCAGCAGCGTCGGTCGCTCTGAAAAATGTGAGCATCGATTCAAAGCGTTCGAGCCACTTACTGCGGAGGCTCTCTACTTCGTCTTCCGGAACATCGGTGCCAGCTCCGACAGCCGAGACCCACTCAAGTGCACCATCTTGCGGGATAGCTGGTAGAGGCAACACTGCTGCATCAAGCGCGTCCATGGCCCCGTCCCTTCCTTTGATGCTGATGAAAGCTTCCAGGTCTTCATCGTTCAAAACCCTAGCGTTGAAGGCAGGATTCTGACGTAGCCTGTCAAAAGCCCGCCCGTCAATCTGAGCATCCATCAATTCGAGTTGCATAAGCAGGACGGTGGCTGCTGCCTCTCCATCCGCCTGTATTGGCTCGACCAAAAGCCCGTTCGATGCATCGCACACCTCTTGGAAATCAGATCGCCGATTTGTCAAGGTGGCTTGCAGATCTGCACCGCCCAGACGATCTGCAGCGCTCGAATCGGGAAACAGCTTCTGCAGCTCTTCAGTGAAAACAAAGTTGGTGCCTGGCTTGCGACGAATCATCGGATCGACTGTGATTGATCGAATCAGCTTGGCGTCGAGCAGGCGCTGCATGGCTTCTTCGATGAGAGTGTCGCCGACTGATTTGCAGAAGTCGGCTTTAGTCATCTCATCGACCGGCGTGAGCGCAGAGTGCTTCACATTGGTGGATGCGGGTGCGGACAACGCTCCTGCAAGTGCCTCCGCAGTAGCGTCCTGATCCGCAGCATCGGGAGAGCCACTTGCGATGACAACCCGCACCGCCCACTCTGCCATGAGATCTGCCACATTGGCGTGCCCTTCGCCGCCGCTGGAGTCTGCCTCAGCTCCAAACGATGTGCCAAGAAGCGTCTCAAAGCGCCTGGTCGCAGCGCCCAACTCGGTGCTAGGGAAAAACTGCTCGAAGCGTCTTCCGACTGGCTCCTCCACGAACTCGCCTTTCCAACTGTTGGTAGGGTCGGTAGACAGCTGCAGCTGCAGAGGAAGATGGTGTCGCGCCACCGGTTTGACTAGCGAGCGTTGCACTGCGTTCTTGTCAATCTTGGCGCGAAGCAACTCAATCTGTGCATTGAGGTCAAACCCTGTCGCAGCCGGAAAGTTGGGATCATGCAGACTTCCGTCCTCTCGGGCAGCGAGGTAGACAGGAATCCAGCGGCTCTCCAAAGCAGCTAGGTAAGACTCTTCGCCGTACAGCGAGCGCATGCGATAGTATTGGTTGCGCCATTGCGCCATAATGACACCTTTGGTTTTGACACGTTCTCCCTCGTCGATGACCTGGAAGAGCGCCGACCAGTCGCTCCGTCCGCGCATCTGATCGCGCACGCGCAGAATGACTGCAGCATCGCGCAGCAATTCCTTCTTTGCAGGCGTCCAGAAGTTGACCTGGTCAAAGTTGCGCCGGCTTCGGCGATCGCGCGTCGATCTACCGCTTCCACCAGCTGCGGCATCCTCGTCTCCGTCATCATCCCGATCTTCGTCAAATAGATCACTTCCTTGACGGTCTTCAGTCTCAGCTCCTCTTGTTCGACGCTTGCGGCGTCCCTGCGCGGAAGCACGAACAGCAGGCATCGTTTTGATCCCCGAAGCAGATCGGATGGCACGCGAGATTGCCCTTCGCACCGCTTCAGCATCGAATCTGACATCTCCAGCGACGAACTTACTGCGAACGACAGTCAGCGCGGTCTCGATCTTGGGTCGAAGAGTATCTGCTCCCGGTGCGTTCTCGAAAGCCTGGTCAAGGATCATCTGGAACTGTTCATCGCGTCGTTGACGAAGCTGACGGGCTTTGGTAAGAGTCGTCATGCGGCCCTGTCTTTCGCGTTCGGCGGGCGTGGTCTTGCGCGGTCCGGCGGTGCTTGCGAGGACGGCCTTGTAGGCTTGCGTTGGAAGTGAAATCGTCGTAAGCTTCAGCGGCCAAGTAAAAAGCGGCTTCTTGCGTCGCAGACCTGGTGCTCTCTGGATATCAACTGGCTCATTGGCATGTTGCAACTTGACTTGCAGCACAGCTCGAACGACCTGCTGAGGGGCTAGCGTGACGTATGCAAGTCGCTCGATGTCGTGCTGCGTCGCTGAAGAGATGTCTCGATCATCAACGCGCCAGAGATATTTGATCTGCGAGGGTCTGAGCTGATGATAGGGCCGCCATGACTTGCTCGCGTACATTGCGGACTCGAGCCCTTCCGGCACCGTCTTGAAGACATCGACGTCATCCAAGCTGCTCGCATCAAGCGCTGAAGCGTTCCCTTCCAAATCCTTCCGAATCCTGAAACAGCTCGACTGCATCTTGGCCCAGAAGAGATTGATCTTGTCGGCATCCAGACCAACATCCATGACTTCTGTGAGCGGTTTCTCTTGCTCTTCAGAACCCCAGTCGTAAAAAGCGATGTGGTCAAGAGGCACTACACTTGTCGCTTGCGGATCTAGGTGAGCCTTCTGTTTGCCCCGAGCATCTGCATTGATCTTGCAGACACCCAGGTCAGAAAGCTGTGTGGCAAGGCTGTAAAGCGCAACGAATGCATCGTTCGGAACTCCAGACGAAAGGCCGAGCGTAGCCTTCAGATTGTTCGTTACCGCATGGACTGGAAGCGAGCGGACGGTGGGGTCGAGCGCCAATCTTTCTAGCGACTCTGGTATCTGGAAGAAAGGGACGAAGGCGAAGTAGAGTTCGAGTGGCGCTTCGGTCCAGAAGAAGCTAAGAGGAAGTCCAGCAGAAGCGGCAACGGCGTTGGAAGATGACTGTCGCAGATTGATGAACTTTGCACATGCGTGGTGAAACGCCTTGAGTCGAATCATTTCTCCACCCAAAAAGCCAAAGTGTTGTCGATAGACGCTGGCGACATCGCAGAAGGACTGACGAAGCGCGACAAGCTGTGCGTGCTGGTTCGGCAGGTCGGAGAGGCGGAAGGCATCTTGCATATGCCACGGCTTGGCGAAGCGAGTGGCATCGTCTACGTCCACCTCCACGTTGTCTGTCACGCTCGTTAAGATCGTTTTAGCATTCTTACCGTCGAACCAGCCTTCTCGGCGGTCCTTGACAGCTTCACAATAAGCTTGCAGCTCTTTTGCGGGTAAGTCGGCAAGGTAGACGATCTGGCGCCTTGGGAAGAGAACGTTGGGGCGATCAATGCGAATGTAAGTACGGCGTAGCAAGCCGTTATCAACTGCGCTCGTGAGTGCCTTTTCTCTCACTTTCCTGTCACGCAAGTTGATGAGCTGCGCGTTCGAGGCGAATCCGTGCGTCTCGACGAAAGTGGAGAGCTGATCGGGGATGAGAAGTGAATCCATAGCACCACCTGCCTGGCGGATGCACTGAACGAGTGCCTTCGAGTTTCGCAGCTGCGTCAAATTCGTTTTCGCTTTCCGCTCAGACGCAGATGGGGTTGAGATCGACTTTTTGAGCTTGACATGGCGCGGGGTGGTAGGAAGGGCGGTCTTAGCTTCCACTTCCATTTCGGTCGACGCAGCAAGCAAGTCTGCCACGCGAGACGTGTCATTCGGAGCTTTGGCTGCATAAGGGCTGTCCTGCGTGCTCTGTCCTGTCTGTGTCGTCTCTTGCACAGCCGCAGCCTGCTTTTTTGGTTCCAAAGTGGCAGGAGCAGATGCGACGGTAGCTTCAATGGTGGTTGATACCGCTGTTTGCGCATCGTCAGGCTCGGGCAAGATCGGGCAAGATGCTAGCAACGAGGTGGGTTGAGCAGGGGTACGATCCTGCAGCAAGCGTCGACTGCGACGGGTCGCTGCACTTACCGCAGGGGATTCGGGAGCCGGCATTCCGTCATGGTTGTCATTTGGGGTGTCAGTGCCCCTCTTCCGCTTGGCGCGCGACGTACTTTCTGGGACCGGAGTGACAGGAGACTGAGCGTCTGAAGGCGTGGGGCTGCTGAAGCGAGAGGATGAGGCACTACCTGCTGCACCAGAAGCGGGAGTGCCGGCTGGTCTGGTTGCTGCGGATTCGATCGATTGCTTGCGGGGACGGCCTCTCTTGCGTGGCGTAACAGGTTCATCAGGGCTGGGTTCGACAGGATGTTTACGGGGCCGGCCCCTTTTGGGGGGCGGCGCATCGGGTTCGACAGGATGTTTGCGCGGTCGACCTCTTTTGGGAGCAGGAGTGTCGGGATCGGCGTCGATAGGGAGCTTAGTTGGAGATCGACCTAGCCTTGGAGCCCCCTTGCGCCGAGTGGGGGTGAACAGATCCTTGCTCAGAGACGCCAAACCTTCGGATACTTGTTCTGGTGCAGTCCAAGAAGTAGACAACTGATGGAAGCAAGAAGGCCCACCGGCGGAAGCGAGTAGATCGAGGTCATCCTGATCAAGGTAGCCTTCGTTGGCGCACTGCAAGACCCAGGCATGGTGGCTGTAGATTTTCGTGCTGCGAATTCTCACCTTGTGCTCGTGGAACTCTCGGATCTGCATATCGCTCATCGAGGGCTCACCGTCAGCTTCTTCGGCGCGCTGTAGGAGCTGCTCAATTGTACGGGAAAAATGGCCGTTGGCGTGGAGCTGCGCCATGAGCTGGGCTGTGGTGCGTCCGGAAGGACCGGCGCGGGCGACCTGCTCGTAAAGAAAACGCTCCAAGGTGAGTTCGCGAGGAAGGCACGAGTCAATTCTGGCAAGGTCCTGCGCGAGCTTGAGATTGAGCCTGTTTGCTTTGGCTTGTGCCTCTAAGGATGTGGCATGGCTAAAGTCACCGCGAAGCAATTCTTGCATCTCGTCGTTGCCTTTGGACGTCATCCTGAGACCCTTGTGGGTTCTTCCTGTGCTCGCAATAAAGATGTTGACGACTTGGAGGAAGCCATCTACGATAGCATGTTTGAGGAAGTTGTGAAAGGATCTGCGCTGAGGTTGGGCGGATGCAATGTTGATGCGACGCATGAGACCGAGACGGGCAGTGACTTTGGAAGAGGTAACGTCGCAAGCCAGATAGATGCGGAAGCGCAAGAGCTCGGGACGACTGTTGTTCCACAAAAGGAATTTTTCAGCGTCGAGGTACTCGAAGACTGGAGCGCGCGGTGGAGCAATGTTCTGAGAGTGATATTGCTCTTTTTGATGCTCGCTTGATGGTAAGGTGTCTTGAGGTCCTTCCTCTTCCTTGACAGTGACGGTAGGGGCAGAGGCATCTTGGTCGATGTCTTGGCCTTGAGCATCCTCGTCGGACTCGATGCCGATTTCGTCGGGGCCAGCGACCATCGTTGAGGTCGAGGTGGAAGGAGCTTGTTCACTTGCTGGCGCTTCAACTGCAGATTGGCGCAGGTCGGCAGCATTGTCGGCGTTCCTCTGCTGAATGAGAATCTCGCAGCGATCCTCGAAGCTTGTTGCGACAAAGTAGCTGGCGAAGTTACCGGTCTCACGAGCTCTGATCTTGGTAATAAGACCAAGGTCGGCGAGTCGCTTGCAGATATAGAAGACGGTCTTCTGATCGAGGTGGAGGGCCGAGCCGATTTCCGTGCTGAGCACGGGGACCTCTCTGGAACGGCAGATGAGTTGAAGAGCTCGATAGGCGGAAGGAGGCAACAAGCCATCACTGGCGCCTACTAGGAGGCGCTTGATGAGCGCATTGTTGAGGACTAGCCTGAGTCGATCGCCATGAGTCTGCTGGAGCTGGAAGAGACCTTGCTGCTCTGCAAGAGGTTGATCGGGTAAAAGTTGGACCCAATCGTACTCGGATGGTGGGTGGGCTCGACCCTCTGACTTGATGGATGCCGGACTATCGGGAGCCGAGAGCTTCCTGAAGATGCCACTCTTTGCACCGCCTTTGAAAGGGACGCCAGACACAAAGAGGCCCACGCCGACATCAGGATGGCTGACCAATTGACAAAAGACAAAGGCGTGATAGGAGGCGTCGACAAGCTGATCAGGTAGCTGAGAGCGAGACGAGTGCTCAGCATGGAAGTTGCGAATGTAGTGGGTAAGCCTATCGATTTCGGTGCCGGCCTCACCATCGAGACCGATCTGCTGGATGCAGTAGTGGATGAGTTCGTCGATCATGGTGGCGAGTGCGGATGGATGGGAGAAGATGGATGGGAGAAGATGGATGGGAGAGCTTGCCCCTGATCAGAGAGCTGAGGTGGGCGTTGGATCCGCGACTGAGCCACTCATCCTCATCGAAGTTCAGGATGGCTGAGTCGATTGTTCGGACTAGCCGAATATGTGATGGATCGTGGATGTGATACGTTCGTGGATGTGATACCTTCAGGGATGTGATACCTTCAGGGATGCCGGTGGTCGGAACTTCCGACTTGGGATTCAGGGTCCACTTCTAAAGTCACAGACCGTCTAAAGTCACAGAGGCCTCTGGTGAAATTTTTGACAACTGCTGACCTAGCATGACTAATCGATATTTTCTCTATCCAAATCTTCGAAATGGGACTGCAGCATTGTCTCTTGTCTCAAGGCTTCTCCATATCAATCCGTATGGCTATCATCTTCTCCGAACCGGACTCGCTCCTTCACATTTCCAGGCTCGCACACGGACCGCATCACAATCCGGCGCATCATCAGCAAAGGCCAACGGCAGATACAGGACACTAGGGAGGTGTCGTGATCAACACACATACAACCAAGATGGTGGTGCAAACAATCGAGGGAATCGTCACAAAAGCAGGCGTCATGGCTAAAACTGTCACTGTCGCTGTCGAGCGTCGCTTGATACACCCAAAGCTGCTCAAGGTAAGTCTCGGAGCAATATCTCGGTCCTGCGTTAATCTTGACACGAAGTGCAAGAGTGTTGATAGGGTCCATGCCTTCGACCTGTTCCTCTTTGATCATTTAATCACTAACTTTACCTCCTTCTTGAAACGCAATCGTAATCTTTTATCCTCTCGTGGCATTCGCAGCCATATATCCGCCACAAGAAGTACCTCGTTCACGATGAAGAGAACTCGCTTTCCGTAGGAGACAAGATTGTTGCCCAAGCATGCAGGCCACTTTCAGCACGAAAGCACTTTACACTCTTCCACAAAGTCGGCACGCAAGCTCAGGCGGAAGCACGAAGAGCCAAAGCAGAAAGTTTCATTTCGGCAGAGGAGAAGGAGAAGATCCGCATCGAACAGCTTGTTAAGGACGAACTCGCAAAGGGTGGAGGTGGAAGCGGCTCAAGGAAGGCATGATCCTCCACCGGCTCGATTCCAGCAGCAGCATGACAAGCCAGCGTGGAGTCTCCCTCATTGGCTCTCAGCTGTACTGTGCTGTGCAACGGGCTTCTTGCGCTTTTGAAAGCCTGTTCGTCTAGCTCGGTGTTTCTCGATTCTCAATCGCCACTGTTACAACATTACGCTTTCCAGGCATCATCCTGCTCTACGCGGTTCGATCCGCTTCTGTATTATATCCTTGCACCTATGCTGCTATTATGGGATCGACAGTCACATGTGCTTGCTTGCTTTGCTAGACAAGGAGCGGCCAAAGCTACGAGCAAGATGGTCAGCAAAAAAATTATTGCGTGTGTCTACGAGTAAGAGCTAACATCCCTCGTGGATCGCCATGCCTCGGCCACACTCAGCGTCTGAGCTTTGAAAGTCGCTCTCTTCGGTAGAAAGATTTGGCTCTTATCGACGCTGATCGGGCGATGTCAATCTAAGCACAGTGTTGACGCTATTCAGCTAAAACACTATACTATATTGACCTAAGAGAAGAACGTAGCGGTAGCCTCAAGCTCTCCGCTTGGTATCTATATACAGTAGTGATATGTGGCTGAAAGTGGGAGCCCCTGATCGCTATCATATCGGCCAGCCCGATCTCCGATCAGATTGTCTTTTTCCCGATTCATTGTCAGATCGCGTTCTACTGGATCGTCACTTTCAGCATCTTCATCTACACGTGACACTACAGCTCGGCGAGATTCGGGGAGTTTTAACCGGAAACATCGAAAGACACGCTTGGACCTCGTCGAGAAACACGTTGCAGTTCCATCTCTCTCCTCTTCCTCCCAACACCACCACGAGCTGGCCACTACACTCGAGTCCGCTGGTCCTCTCCAAGACCGCGCCTGTATCAACATGGACGGGCAAGGTAGAGCAGTCGACGATACCGCTCAGCCAGGATCACCCACCGATCAGCTCCACAATACCAACTTGCCAGTGCCGCCGTCCGCATCATCGCTATCAGTCCGCACCGACTATGACGACAACAGCACCGGCTACATTACCGCCTCCTCAAGCCGCCTCTCTCAACTCGACAATGAGCCACTGACCAACCTGCCACGCATCCATCTCCACTCTTCTACACCGGTCAAGCGATCGTCCATCGCAGGCAGCTCTTGGTTTGATTCGATGGCAACAACAGCAGCCAGCACCAGCAACGACACCAGTCATGCCAACTTGGCCTCTCTCAGCTCCGTCACTACCTTTGTACCAAGCACTCTGACTGACTCGGACGGTTCTGACCAAGATGACAATGCTGAGCGCACAAGTTCGGATGGTGACACTACAACCCGCAATCGCACGGAAGAGTCTACTCCTAGCTACGACTTTGACCTTTGTGGTCCCCACGAGCGTACCCTAAATCATATCGGCCAAGATGAGGAGGAGGATGCAAGCATAGATCAGGACCAAACACTCGCCGTTCGCGATGCGATGGAAGGCGATATCATTACCATCAGCCATTCACATTCGACTAGTATGAACACCTACAACGACTCGATCCCCCACTCTCGCTCCGCTTCTCAACCCGATACCTCTCGACATCACCAAAGACACAACCACTCTTTCTTACCTGCAAGCCTTTCCACATCATGGCCATCCCTCGCTCTGCCACCTTCGGCAATCAAGCTACACAAGCGCAGACGCAACATTCTCCTCCGTCTTCTCAAAACATGGGAGGGCCGAGAACAGGTCCTGCACTTCAGCCACTCGCTGATCCTCCTCCTTTACTCAAGCTTGCATCATCCAGTGCCCCAGACGTATCGCGGAGCGATGTTGCGACCAGCCGGTACTGTGTTGGCTCTGTCCTTCCCCAAGCCGGTACGAGTTGCACTGATGCAGCGCATCTATACAACTGCAGAGGGCGTCGACAATTTCCGACGTGTCATCCTGATTGCGAGATGGGTTACAGCCGCGACAGAGGCTGCTATGGAGCATTGGCAGCAGCGACAGGCCAGCAAGAAACGAGCTCTGAAGATGGGTGATTCGGTGGCGAGTCGAGAAGAACTAATAATCAAGCTTACGGGTGATGAGCCGTTTGGCAAGCTATCAGATCATGTCGAGCATGGCTTGCATTGGCTGCAGCCGCCAAATCTTGCAACCTTTGATGCATCGGAAGAGGGACAGGGTGGTGCCGAGAAGGGGTTCACGGATGCTCCTGCGGCGAAGCTCGGCAAGATTACAGGCAGAGGCGACGCAACAGGTGCCATCGGTGCAAATGCTGCCGAGGATGCTGGATCAGGGTCGACAGAGAAAGACCTCAGTGAGAAGAACAAGACAAAGCAATCAAGTACGAAAGCTGCACCGACATTTGCCTCATCTTATGTCATTCGCACCTTGGCCCGACTCTGGACGAGCGTTTGGAAGCCATCGCATCTTGAAGCAGCAGCCGAATCCTTTGCCGTTATAGGTGAAGCATGCGAGACAGCAGCGGCCCTAGCTGGTGGTGGCATGTTTTGGCGTGCGGTTGGCATTCAGAAACTCGGTATACCTTTCCTTTCAGGTCGTCGAAGGCAAGGTATTGAGCGACTCGGCATTGTTCTGTCCCTGTGCTCAGTGCTGCTCAGCCTGCTCGTGCTTAGGATTGAGCGCAAAGTACTCAGATCTGAGCTCACATCAGCACATCGACGTATCATCCGCGCCAATGACAAACTCGGCTGGGCATCCGATCTAGCCGGCAAGACTATCAATCGAGATCAAGCTCTGTCCAATCGCAAACGAGATCCATCGCGGTCCTCAAGGGGAAGGATAGCTGGCTCGGAAGCAGCGCCATTGGAAATGCTCGGACCGGACTTACAGAAGGCAGCACGCGATTTGGACGATCAAGCGTTGCACCTTCAAAGGCAAAGCGCAAGCGATGAGAGCTCATCGTTGTCCAGTTCCGAGTCAAGTCTGTCGGACACATGGACGGTTGTTCCTGATGCCGACGATGCACAGACTCACCCCACTGCATATCCTCTCGTCCCTGCTAGACAGTATCACTCTTCCCAAAATCAGGAGCACGGAGAGGACCCGCCTCGAAGACGTGGTCATCGCTGGCGAGATGCTGATGGAGAGCCAAAATCGATCAACGTCGACTCTCTGATCAAGTCCACTGAGCGATCGCTGATCCGTGCCGAGTCAGATCTACGCAACACTCGCAGACGGATGCAACTCAATTTTTGGGAAAAGGTCGCCAACTGGTCTCAAGTCATCTTCTTGTCTTATGAAGCAGCTATGCCACATGTTGACAAGGATGCTCTTGAAGGCTCGACAGGATTAGTGGCAAGTACCATCAGGCTCATGGGATTGTGGAAGGAGCTCAGTTGGAGTTGATAAGGTGTATGCTGCGATTCGATTTCGAATAAGCCACGAAAAGAGGTGCAGTGAATTGTGTGTACATGTCTGAGCATTGAGTTTCTCTTCTATGTGTGTGTTAAGGGGAGATTACAGGATGGTTGGTATAAGCAAGGGATCCAAGCAGTAGCGCGGGCTTGAGAACAAAGTTCCCTTCTGAGCGGTCTAGGTACAGTACTAGTTTCGTCCCTGGTCGGTCGCTAGCAGTTGCAGGCTGCGACGATGATCAAGTGCCGAGATTGCATACGCAGTGGTTTTTGATGCGCCACTTCAATTGCCTTTCGGAAGCAAAAGCCAAGCAGCAAGACCGACAAACAGGCCCGAAACCTTCTCCTGCGGCGTGTGGAAATAGATTGCAGTGTTCAGCAGCATCCAGCTCCACAGTCCCACCAGACCCAGCGTCGCGGCAACAGCACCCTTTGCTGCTGGAGTCCAATTTGTCCTCGCTGCTGCTTGCAACCATGTTCGCTGGGGCAACAGCGACTTGACGATGGGCGAATCGGGACCGAGAAGAGCGGCAAGATAAGGAGCAATGTCTTCTAAAAGCAGTAAGGCGGAAAGAACCATGATAAAGGTGTGACCCGAGATGTCGTGCCCGCCTTTCCAGATTGCTTGGATGCTCTTGGATCTCAACGAAGAAGAGGAGAAGAGCGCAGGGTGGGTGGAGGAGGAGAGAGGAGTTCGAGTGCGGCAGTAGAGCTCTTCGACAGGAGAGGATTGTGGATCGCCACTGGGCACGCAGACTGCACCAGTGGCAGTGAGGATGCGCTCAGAGAGGGGAGGGCCGAAGAACCAGTCGGCAAAGAGAAGCCAAATGCCTGTAGCGATAGCATAGCGCAGCACCGAAATGGACAGAGGGCTAGTGATCGTTGCTTGCTGAGCTGCCTGGGAGATTGCATCCTCGTCTTTCTTGTTGTTGATGGTGTTTTGGCTTGCTACTGCGGCTGAGGTGCGGGGCCTAGCTGAGGTGGAGGTGGGCGTTGTGGAAGCTGGTGCGAGTCTAAGAAAGAAGAGCTGCAGAGCCCAAGCGAGGGTCGTCCAGAGCCAAGCATTCTTAACAAAGATCTGATTGACAATGTTCTTGCGGTTTGCCCAATAGTTGAGAGCATGATGAGGCAGAAGCAGGATCGTGGGTGGGATCGGGCCGAGATTTGTGTTGCCCTCGACGCGATTCTGAACGGGGGCTACTGTGGCGCCTGGAAGGGTGGAAGGGAACTGCGAATCCACAGTACTGATAGCGCCTGAAGAAATGCGTACGTTTTGAAGATGTGTGCCATACAGAACGCTATATGCTGTACCCAGAATGACGATCGTGCTGAGATAGAGAGCAAAGGTGATGTGATACGGCTGCAATCCCAAAGGCAGCTTGGTTTGTCGCCGTTGCGATGGAGGAGTTGTGGTGCTCATGATCCTTCTTCAAGCTGGGTTTTCGGGTGGTAAATAGGGGGGTCTGTAGGTAGTGAGGTGGTTGTATGAGAGTATCAAGCTGAGTTTGCGGATGGGAGGTGGGGAAGGTGTCTCACGAAGCAGCAGTTGAAGGTACGTCGGAAAATGTCCAGAGTTTATCCAATTGCCGAAGTTGGTGAAAGCACAGACCACTTATTCACGAGCTGACTCAGGATGTGGAGGCTGTAAAAATTATAAAAATTATCAATGTTACATCGACGCTCCAGACATTTAAAAGAATGCTTCGTCACGTGCCCCTCGCCGTCATCGGAGACTGAGAAGATGCGAACTCTTGCGAAATGTGCTCCACACGGGAAGAAGAGACGAAACTGCTGTTACCTCGCCAAGATGATCGACATGATCATTTCTACATCATCTCTACATCAGTCGAACACCGACTGCCAACACCGACTGTCGATCGAAGACAGAGCATACGCAACCTAGTACCGAACAGCACAGCGGGGACCTCCACTTTACACAACATCCATGATCGCAGCTTCGGTAAGTGTTCAGCAAGTGATCTCACAAAGCTTACATGTAGCAGCTTGATTGACGCTTTCGCTCTTCCTTGTCTCTCTCGTGACAATCTCACACACCATTCCGTCGCTGCTGAACTCGACTCGCAGGCACGTGCTTCTGCCAAGCTGGCAGCTGGTGCATCGATCGCCATTATCGCATCAACTTCCTCGGCACTCATGTCCAAGCCAATTTACTGCGAAGAGGGTCCCAGCTCCAGCGGTGCTTCCAAGCTCTCGATCTATCCTCAGTCAGATCCCAAAGTCGAGATTGTTCCCGTTCAGACTGAACTCGAGCGACAGATCGGCTCTGCACGACGTAGCCTTGCTCACCTTACCACCGACACCCGACACTCTGTTCGCTCTCTAGTCGACCGTTGGATCTCCATCGAGCGCTCGGTTGAGGGCGAGGTCAGGTCTCTCATCCCCGAATGCGAACCTCTCACTCCTGGTCTTCTCTACGTCGGTGTCGCAACGTTGGCTGGAAGCATCTTCACCCGATACCGTGCTTTCCCTATCCGCATCCTCACTCCTCCTCTCGCACTGATCGCCAGTTTGAACTTTTTCAACCCTCATCTCGCCCACAACTTGGCAGCATACTACACCGAGGTTGAGCAGCAATACTTGCCAGCACTCACTGAACAGCGTCGCAACCTCCAGAAGCAGGGCAAAAAGTACCTTGACTCGACAACAAAGAACATTCACGAGCTGAAGGACAAGACCGAACAGGGAGTCAGGTCAGGTTTGGAAACGGTCGAGCAGAAGACCGGTCTGAAGGTCGGTGATGTCGTCGTCGCAAAAGACGAGGCAAAATATGCGATCAAAGACCAGATGAAGGCTGTCTAAGCGCACCATCGAACAGTTGCTATCGGACTTTGCAATCGTCATTCCATTCTCATACCCATCTATGAGAGAGAGAGAGATGTGTGCATTTTTCAGGAGTCTGCCCGCACAAAATGCTCCACCTGAGCTTGATCACGCATGGACACGCTTCGTCGACTGCTCCTCTTCCGGCCAGACATGGTGTGTTTGTGCAATTGCATCGTTTGTGTTCAGTCGACTCGACTCCTCATTTCAGCTCTCTTCTTCACACACACACGGTCACTTTCGTCTTTGACGGTGGACACTAGACTTCAAATCTTCATGTTGCTGAGTATGAATCACTACGTGGCAACCTCTGGCCCAAGCGACGACTGACTAACACTCTTCTCCAACAACATAGCATAAGATCGTTCGATGGTCTCCAACCTTTTCCTCAAAGCTTCGTTCTGCTTTTCGAGTGCATCGAGCAACTCTACATCAGCGACGCGTTTGTGCATCTTCAGCCACTGGTGTCCATTCGAGTCGTTTGCTGCAAATCGACTGATTAAACCCGAAGCCTTTGATGTCTTGGCAAAGGCAGAGCAACTGAGGCTGGGCGAACAGAATAAAGCGGGAAGAGCTGCGCAGAGCGGTGCGCCGAGGCATCGCGCTGGCATATCTGCGACAGTGTCAAGTACGCAACCTTGAACAGAGCTGCAAGGATCGACGAGACGCAGAATTCCTTCGACAGCTGCTTCATTGTCTCTCGATACACCAGACTGAGCTTTGCATTGCAGGTGCGACAAAACGACCGTGTTAAAACGCACAGCCTGTGAAGGTGTCGTCGAACGAGATGCGTTGTTTTGGACAGCCAAAGTACTAGCCAGACCGATCAAGGCCATCGTGCACATTGTCGTTTCAGCATCTGTGTCTGCGCCGTCAACGTCGGCAGCAACCGCCGGCTGAGACTCGTAGACAACGTTGACCACGCTCAGGGCTTGTTTCGTCGACGTTTCGGAAGAAAGCACAGCTCCGTTCCGTGCCGACGCCTGATGCTTGAGCAAGCTCGACACTGCGGTAAGCCGCTCGATACTGAGCTGATCGAAAGCGTTGACAACGCAGTCGATCTGACCTTCAAGCTTGCTGATGGCCTCTTCCATCAAAGTTGCCCAAGCGTTGTCAGCACTGATGTCAAAGGAGACACAGTGCACACCACGACTTCGCATCGAGGCCGAAGCTGCACGTGGCGACGAGCCAGACCAGACTGGTGTGGCCAACAAGACCTGGGTCAAACCCAGAGCGGTCAGCTTCTGCACCAAGGCAAGGAGCAGTTTTCGATCTGTGCCAATCAGCAGAACACGCTCGTCGACAAGCGTCGATGGTGGTGCAGCAGCACCGTGTGCGAAACGATGGACTGAACAGCGGAAGAGCTCTTCGTACGCCAAGCCAAGCGCATCGTCCGACGCGTCAGATTGGTTCGGACGACCTTGTAACAGGGCATAGCGTCGGAGTTGCGGTAAGAAGGTATCGGCAGTGGTAGCAAGTGGATCCTCCAAGTCACCAGCAAGTTCAAAGAGCACACTTGGCGGTCTGCCATCCTCTCTTGCGCCAGAGACGGCAAGGCCGAGTGAAGTGCCAGCCAGGCTCCCGCGTTGACTTGCATCCATACTCCTATCAGTAGACGGGTCTGCCTCTTGCTCCGATCCTTCACGGAACGCATGCAAGCCAGACAAGGAATTGTGATACTGCTTCTCACGCAGCGTCAGACCCAATCCGAGAGCAAAAGCCTTCTCTTCCGCCAGCTGTTTGGAAAGACAAACAGTCTTGAGCATCGCATCTGCTTTCACTGCCTCCGTCTCTACAGCCGCAGCATTCCTCTCTCTTGCGATCTGCGTTGCGGTAGCCTCTCCCAAATGTCTCATATCCTCCTCTCTACTCACAATCTGCTCGGAGAGGGAGCCGAGCTGGGAGCGCAAATGTTTGTTCTCCTCCTCCAAGTCCTCCACAGTATCCTGTGTCACTTCAAGCCGACTTCGCAAATTTTGTGCCTCGGCGAGCTGCTCTCGCCAGCCGAGCTCGAGTTTGAGACCTACTTCTTTGAGCTTGGCGGGCGAATTGTCGGTCTTGAGGATATGACGAGCGTCGGCACAGGAGATGATGAGATCTGCAAGCTTGTCTTCATCCACCTGTCTGCGCGGTAGGCGGATTGGAATCTCGTCATCCTGGGTGACTGACGAGGCGTGAGTATCAGAGGTGCAACGGTTGGTGAGTTTGCGACTGAAGAGGGAGAAGCCCGAATTGGAGAGAAGGTTGCTTGTCGACAGGTTGTCGACAACTGCAGATGATGTGGACCGAGGCACAAAGGAGGACGCCGAAGAGTACGACGAGGCCGAGGTTGATCTTGCCATAGCAGCGGCTTTCGATGATGGAGAGGGAGCGCGGAGGAAACCCCATAGGCCACGCACACCTGTGGATGTACCACCTTCGGTGCCGGTGATCTTAGCAATTTGTATTGGAGCGAGCGGTGCAAGCTTGTGTTGTGTCGGCTGCGGCGCAGGAGCTGCAGGGACATCTTGGGTGTCCTCATTCGAGGCAGCCGGCGAAGACGAGGCCTGGACCACCGCAACTTTGATGCTGGGAGTGCTTTCATCCGCTTGAGGTGCCAAGACAGTTGGGAGGGCAACGGCCTCCCTGCTTGCGCCAGCTTGACAGCGGTGCGGAGTGGCAAGGCAACTTGCGAGGTCCCTGCCATCACCAGCAGCGGACGCTTGCTTACTTTTATCAAGCCAGTTCTGTGATCTCGGTGGAGGAGGTTGAGTACTGTTGGATGGCTCATGGCCCATACCAAAGCGTAAATCGGCCATCAAGCCGCGGACAGAGTCAAAGATACCTTGGACTTCGTTTCGCTGAAACTTGTTTGGACTGTCGTCGATCATCTCTTGATGGCTGCGAGAGATGGCCATGGGTACAGGCGTGAGTAGAGAGGCGCGTCTCGGCGTGCTTGCTGCGATGGCAGCAGACTCAAATGCGTCGCTGGCAGCAAAGCGAGAGCGTGAGAAGAGGGCATCGTGCGACTTTGCGTGGACTGGCAACAGCAGTTGAGACTTGTCAGGAATGGAAGTGGCTACGGAAGAGAGCGATGTGGGGGAACTGTCGTCTTTTGACTGGATATGGCAAGCCGTGTCTGTGTGGTCGAGTTGGCTGAATGTGGAGGCGGAGGCGGCATGAATGCCTTTGCTGCTTGTTGAGGAGGATGTGTATGTCATGCAGGTAGACGAGCGTCGAGAGCTGGATGCTCGTCTAGGGAAGCTGGAGTGTACTGTCGAGATGCTTGGAGAGAGAGGCTCTGGCGAGTCAAAGTCGAGGCCAATACCTTTGACAAAGTCGTCTCTCGAGGAGCGGGCCGTGATGGACGGGGTGATGGAGATGGGTGGGTATGGCGGGGATCCGGGTGAATGTACCGAGTTTCTGTGCCGACTCTTAGGCGGCATCGTGGGCGTGCTCGCTGCTGAGAAAGGCGAGTTGGAAGATGATGGCTGAGCAGCCAGGGGCGGTGTCATGGCTGCGTCGGCAGTGACAGGACGGGAAGCCTTGTTGCTGGAGATCTTTAATGGCGCAACAGATGGCATCGAAGTTGACGTCCCCGTACTCGCACGCTTCAACCTAGAGCTCTGACGGGCATCCTCGTTGGATGAGAGTGTCATCATCGAGGTAGATGCTGTGATGGTCGGTGAAGGCGCTGACAGAGGGGGTGAGGGAGGAAGAGGAGGAGGCGTTGCACTTACGAATGATCTTCTGTGTGAGCGTTTGGGCAGGGCGGGCTTGGTTATGCTAGGAAGAGTCGGAGAAGAGGCAGCAAGGACGCTGTCTATGCTGTTGGAGAGTAAGAGGGACATCATGTTGGAGGGGCCAGAGCTGCGTGACGCGTTGGGCGTTTAATGAGAGGGTTGCAAGAGGCGTTGCTGCAGTGCAATGAAGTGCGGCAGCCTCGGCTTGACTGTGGTGGCGGGTTGAAAATGAGCCATTTGTCGACATCCATCCGAGTGATGATGGAGGTGTAATGTTCGCCTGCGTTGTTGAGGAGGTATGTAAACAAGGAGCAAGATGGTAAGGGGGAGCAAGACTGGCTCCTTCAAAAGGTCGAAACATAGCTAAGCCTCTACCGGCCGGCTGAGCCGAATGAGCTGGATAGCATCGAGTACAGCTGTTAGATTCTTGTTTTGCTACAATACTAAGCCCACCGCAAAGTCCGAAGGAACAGCGCTGCTTTAAGCTTTAAGCTCACTTGGCGTGCGAAAAACCATCAAAAACAAAAAACAAAAAAAAAAACAAAAAAAAAAAAAAAAAACAGCGGGACCTTAAATTACCAGCTCTCAGGGTCCATGTTCGGCTTCTTTTTTCGCCGTCCCCGTTTGGACTCAATCGCACGAAACAAAAGCCGAAATCGTACACGCCTTCATGACTGATCACGTGATGCATCCCGCCTCGCTCATCCTCGTGTTGAAAAAGTGAAGACGTTTGAGTCTCGATAACTGGCGATCGGGGAGAGTCTAAGTACGATGTCACTGCTGCTAAAAGACAGAAACATGTATACTCAATTGACTAAGTGAACATGGCGAGAACCTAGTGTTCTCGAGCTAAATATATATACATCTCTGAGGCTGATACCGAGCGTGGGTGCTATCTACTTAATCACGATGCCTGACAACGAGCTGGCGTGATCGTCTCTGTCTAATCTCTGATCAGATCTGCTTCGCCCGATCTCTCTCATATCGCCTTATGTCTGCTTACATCACCATGTTGGATTGTCTACTTTCAACACCTCGGTCCGCAACTGAGGATTCAGTCCTCCTCACTTTCTCGTCCCGCTCCGCCAACGACAGAGACCGAGATGCTTTCAATCGCTCAACACACTCGCGCTCATTCTTAGCATCTCACACATTTGCATCTCATACATTTGCATCTCATACATTTGCATCAGGCCGGAAGACCATCGCAATCGCATATATTGCGATCAAAGTCTCCTTGCACTACCAAATCTTTCCTGCGCCATAGCTTTCAACATCTCCATCGTCTTTGCATCCTTTTCTTTTAGCGCAGATACCTTTTCCTGCATCTCAGCTTTACGTTGCTCCATCCTCTCCTGTCGCGCTTGCTCTTTCTTGCTTGTAGCTCTCTCACCTCTTTGGCCTCCTGCTCGTGATGCACTCGATAGCGAAGGAGTCTCTTGCTCATACAGATCTCGGTCATCCATCTCGATACCGTCATCAGCTTGTCGACGGGATGCAAACTCGCGATTAACAGCGTTACTTTGCCGTTTCTTCTCCAGCACCCGGTCGCGCCCTGTAGCTCGTCCGTGAAACGCCTCCTCTTCGTCTCGTTCATCTTGGCGTGCCCTACGGTGGCTTTCGCTTTGTGCGATACGAGAAAGGTCTTCCCTGTGCTCTCGGTCGAGTTGTGAGTCGGCGTAGCTTTTGGATGATGAGGCGGCAGATCGAGAGTTCCAGCCCGAGTCTCGTCTTGGTTCTTCCTCGGCATCAGGCGCTTCATTGCTTTGTGCATGACGTGTTTTCCTTTCTGCATCCCTCGCTTCGATTGCTCCTTTGCTAGATCCATTCGTCAGGGTGTCCACGTTGTCTCTGATCATTGCCAGTTGCTCCTGCTCCTTCGAGGAGTAGGTGGACTTGTTTATGAATGACCATTTGTGCCTTGTTTGGCTCGAGGCTCCAGCTGCAGCAGCGAAACTGCGAAATTCTCCCCTATAGTATAGATCTGGCAGCTTGCCTTCATTCCATCGATGGACAAAGTGGTCAAAGTATCGTCTTGCCTCTTTGCTCGAGATCTCGTCCAAGTATTTGTGCTTCGACTCGGATAGCCACGCTTTGAACTCAGCTGAGCGGATGAAGTAGTCGTCAGGCGTCAGCTTGTCGACGCCTAATCGAGCCAGGATGGGATGAGGCCCCTCTGAAGGAGATCGATCGGATCGGCGGGGACGCGGTGAAGGTGACCTTGACCGTCGGTGGAAATCGCCTTGATCTCTGTCTTTGCCCCTATCTCGATGACTACGACTGCTTCGGCTGGACTCTTGATGTTCTCGATGCGAACGTCCGTGTTTTCGACCGCGATCGTCGTGACGACTGGACCTGGCCTCATCCCCTGCCATGCTAATTAGTGCTTCGCAGCGACTTTTTGGTGGGATAGCTTTCAGGTGACCGAGGCAAAAGAAACCAAGTGCAGTTTAAGTTCAAGGAAAGGGCACTCAACCTCCACTCAGCTTGCCCTGCCCGAATCCCGAATTTCTCACCTCAAAGGAGCTCTGCTTCCGAAACGTCGATCCAGCAAAGAACACACACAGTTGCACATCAAGCTTGAGGCCAAGAACAAGACCGAATGCTAGTTGAAGGATAGGCTGGCAGATGCGATAATGGACAGATCCAGAAACATGTTGTGTTTGTGCAGAATGATGTGATCGAGAATGCATTGAGAGGGAGTCAGTCTGCCGCGCTGTTTTCTCTATCCTTTCTCGCAATACCACTGCTAGCGGCTGCCGTCGCCGCAGCTGCAGCGACGGCATGCGGCTGCGCCTTGCGACGCAACTTGGCTTGTTGTAGGATAGATTCCGGAAGTCGAAGCGAGGAGGGCGTCTTTCCGCCCTCGCTCTCACCACCTTGGCTTGAGGAGTGCTGCTGATTCTGCTGCGAAGACGCATCAACAGCTCGCCAATCAGGCGATGCTGTCGAGTCAGCATCATCGAGCTCAGACAGTCGTGCAAGCTCGTCGAGTGTTCCTTCACTGATCACAGAGCCCGTCTCGTGCTGGTTGCGACTATCTTCATCGTCCTGCTCATCGACCAAAGCATAATCTTGTGAGCGCAAACCCAGCTTGTCAGCATCAATGGACAGCATGGGGTCAGCACCCAGCTGCGCCGCCCCACGGAGGTACTCTTGCACCAGAGCATGTGTATCTGCCTGCTGTTGGTGGTGAGAAGGACGTCGACCATCGACCACTGCAGGTCCAAGCGACCACGGCGAGCTTGCAGATGAGCAGTGCAAGGTACTGGCACTGTTACTGTCAAAGTGAGCTGATGAGGAAGCATGACTCGAGTTGGACAGTCTGCGCAAGCCTCGTCCCGATGCTGAGCCTGCCTGCTGAACCGAGAGCGTCGCAGGGGCAAGTGGCAGGGGCGACCCTGGCCCGTAGAAGGTGGCTCGAGCCGGTGTTGGGATGCTTGCATGAGGTGCAAGGGAAGCAGATGCAGGCGGCGTCGCGTTTCCAGTTCCATCAGCGACCTGCTGTACTCGGTGCCCGTTGGCCATCGCACCAGCCCTGAGAAGCGATTTGGATCGGTTCAGTGTCTCGGAGAAGGAGCGCGACGTCTTGCTGCGTGGTGTACTGTCTAGATCGTCTCGCGTCGACGAAACAGAAGGAACCCCAAAGCTGATCTCGGCGCCATAAGCGAAGGCCTCTTGTGCCCCCATGCCATTGGCAGAGGAGAATCCGCTCGGCACAGCATGCTTGAACGAGGGCGAAGTGCGAGCTGAAGCATGTCCAATGCTGACACGTGTAAAGTCCAATGGAGCATATCCTCCCGAGTCACTCTGAGCAGAACTGAATGGAGTTCCTCCATCTCCGCCCTGTGTGTTCGCCGAGGCAAAGCGGGGAGCTTGCGGTTTGGGACTCAGGCCATGTGTACGCGACAACGGTGCGAGCATAGCAGCCGTTGGAGGATATGCAACACCTTGACTCAAGCCGCGAGCCATCTGCTCAAACGCGAAGCTGCCTCCGTAGCCGCTGATGTTGGACACATCGTAGCGTCTGTTGGTGCCATAGGTATCACGATAGTGACGCGTTCCGTTGCTTCCTGAACCATAGAAGCTGGTGCCACCTGCTCCACCAACACCAAGGTGGGGATGATAGGGGTTGCGCTGCATGGTACCGGGGCCATCTGGTGCGCGGCTGAGGCTGTCCTCACGCTCATCCGTCAGCTCGGCAATGAGAGCCGAGACCTTTTGACCGCGAGTATTAGTCAAGATGCGACTGGCACGCATGAATTCGCCGCGAATGGTGTACAGACCGTCCTTGGTGACGGTTCGTGACACATTGTAGCCCATCTGGAAGGGATCCTCGATACAAAGCTCTGCATTCCAGTCCATGCTATCCTTCGACACCAGACCTGTCTCTGACTTGAGACTGATGACATCGCGACTGTAACTGAATTCCTTGGAGAAGTAGCGGAAGAAGTGGATGAGAAGTTCACCGACGTTCTCCGTGTTCTGTGAGCTCCACTCCTTGCGAAGTGCTGCAACGTCATCGTAAAAGTAGATGTTGTTGCCGTTGAGCACCATCTCTTCGGGCTCCATGGGACGCGTTGGAGGCATCCGCTGAAGGTTGGGCAGAACCGCAGGCTTCTTGACGTGTGCAAGGAAGAAAAGCACCAGGAGTGTATAACCGTAGGACGAAAGGGTGCCCATGTAGGGCGAATTAAGCTTCCTGCGCTTCGCCCACACCTTGACAAAGAGCACAAGCGTACGCAGACGAGGCGGGTCCACCATGGCATAGCTGAGCAAGAGACGTGTGTTCTCGAGCGCCAGACGGTTTTCGAAGCCGATATCACATGCAATCTCGTAAGGCAGATCGGCGGTAGGTGAGCGGTTGATCTTGATGATCGGGATCCTCGCCTTGGGCAACGGCATCACATTGAAATCGGTTTCCTCACGAATGAGCTGACCGAGAATCTCTACAAGCTCGGAAGCAGTATGCTGCGTGGTGGGATGGCCATCATCGCCCTTACCCATGAGACAGCAGAGATCCATGTCCGAGTTGCGCAGTGCAAATCCGTTGGCCATACTTCCAAAGGCGAGGAGCTTAGCACCCGGACTGACACGGTTGGAGAGTCTCTCAAGCTGACGTCGGGTTGCCTCCTTGATCCTGTACTCCTCTTCAGTAGGTAGGATGGGCGAGAGGAAGGCGACGATGCAGTTGGTCAACTCGGTCGTGTGACGCTCCCAATGTGGACCGGAGTGCGAATGGTTGGGGCCAGGACTTGTGGCTGCGGCTCCAGCAGTGGCGCCGCTTGCGTTGTGACTTACACCGTAGACGGAGCTAGGGGCGGAAGCCATCATGCTGGCTCCCAGAGTCTGCAAATTGGAGGTCTGCACGTGGTTTTGGTGCGGCAAAGCGCGCATTTGCGGACTGGTGCGCATGCTGCGGGAGCCGTGGTAGGAGACGTTGGATCCGTTGGTAGCGTAGCTGGCAGAATGCGCTGAAGCGCCATTGGCGATAGCGGCAGTTTGAGATCGGTTCCGACCATTTGGCGAGGCAGAAGGCGTCGTGATCGTGCCTGTATTCGAAGGATGATGCAAGGCAGGCGAGGGCGCAGAGCGTGAGGGAGATGTCATGAAGGGAGCGGAAGTGGCGCTCAGTTGGGGCGGCAGATGGGCAGCTGTGTGAGAATGCGAATTGGGATGGTTTGTGTTCGTGTCAAGGCCTTTGAGATGGGTGTTCGGAGCTGCGTACGCCTGTACAGGAATGGCGGGCAAGTTGGCTGCTTCCGTTCTGAAAGCGTTGATAGGGTGGCCTGATAAAGAGTCGTCCAGGGTCGTCGATCGCTTGACGGAGGGTCGAAACTGGCTGCTGTCTGGCGCAGCTGTGCGGCGGTGGGGCGTAGTTGAGGTCGAGGATGGGTGCGTCGCGCTGGTCGTTGCTCGATCCTGGTTCAAGCTGGAGGCCTGCAGAGCTGCGGGCGAAGAGCGCTCAGTGGCTCGCTGAGATGAGGCTTTTTCAGAGGACGCGGCGGAAAGGGTGGCTTTCATCTTGGCCGAGGCTTCTGACCTAGCTGCGCTATGTCTGCGCGCGGCAGGAGAGTGTGGCTGGGACGCAAGGGGATCAGAGGCATTGGAGTTGGCCGAGCTGGCCGACAGGGAGCGGGAACCAGAGGCAGACTGCTCTGACGACAAGGTCGAGTTGGAGGCCAGAGCCTGGCTAGTAGGTACCTTGCGTCCCGAGGTGGCGCTGCTATCTCTCAACGATCCAAGGGCTGGCAAACTCGAGGAAGAAGCTGCGTCCTGGGATCGACTACGCCGTCTGGGCGCGCTCTGGGCTGTTGTTGGCGCATGCATGACTGCGATGGTCGTGCGAGTTGCGGTTGGAATGCAAAGAGGAAAGGCCTCCAAAGTTCCACTGGGTGAGAGCGATTAGCCTGACAATGCGAACGAGAGCCTCGCAAAGTGGGAGGAGATGAGCGTTGAACTGAATGAAGGCGCTAGGTGAAGAAGATGCTCGTATCTAGGTACGCATCGACAGGAAGATCAGCGAAGCCAGGTGCGTGGTTGAGGAAGGCTTGCGAGAGAGAGCTGACTGCGGTATGAGCAGAAGTGTCTATGTCTTTGTTGGGAGCTTGACGAGGCGAAGAAATGCTTAGGATGTGATTTGCGACTCGGTCAGAGCTTCCAGAAGCGTAAATGCTGATGGTATGGAAATGTGTGTGTAGAAGCGAGAAGATGTACTGCGTGGCCTAAACTAAAAGGTATGCAATAGGTGTAATGCCGGTATGCCGAGGGGCGACGAGCTCTGAGTAGGAAAGGCGATCTGCGTTGAAAGTATGCAATAAGGATTATGCGAGGTGGCGGAAGAGGAGAACCAGGAAGAGAAAGTGAGGAAAGTCGACCGGCGACTTGCACTGAGCGTGGCTCGAAGAGAGTCGAGCTTGCAGAGATGAATCGTGGGATCAGGGTCGATGACACTCCTTGTCGACTCCAGCTGGAATGTCTGGTAGAAGATTTGAGATACCTTTTTGCTTGTTGGTAGAATTGATCGAGGCTTTGGAGAAAGAGGGGGCGATGATGGTAGCTTTTGGGTGAGAGAGAGAGGAAGGAAGGAGCCGATCAACTCGTGGCGGTAGGTGCAGGATCAGGGGGGGGGGGGGGTCGCAAGGAACGAAATGAAGCAACGGTTGACCAGCAGGGAACAGCAACGCAGTCTTGTCGCGGGGCACGGAATGAATGATGGTGAGGTGAAGAGATGCAAAACAGTTAGCAAATCACCGAGAAGGAGAGTGTTGAATGGACCGTAAAGCAAGCAAGGTACTGTAACAGGATGAGGAAGCTCAGCCTGCTGTCTGGCTTGCTTTCTTGCTTGCTTGCTTGCTTGCTTGCTTGCTTGCTTGCTTGGTGTGAGTTGATTGATGAATGAGTAACTGAGCATTTCAAGCCAGCATGTTCTGAGGCCAAAACCACCTTACATTCTCACAAACTGCAACCAAACAGAGAAGAGCTTCTTCCTTTTCACGGCCGACTGAGAGAGACACGCACACGCACACACGCCACACCGACGCTCAGTCAAAGAGAGAGAGAGAGAGAACGGCAAATTAGGCCTTTTTTGGACCTTTTTTTTGGACCTTTCTTTGGACCTTTTTCTTGGACCTTTTCTGGAAGCGCTTTCTTTCCTGGCTCTCTTTCTAGCCGGCAACTTGGCTGATTGCCGTCTCCGCCGTCCTTGGCTTGTTAGATTTAGTAAAAGTGTGGCGCGAGGCGATGGCTCAGCTGCCAGAACGCACGCCTCGTTGCTAGACAGCATCCTTGTCCCTAATCAAGTTGGTTGTGTTGAGGAAAGCACAATCAGGGCGGTCAAGTAAGCGGCAAAATCGTTGGTGATTTAAGAGAGCTAAGTACAAAGGAACATAATGAGTATACATTGTGGAAGTTTGGGTCCCGATACTGGCGATCGGGGAGAGTCTGAGTACGATGTCACTGCTGCGAAAAGACAGAAACATATATACTCAATTGACTGAAGGAATGTGGCGAGAGCCTAGTGCTCTCTGTGAGATATATATATATACATGTGAGTGGCACATGCCAAAGGTGGGAGTACTCCTACTTAATGATCTACCATGACAACGAGCGGGACTGTGTTGCACACGATCTCTGCTGAGATCGGCTCGGCTCGATCTCTGATCAGATCGGTCATCTAACTGGATCGGCTCTGCCTGATCTCCGATCAGATCGGCCATGCGTCATCCTTTGGCATCACACTGGATCGCAATCTCCAGCATATACAGCACATGCATAAACTGTCCCATAATTTTACATGTCACCATACATCACTCTAATGCTCAATAGCTATAAGTTGTATTGCCACACTATCTGATATCATCTGAAAGCCTTGCTTCTTCTCTCCAAGACTGTGGAATTGATATTGACATTGACTAAAAAAATTGTGCTATGAAGAAGAGCTGATTTTTATTTTATTGTGGGACAGTTTATGGAGTGCTCCTCGACAACACCTTAGTACTTCATATTCCCTCCTTTGGCCTTCAGAACTGCCTTGATGCAGTCTGGCATGCTCTCTATTAGTGTCCTACATGTCTCTGGAGTGATCGCTGTCCATTCAGCTTCACATCTCTTGAGCAGTTCATCCCTGGACTTTGCAATTGTACTATACTGTGAAAGTCACATTTTGAGATGGTGCCAGAGGTGTTCAATTGGGTTTAAGTCCAGCAACTGTGCCAGCCATTGCATAACCTTAATGCTATTGCTTTCCAACCACATTATTGTCTTCTTCAACATGTGTTTTGGGTCATTGTCTTGCTGAAACATGATGTTGGTGTATGCATGCTGAAGCCACAAATCTGAGATTGTTTTCAAAAGCTTGTCATTCAAGATATCAATGTATTGGTCTGAATTCATTGAACCCAGCACCAAGCACATACCTCCCACCCCTTCCCACATCATACAGCCCCAGATCATGATGGAGCTGCTGCCAAACTTGACCATCAGCCTGACAAGCTTGCTGTTGAAGCTGGCATTCTTAATCCAACAGAACTGCTTACCATCCAGTCCAAAGAAGTTGATCTTTGTCTCATTGGACCATACCACCTTCTTCCAATCCTCAACAGTCATGTCCTTGTGCTCATTAGCAAATTTGAAATGGGCTTTGTAATGTCTCTTGAGTAGCTGCAGTTTTTTCACTAACCTTTGTGCTTTGTAATGACAGTAATTAAGTGCTTTTCTTACTGTGGTTGGGCATGCTTTGATTTGAAATGTCTCCTGCAGTGCATGACATGCTTTCCTGACTGTGGAGGTTGAATTGAGCTCAAAATAGTGATCCAGGAAGTGAACATGATGAGGCTGGAGTTTTCTCAGCCAGCCCCCCTTTGACTTTGGAACATCAGCAGAGGTGCTTTTGCTGATGCAATTCACAGTAGACTTGCTCATACCAAGTTGTTCTGCAACTGAATAGATAGATTCCCCATTTTGGATGTGAAAGAGTGCCAATCAGCACCTCTCTGGGGTGGTTTTTGGCATGATGGTATAGATATGATGGTGTCATACTGGAAGTGCTGCCAGATTGCTCACAGTCATCTGATTGAGCTGAAACTTTCCATGTCACTACTTTCAATGTGTATGAAGGTGCCCACCAAGTTACATTGCAAGTTTTATTGTAGTCAAAAGCCCACAAGGTCAGGAATGGAGTGGTGTCGCTATTTGGGAGCATGCTCCATAAACTGTCCCACAATAAAAAAAAATCGGCTCTTCTTCATAGCACAATTTTTTTTAGTCAATGTCAATATCAATTACACAGTCTTGGAGAGAAGAAGCAGTGCTTTCAGACAATATCAGACAGTGTGGCAATACAACTTATAGCTATTGAGCATTAGAGTGATGTATGGTGACATGTAAAATTATGGGACAGTTTACATGCATGCTGTATATGCCTCTACTGTCAATCGATGTGTGTGTTGCTGGAATACACGATCCAATGACGACGCTAAGGAGTGATGCAAGGATGACGAGACCAGAGATTGGGGATAACTGATCCTGTTAAGGATTGGGTACAACCAAGTCCTGCCCATTGCCATGGTAGATCATTAAGTTGGTGTACTCCCACCTCTGGCATGTGCCACTCACATGTATATATATTGCACAGAGAGCACTAGGCTCTTGCCACATTCCTTTGGTCAATTGAGTATATTTGTTCTGTCTATAAACTAGCAGTGACATCATACTTAGACTCTCCCTGATCACCAGTATTGGGACTGAAATGACTCAAGTTTCCAACAGGTTATGAGCCCAATAAGCCAATACACTACCAAAATTTGATATCAACCAGAGGTATCGCCACCAATATGTCTAATCCAGACTATTCGAACTATGACAACTTTGTCGAAACGATCCAGGACCTTCTGCCATGCCTGCCAAAGATCCTCCAAAACTGGTTCAATCAGGAGATAGCAAACAAAACCTATGGTACTCCTAACACCCCAAAAGATGGTCTACTACTGAAGTATGCTATGGGGGAAGGTGATGAGGAGCAAATCATCTCACCTTTATCTATCCTGATTGAGTGTGTTGGTAACCTTTATAAGGCAATGCACAATCTTGGTCCATTCACTAGCTGAATCAAACTTGGTAGAGGAATGTGAGCTAGAGTGATTCTCTTCCTTGCCAATGAGGGGTGGGATGCAAACCACATACTTGACCTCAAGATTGAAGGTTCAGTTGAAATCATCCAGAATACAGAACAATTTAACCATCTGGTTAAGAGTGAAGCCCTGGCATTGGCTAGAAGCGACACTCCCACCTTCAACTCAAATGCTACGAATGTCACCAACTGTCACCTGATTGGTCATGATGCTACATGAGGCCCCACCTCTGAACTCAATGCAATCACAAACCATCACCTAAAAATTCTTTCAAGCCTTAATGAAAAGATGCAATGGGATGAGAATGACCTTCTTGATCTGAGAATGGCTTCTGTGCATGCATGGCAATGCAAAATTTTCGCAATGCTATCTGTTGTCCCTTTCACACAAAACATCCTTGATTGAAAAACAACTACATTCAAGGATGCTGACTCAATGCTCAGTTCAATCATCATGTGGAGCTTCTCTAACAAGCTGTGTACTGAATACTTTGCTGAGCATGGTGACAAGCCAATACCAATTTCTGTGGACCTCTTTGATTCAGTGATGAACAAGTGTACAGCTCATTCTACCATCAAAGAATATGAACTTTTCACAGTGATACTTGATTTGCATTGGGACCAAGTGGGCACCCATGCATATGACTTCCTCATCAAATGGGAGGCTCATGTATTGGAACTGCACACATATCTGCAAGACCCCTGGAAGCTGGACTACTGCTACAGGACCCTCAAGTGAGCACTCCCTTTGGACCAGAATGCTCTGTTTAACTCTGTGTTCATTCTACACAAAAAAGTTCATGGTAAGGAGCAGACCACTGAGAGCATCTCTGATGTCCTATGCCAGTGCTACAAACTAGCTGCTGAAAATGCCCCTACAAGTCGTCATCACATGGCTGAGGAGTCTGAGCTCATTGCATTGCAAGCTGCCACCCTTATCAACTGTTGGGCATGTGGCAAGCTTGGTCATGCAGCCAATCATTGCCCCAATGACATAGCCCATGCTTGCTGGAGAGAAGGCAGGGTGAAGGTACCACCGAAAGGTCATGCCAACACATGTATAGTATTGCCACTTGTGAACCCTTGGGAGGAATAGGATGCTGCACCAGTCTTGGCCTTCATTGCAGAGGTTGAGCCAGTGCCAATCAATCTACCACCTCAGCTGATACTGTTTGTGTTCGATTCAGGCACATCTTGCATTATGGTCAACTCCACTCACCATGGGAAAGGTTGGCGAGATGTGGAACAGGCAGTTAACATTACCACTGCTGATGGAGGGGACCTCCTCACCACCAAGACAGGGGGAACCATTAGCCTACTGAGCTTCAGTCCCAAGCTATGTCAATGGGAATGAATGACATACCAAAACTGTCTGCTTGTTCCCAAGCTTGTGACTAATCTCATTGGTACCAGGTCTGTCACATGCATACAAGGCCTGGTGATGTTCAAGGATGAACTAGTTACAGTTCAGGATAGGCATGGACATGCAATCAAAGTGCCCACAAGTGGAGATGGTTACCCTGCCACTGCCATGATCATTTGGGATGACAGTATGCCTGAGCCTGCCATCTCTCTAGCCTTTGCTGTGACAATGGTGACAACCAGTGTGGAATGACTGCACAGGTTCAGCAGCAAGGCAAGTATCTGGCATCGAAGACTGGGTCATGCTAGTCATGATGCAATCATGCATACAAGAGTGGCCACACTCTCTCATGACATACCACTAACCCTGGCAATCCACCCTGAGGATCTATGTGACATATGCACATGAAGTAAAGCTGTTGGATGGACTGTTGCTCACCCTCAACGAGTCAGCGATCCACTTGAACTGGTGTCGATGGATGTCATGGGTCCAATGCACAGTGCAACCAAATACCTGTATGTGCTCATCATTCATGATGCTTATTCTGGTATGATCTGGGTGCAGGGACTAGCAAACAAAGGAGCAGCATCCCAGGAAGCAGCTTGGTGGTTGTCAGAGATCCATGTTGCCAAGCTTCTGAGGCTGTCTGAGGTACTTCTGGACCAAGGGACCCAGGAGGTCTGGGTGGACCAGGGAGAACTATGGTCCACAGCCTTCAGGGAACTGTGCTCCATGACGGGTATGAAAATCTCAGCCTCACCCACACAACAGCATACAGATAATGCCTTTGCTGAATGAGTGATCCAGACAATCCAGAAGATCGCTTGGAGCCTACTCTACAACTCAGGCATGGAAGAACGGTGTGTCATGGGCCTAGATGCTCAAGAAGCAGGAGGGCCACTGGTTCATATGGAAGGAGCACAGGTATCGAAGATCTAGTTGATACCAGCAGAGAGCATGGTCGTAGTGCAGTCTCCATGGAGACCATGGACTCCTATGGACTCACATGCAAAGGAGGACACGAACCACATGCGAGGAGGGCCAGGCACAGCCACGAGGAGGACCAAGCTCAAGGAGCAGGCACAGCCACGAAGAGGACCAAGCTCAGATGGTTACCACTCAGGGGCTCGAGAGACAAGAGTCAAAGGAACTGTCACCAGTCAAAGGAGAAGGAGCAGTGTATAGGACACTAGCAGGCAGGTCCTGAGGAAGAGGAGCAGTGTCGAAGGAGTCGACACCAGGTCATGAGGAGGAGGAGCAGTGTCGAAGGAGTCGACACCACTCAAGAGGCACAGGGGTGCCAAGCAGGAGAGGCCCCTGAGCAGTACTCGATGAAGAAGGTACTCTCTGGAGAGAGAGAGCAGGAGCAGCATCGCTGGCGATGCTGTGAAGAGGTATATAACCATGCTTTCTCATCATCATAGGTCGAGTGGATCCTCATCCACTCTACTCACCATATAACTAGTTATCACTTCAGCATAAGTATACATTAGTTTCAGTCAGCATAGCAGCAATCTATCAATGTTGCTCCTCATTGTAGTGTGTGTGTTGTATCACCACTACCTGATGTCCAAAGGCACCCATAGCAGGTTAGCAGTCCGGATATAGATAGAACTGAAGGCAGTAGTCCACTGCAGTCTGGGGGTCACTTCAAGCATCAAGTCAACACACTGGACACTCGTGTTGACGCCACCAACCTTATCACCAACATCATCAACCTCATCATCATCAACACTAACACCAGACCTTGGTGTCATCATAACCAAAGCATTGATATTGATCGTGCCGAGCTACCCCTGAACGGAGTGTCCACAGAGGTCAGCCGAAACCTATGATAGTATATACAATGAACACCACCTGCTGTCACTGCGCAACTTGATAGTCACCAATACCAAGACAATAGCTGTCGCACAGTTTGATAGTCACCGAGTATCTCGACAGACCGACCTGGGTTTCAGGCGCGAGACCCCTGACACGGTGGTGGCCACATGCTACCCTCCAAGCCGCTTTCATTCACAACAGGCTTGCAGGCACAACACATGGAAATATTATGCCCTTCGAACTCTTCTTTGGCAAATGACCTGAGCTACACCACATCCGAAGATTTGGTTGCATAGCCTACATCATACTTCAGGGTAGTACTTGCTCAACATGGTTGCAAAACCACCCAATGGTCAGCAAACACCTTCGGCCACATGCTCTCTGGGGAACATACTTGGGTTTCTCAGATGAACCATGTGCTATCAAAGGCCACAAAGTTTGGCTCCCAGAACTCAACCAGGTGGTTGTTGCCAAAGACATCTGATTCTCAGAACTGCAACAACTGGGTGCAGACCCTAACCCTTTCCTCAAGCATGTCCTTGCCAGTGATGATGAGCTCTCACATTCCTACACCTGATTTCCTTCAGTTGCAGCTTCAGATGATACCAAACCTAGTGATGAAATGCCACTATCAATACCAGTGTACTCTTGCCAGCATGACCACAAATCTAATTCATGTTCTTCACATAACTTGAGCTTTGGGCATGAATGGGACTGAATGATGGCTGACATTGAGGAGGCTGGTGAGATTGCTATAGACATTGATGCAATCATGGCAGACTTACAGGCAGAGCTCGATGCAGTGCTGTCAGAAGGGGGGGATACCATGCAGGGTCTTCCACCTCCACACGCCAAGGTCCAGGAAGACACGTTGCTGCTGGACACACCCCATAGTGATACAACAGCAGATGTGTATGATGGCATCTCTGTACTCAGCTCCACCCACATGGCATTGCCAGACTCAATGAACTTGCTTGGTTACATGGCCTTTGCTGCAACATGCTCCATAACATTGAATGCCAACATCCAAATGCTGGCAGCCAACAGCCACCATCTCGATTGCATGGCATTTGCAGTCACAGTGATGGAGGGTACAGCACTAAATGCAAGTGGCCAACAACTGCAAAGTGCAGATGGCATCCTACTGGAGCCCTCATCACTCAATGAAGCCAGAGCATGTGATGACTGGCCCAAGTGGCAAGAAGCAATGGCCAGTGAGATGACTAGCATGCACAAAATGAAAGTCTTTGAGCTTGCAGACACACCAGTGGATGGTAGACTCATCGGCATTCATTGGGTATACAAGCTCAAGCTCGATGCCCAATGCCATGCCATGTGATACAAGGCATGCTTAGTAGCACAAGGATATGCACAGCACCAGGGGCTAGACTATGACCAGACTTTCAGTCCAGTTGTTTGCCTCCAGACAATATGAATTCTACTTGCCATTGCTTGTTGATATGGGCTGCATGCTATCCAACTTGATGTTAGTATGGCATTTTTGAATGGAAAGATTGACAAGGACATATATGTCTGAATCCTGCCAATGTTCGAAACAGAGCAGACTGAGAACAAGTGTTACAGGCTGAAGAAAGCCCTGTATGGACTCAAACAAGCTGGATGACTGTGGCATGCAATGCTCGATAAACAGCTTCAAGCATTCGGTTTCAAATGCTGCAGAGCTGAGCTGTGTGTATACATGCACAGCTCCAATGATGTGATGGTGTTACTTGCAGTCTACATTGATGACCTATTAGTCATCAGAGTGACTGAATCATGTGTCAAGTTGGTAAGGCAACAGCTCTCAAGCATCTTTACCATCACAGACCAAGGTAATGTATCACACATCATTGGTTTAAATGTGGAGTATGACAGGAATGCTCATATGCTCTCGATCAATCAGAGTAGATACATTGAAGGAGTATTAACAAAGTTCGGGATGGACAAAGTGTGGGCAGCCTCAACACTGGCTACTGAAACCATCAATACCCTCGGGCCATGAGAAGGTGACACAGCTAGTGCCAAAGAAGTCCATCACTATGCATTGCTTGTGGGGTCATTGTTGTGGGTTGCACAAGGCAGCAGACCAGACATCGCATTTGCAGTTGGCTGCTGTGCATGGTTTGTCACAAACCTGTCAGGTGAGCACCTCACAGCAGCTAAATGTATACTCAGGTACCTCAAGGGAACAATAGGGATAAATCTCTCAGCAGGAACACACACTGGTGGATGGATACTGGCTGGATGGGCAGACAGCAATTGGGCTGGCTCATGTAGTTGTAGGAGATCAACATCAGGATATGCCTTTATTGTTGATGGGCTAGCATGTAGCTGGTCCTCACAGCTCCAGCCAACAGTGGCAAACAGCTCAGTGGAAGCTGAGTATGTGGCCCTAGCAGGAGCCACCAGAGAGCTCCTGTGGATGTTGATGTTCTTACATGAACTGCAGCAGGAAGTGCCACAGATGACAGGGATCAACATCAGCACTGGGACATCGACCATCCACTCCAAAAATGGAGGACTAGCCTTTGATCAAAATGTTCCAATCCTATACAGTGATTCTTCAGGAGCCTGCATAATTGCAAATGAACCCCAGCACTTCAAGAGGACAAAGCACATTGACATTGCCCATTTCTTTCTGCAAGACAAGGTTGCCAGTCAATGAATCAAAATTGCCACAGTTCAAAGCAGTGAAAACATAGCTGACATTCTAATGAAGCCACTCATGGCACCAATGCTTGTACATGTATGAGAGTTGTTTGGTCTGATTGCACTGAAGGAATCTGCTGGATCAAGAGGGGGTGCTGAAATACATGATCCAATGATGATGCTAAGGAGTGACACAAGGATGATGAGATTGGAGATTGGGGATAACCAATCCTGTTAAGGATCAGGTACAACCAAGTCCTGCCTGTTGCCATGGTAGATCATTAAGTTGGTGTACTCCCACCTCTGGCATGTGCCACTCACATGTATATATATTGCACAGAGAGCACTAGGTTCTCACCACATTCCTTTGGTCAATTGAGTATATTTGTTCTGTCTATAAACTAGCAGTGACATCATACTTAGACTCTCCCCGATCACCAGTATCGGGACCGAAACGACTCAAGTTTCCAACATGTGTATGTATGTCGATGAGGTGACACATATGAGGGCGTGCCGTTGTCGGATGAGATAGGGGCATTGGTGGGAGTTGACGGGTGGCAACGCCAAGTGAAGTTTGCGGTCATGTTAGAGCATGAATACACGGTCATGTTCATGTGATTTCACTGGTTGGACTAGCGTAGATGATGTCGCCAGCCTTTGTGGTTCCATGAAGTCAGGCAAAAGACGATCGAGCTTGTAGGTGCGTTTGTGCTGCGCTTGCACCGGTCCCGTTCGAAATCAAATGCTTGTGATGTTTCTCATAACTCTGCGTGCTTGACCTGAACCTTGTGCTCCGCACCTGGACAGGACATCCTCGTGTCGATGACGCTCAACACTGATTGATTGTATTAATGCGATAGTAAATGATAGATGCTGACCATGTTCGACGAAACAGCTCGGACTCACCCTTTGGTCGTCGAATCGCTGCTCCAGCTGTCCCTCTGACGCAACCCGATGCCACGGCCTGCTCCACCAATCAAATCTTGGGTATCATTAGCGGTATCTTTGCTTGCAACCTCGGAAGAGTCGGCCGCTTCCAGACGGGCAGCTTCCCTCTCGGCATTCCGCGCCTCGTCAAGCATTGCAACTATACTCGCGCGACTGCAAGGGTCCGAAAGGAAGTCGCTCATTGCGAGCGTCTCAGCGCTTGGTCGCTTCTCGGCATCCATCTCCGTAGCCCAGTGAAGGAAGGACTTGAGCTCGTGCGATAGCGACGATGGGTCCTTCAACGCCGGCAGTCCTAATGTAGCTGTCAACGTGATGGCTCGCAGAGGTGGGAAGTCGACTCGAGGCGGATCTCCTTCGATCATTTCCCATAGCACTACACCCACCGACCAAACGTCACATCGCATGTCGTAGTTGTTAGCCTTGATCACCTCGGGCGCCATCCAGTACGGTGTGCCGATGACAGAGTGACGCGTGCTGACACCGGCGCCAAGCTCGCCTGCATGCGTGAAGTCGCTCAGCTTGCATACGCCTGAGCTAGAAATCATCACATTGTCGGAGCGCACGTCTCGATGCAAGATACGCTTGCTATGCAGGAACTGGAGCGCATCGAGCAGATCGCCCATGATGCGGCTCATCCGCGCCTCGTTGAGATCCACTCCGCTGTCCTTCCAAGCGATCACATCGGCCAAGCTTCGTTCCGCTAGCTCCTGAACAATCCAGATCGAGTTGTCCGTCAGAACCGTCGAGTAGAGATCGAGAACATTGACGTGTCGACAACGTCGCCACACGCGCACCTCTTTGACTAGCCCCAACAGTCGGGCTGAGGGCTCTTCATTGACGTCAGACGCAAACTGCACCATCTTGATAGCAACACGCCGATTCTTGACGACATCGTTGGCAGCAAACACGGGCCCACTCTCACCATCTCCGATCATCTCCATGTTGCGCAGCACATCCTTGCGCATTGGTTGCAGGTCCATCTCTTCACTCAGATGAGACAGTTTCGGCGGCAGTTTGTAAGTCACTGCTTCCAGCTCGCTTTCCGAGAGACTTGGCGAGGCTGCAGCGCTGGGCAAGTCCTTGGCTTCAGCGATGGCTTTGCGCTGACGCGCGTCCTCGGAACGCATCTGCTCGGCTGCTGCTACCTTGGCTTCGAGTTCCTTCATACTAGGCAAGGCGGGCACGGGCGGTGCCGATTCCAAACCCATCTGCATTGGCAACATCTCTTCCAGGTCCATCGATTGTCGAGCCAGCATCAATTCGCGAAAAGAGCGAATCGCCTCGGAATCGTCGCCTAGCATGGAAGCCATGTCGAATCCACTCGCATAGTGCATTGAGACGGGGAAGCGACGAGCATCGTCCTTAGCACGTGGCCCGATCGAGATGATCGATCTGGTATCGTCGCGATCGTGTGGGCAATCCACTCGAGCTTTTCCTCCCGCCTTCCGATCACGACCGCCTTCTCCGGTTTGCTCGCTGGCTTCTTCTGGGCCGTGATGGTCATCATCCAGCATCTCCATGAATTCGGCAGGCGAAAGCGGGGGGAATTGTGGCTCGAAGCTCGATGCGCGTGTGACCGCTTTGCTCAGTTCTAGTCGCGGAGGGACGTCGGCCACCGAACGTGCACTGAAGCCCGACGACTGGTACGTGTTCGACAAGGCTGATGATGCTTTTGCTGGGTCGTCAGATGATGGCGCTGGGCTTGCAGGCTTGACCTTTCGCCATGCGGAGTCTGATGCATGCATCGTCTCTGATGAGTCTGTGGAGGCTCCAAACGCTCCAGCATTTGAGGGCCGTCGCAGGTAGGGTGATGCACGCTGCGACGCATCCATCTCGTCTTCCTCCTTCGGCAAGGGTGGGAGTGGTGAGTCGCTGCTGCTGCTTGATGGACTTGGCGAGAATTCCGAGAAGGTGGTTGTTGCTGGAGAACGATCTGAGTAATCGTCGCGCATCCACTCCTCGATCGCGGCGTGGTAGTCAGATGTCACTGTGGAAGATGCAGGAGAAAGGGCAGGAGATAGAGGCGGAGGGCGAAGATGATCCTGGTGGAGCGTTGCTATAGGGCTTGCTGCGTCGCTACGACCCGTCGCTGCACTGCTTGACGGCATCGTGTAGAAGCCATCTGCTCCTGGCAGAATGTAGTCGGGCTGTTTCCGTATCGCCACAGCAGGCTTGGGTGGAGGAGGCGGAGGAGGCCCCATGGAGTCGCGAGAGGATGCAAAAGAGCCGACACTACCACGTCCTCGATCCGACAGCGGCGCTGGACTGACGGCAGGCGAGTTGAAGCCAGAATGAGGCGAACGACTGTCCATATTCACGGGCGAGGCGCTCGAAGGCGGGTGCTGTTGCCGCTGATGATGATGCCGACTATGCCCTGGAAGCGACGAACGAGTGCTGTGTTCGAGAGATGCCGAGCCGTGAGAACGGTCGCTCATCGGACTGCAGACCGGCCTCATGAGGCTATCTGCGGATGCCTTCCTCTGCATCGGCGCAATGATGATGGGAGACTGTTGCAAGCGCCGATTCGAGCTAGCTGCACTCGTCAAGCTGGCGCTATCGTCATTCTGGGAGATGCGTCCCCATCGCGTTGAGGTGGACGGCGGATAGATCCTCGGTGGGGCTTGTCGACGCTCGCGCAATCCGAGACCTCGGTTGGCGCTATGGCTGCCTTCAGAAGACGTGATGGATGGCGCTGTGCTCTTCCAACTATCCTGGGTATAATGTCCAGACCCGTGAGCGCTATCTGGGGAAGAGGGCCCTCTCTTCCCGTAGCGCCAACCTGCCTGAGTCCCGGACGGTGAGTGAGCACCGTCACCGGATTCCGAAGCGGAGATGGAGAGAGAAGGTGAACGTGATCTCCAGTCATAATCCTTGGGAGGCACCTCTGGCGACGCCGAGTCTCGAACTGACAGACCTGGGGATGAAGAGGAGCGATTCGGATAGGCACCTTGGCCTCCGTGACCCATGGATGAAGTGGCTACGGTGAGGGCTGGACTTCGTATGCGCATCGACGAGTGACCGGAGGAGCTGGTGTCGAGAGGCGAGCTGGTGATTTCGCGGTCTGCAAACGTCGAAACGTTTTCAGTGTATATCTTTGGCGGAGCATTCGAGAAACTGCTGCGTGATATAAAGGCTGGACGCGAACCCGCGGTAGCGTAAGAATCAGTAGAGCCGCAGTGTGACGTCCTCGTGTCGAATTGAGACGATGGTAGTCGAGAAGTGTCATGGTGACGGGGCGAACGGGGCGAACGGGGCGAACGAGGCGAACGAGGTGAACGCGCCTGGAGATCGGAGATACTGGTGCTGGGACTCATGCGCGGACTGCCAAAGTCTACGCTGCCCGCTGAAGGAGAGACCTTGGGAGCGCTCAATTGACTGGCACGAATCGGGCGAAGGACGCCTTTGGTGGCGATCGCAGCTTGAGCAATGTGAACGTGCTCGACGTCTTCTTCGTCGTCATCTATGTTGACACTGTTCCTATTTCCCACATCGAGACTTTCGCGGAGTCTCTCCTCCACCTCGTCTTCTACACTCTGCATAAGCTTTCCGGTTGTGAATGTAGCTGCAGATTTGTTGGTGATGTTCCTGGAAGATAGACTCGGATGGTTGAGGGCAGGACCATTTTCTGCATCGAGAGCGATCGAAGCGCGCAAATGATGTGAGGCTTTCGGAGTAGCGTTGGACGCACTCAGCAGGTCTTGCTCGCGTTGAGCTGTACGCCGTGGAGTCGCATCGGCTCCAATACCGATACCTAGTCCGTTGAGTGAATTGTCACCGACCAATTGGCTCAGCGATCTTGATCGACGATGCGAAGCTCGCTTGGCAGCTTTAGAAGAGCTTTGCGGCGATGTGCCACTGTTTCCGATAGCGGTGGAAGGGACGGAGTTGATGAGCGAGTCGGCCCAGTCGTCGTAGTCCTCGGCAGCGAAATCCGGCAGAAGTGGACTTTTGGCAGGTAGAGGAGAGAAGCGTTGGGCAGCTTGAGGCTTGGGTGGAGAGCTGAGGTCCCAGCCTTTGTCGAGGACGCTGCTGTAGGAGCTGCTTGCATTGGACTGCGAGCTGTCACGCCTCGGCTGACTTGGTCTAGACGGTGTTGCCGAGGCCAGAACAGCGCTGAGATCTGCATCTGCAGCGAGGCGTTGCGAAAGGATACGACGCGTGTCCTCGGCGTCGCCACCACTCTCAACGGCATGCTGGACGAAGTACTCGGTTCGCTCTTGTACGAATCTGGCAGCTGCCTGCGGGTCCTGATGAATATCCATGTCTACGGAGAGGAGGACTTGCGCCCAAGAATAAGGTAAACCTGTGTAGCCGTGGGGACCAACATCAACGTGAACGTTGTGAACGACATGGTACGGGAGGCCGATGTCGGGATCAGCGCGGTCCACAAAGGTGTTGGTGGTGTTGGAGAAGGCGTAGTGCATTTCTGCGTCACTTTGGCCTGACAGTGTCGCTTCTTCGCTAGCACTGTGAGGAGAATAGGCGACGATATGAGGAGTTGCCTGAAGGGCGACGTAGCTTGCTTGGCGTTTTTGTGCCTGTTGGGCAGTATTTGGACGACGTAGACGCGCGGCAGAAGCTTTCTTGCCGAGCTTCTTGAGCCCGAGTCCTGCGGAGACGGCGGCAGAAGTAGAGGCGCTTGCAAAGCGGAGCGCCGCCGATTGCATGGCGTTGGTGGTAGTGGTGGTGACATTCGTTTCCGCTTTGCTGGATGATGCAGAAGCGGTGAAATAGGCACTCGGAGCAGGCGAAACTAATGGCGTCTCATACCGGGAGAGATGGCGGGAGCGGACCTCATCGTCACCTCTTGTGTTGTCTCGAGTGGCGGGCTTAGTGCTGCTGAGCTCGGATAGAGCGTCAGGCGGCAAATCGGGAAGCTCTCGATCGTAGTCGATGTTTGGTGAGGCGGCATGGCTTGAATGCGGCGATGTGGAAGGTTCGGACGAGACAAAGTCGGCATGGCGTCTCTCCTCGGGCGAAAGATAAGCGTGCTTGTTAGAGTGTAGCGTAGGCGACTTATCGTTTGGCGGTAAGGGAGATGGAAAGGGAGATGGATTGCTGGAAGATGGATTGCTGGAAGATGGATTGCTGGAAGATGGATTGCTAGAAGATGCGTTGCTGGAAGATGCGTTGTTAGGTCTGCGATATCTGGCCATACGGCTGACCAAGGAAGCAGAGGAACGGTCCTCGTACTCCCTTTGTGGGTTTCGCAGCATAGCCCAGTTGGGAAGCGGTGGATATGGAAATGAGATTGAACCGTGCTGTTTGTTTATGTCGAGGAGGAGTTGGTAGTGATGGTGTTCATGATATATTGAGCGGAGCTGATCTTGAGCTTGACTGGGCCGATGGAATGCGTTGCAAAGGGTATCAATAGGATGGGTATAGTGCGAATGCCGCGAATCAGATTGTTATGGTCTACAGTATGTATCGAATTGCGCTGAGATGAAGTCGACGAAAGTTGCTAGCCTTGAGGATGTGGTTGCGAGGAGCCAAGCAAAGATGGGTGGGTCTCTTTGATGCAGAGACAAAGGGAGATGCACTTTGGTGTGGGTCGAGGTGGCGACGAAAGGCTGCTGAGTCTTGAGCGGCTGTTCCGATTGAAAAGCAACGTCCGGTGGGATCCTGCAGTATCGGATGATGCCGAAGAAAGATCACTTGGCGTGAGAAAGTGTCGGATCAAGTGCCAATCGTCACGAACCCAAGACAGGAACGAGACGTGATGGTGATGAGCAGATGACGCCGGAACACCTCGAATAGACCGTGAGAACAAGGTAGGAGAGGAAGATAGTGTCAGAGATCCCAGAGCCACTGTCGCTGTCAAAATCACACACACACACACACACACATACACCGAGAGAAAGTTTGGTCGCGTGTGCCACCGATAGAATACATACACTCTAAATCACTCACATCTTGACTCGCGGCTTGGCGCTGTGCTGTGCAAACCCTTGAAAAGGCTGCAACGCAACTCAAAAGAGACACACAGAGAGAGAGAGACACACACACAGACACACAACAGGCCAATTGTGGGCGAAGAGCAGGAGCAGCAACAACGACGCGTTTCAGAGCCAGAAAAGACTGACACAGCAAGCCGGCAGACACATAGCAAAAAGCAGCGAAAAGATTTTATCCTTTGCCTTTGAAAAAAAGAAGCAATCAGTACGACTCTGCTATACCTATTCTTACCGTCTTTGAATGATCAGCTGAGCGCCAGGAGTCTAGGATGGGATTTCAACTAAAGGAGAAGACACAAGCTGCAATGCGCCAATCCAAGAAGAGGGCAACACTAAGACCACAGACAAGAAAAAAGCGTGTCTGCTGCAAAACACCGATCCTGGAGAAGCACCGACTGACTCTGATATGGGCGACGCCTTTCAGAGCTCTCTCAAACTGGTTGAGCAAAGAAGCAGTCTCGGAATCAGCGATTGCTATCATTGGCTCGCCGGTCTGACTGAGCTCAGCCTTCAGTCTTATACTAACCTAAGTCTCCGGTCATCAGAAGAACTGTCTGAGCAAGAAGAGTGTTGATCTCTTTCGGAATCCTTCCGATCAGATCATCCTGAACAGCGCAATCTGTCTGAGACCAACACCTAAATCAAAAATCAAAAATTAAAAACCAAAAATGCGTAGTAAAATAATTAATAATAATTATATATATATATATATATATATATAATAACAATAACAATAACAATAACAATAACAATAACAATAATAATATAAATAAAATATAAAAATAATATAAAATAATAATAAAACAATAATAATAATAATAAAAAGTATGCTAACAGCTGCAGAGAAGGAAAAATTGGACTCGCCTCTGTAACCATGAGCACAGAACTGCCTCTTTCGGTGGGCTCGCTTCTGTATCTCTGTGCAAGTTTGACTTAGCGTGAACAAGCAGAGGAGCAAGCTGCATGGCATGCACCCTCCAATGTGACTCTCAGCCACGTTCGATTGCAACACTGAGAAGATGGTCACCGCTGACGAGGCACTTCTGAGAAGGTGATCTCATTGTTTTTTTTTTTTTTTTTTTTTTTGTTTTTTTTTTTGGCCCCGCACACGCCGGCAGCAGCGCCAATCACAGGTCGTCATTGTCGTCTTCTCATTGATATAGCACATTGTGCGCCTTTCGGGCCTCCCGAAACGTTGATATTACAGGCTATAGAACCGCCAGTATTAGCGTCGGCGCTTCCGCATATGCCACAAGCCAAGCACAAAAAATCATTGCCGCGAGCCGTTCAATCGGGTCTTCCGGACTCTGAGTTCGCTCCATCAGATTCATGCCAAAATGCTCAGTCAAGCGGACGACCAAGACAGATGTTGTAGATATAGAGACACATATTATAGATATAGAGACACATATTATAGATATAGAGACACATATTGTAGATATAGAGACCTAAGTTCTCAGAGAGATCCCCTCGGCTCCTCGTCCAACAATCAGTCGACACGGTCGCCATGCTTGACGAGCGTAGTCCTCTTGGCCGTCAAATGTATCACCAAGACTAGCGCTACCACCACCACCACGGTCGACATTCTACTATATTGACTCCTTGAGGTCTGCATGGAGGACAGCTGACAATGCTGGCACATCATCCTCGAACCTCCTCATCCCGGACGGATCACTGTCACCGGCCTAAGTCGACGCGAGCCAAGGGCTCAATACAGCATGCGGTTTGCGCTGAACAAGGCCTGCCATTCGCTCGCCTCCATTTTTAGCGTAGAATCTCCTTGCATTTCGACCTCGACTACGATAGGAACTCTCCCTTCCAGTACTGCTGTTCTTGAGGCCTATCAGCAGCGACTAGTCCACTCCCCAGCCATCCGCCTACCTGCCACAGCATCATCGACCATTACCATGGCTGTTCCTTCTTGCCGAATTGTCCCACATACCCTTCGGCTAATCTGCTCCTTCTCCTGTCGAAAGAAACCTCTAGAAGCGAGCACCGTCGCTTCCTGCTTAGAGCATGCGATGTGGAATCCCTGACAGCTACCTCTCGCTAGCCAAACACTGTCCCGATCTGACCTCTTCCACCGTTCTCCGGTCGCTCAGGCAGCAGGAAGACTGAAGCTCTACCTTTTCCTTGCTGCTTTCCTTGCTGCTTTCCATCCTCTCTTGCCAACCCGCCTGCATCGCAATCACTGCCTCGCATGGCTCCAAGCAGCAAGCGAGAGCTTATGGCAGAAGCCCCGTACAGAAGCTCCGTACAGAAGCTGTCGCATGTCCAAAGCAAACACCGTTCCGGAGAACATCTTATGACAGTCAAGGGTGGAGACAGCATCTCCATGCTGTGTCGCCTAGTGTTTTTGCCCAATAACATGTCAACATTGCCCCTTGCTTTGCAGCTGAACGAGATGTGTTCCAAGCATCAGTGTGGCTTCCTGTTATGGTGTTGATGTAAATGATTCAACTCTGCTGATAACTTGGAGGGATCATCTCCGACCTCCTCCAATGACCGACAACCATCATTCCGAAACCTTGCCCTTCTGTTCCCCACCCTCATCAATATCAGCCAGTTTAGAAGACGCCTTCAACAGAATGCCGGCAATCGAGCGCCGCTCTCTTTCTCAGTCGCTGTCGGCCGTGGCAGTCAAAGGTCGTCGTCTCTTCACTCGCGAGACAGCGCCCTCGAACGCAGAATGGCCTCCTCGGTCCTCGCCACTCAACCTCAATGAGGCGCTCGAACAAGGCTGGACAGCTGCTACTTCCCCGCACTGTCTCAGCAATCAGCTCCGGTCACCAACGACATCCGCTTCAGCCCATGCCAATACTTGCGGCAAAGACTTTGGTCGACGACGCTCTTACAACACCACCACAGCCTCGAATTCGAGTGGCGGCGCTACAAGTGAAGGCCCTCAACGACACCGCAAATCGTTCTTCTCCAAAAAGCCTCGATCGGAACAGCAGCAACTCCAGAGCTCCGCAGTCAACAGCACCGTAGTCACAAGTACTTCCTTCGTTGACCCCTTCGCCAGAGATGCGGCGGAGCGGCTCGACGTACCATCACAAGCATCCAATGAACCCAGCATGATTATGTCTTATGCCAGTCATGTCAGCATCAAGCGTCAATCGAGCCACCGCCTCGCGACCCCGCAACACCAGCAGCTCAAGAAGAGAGAGGCGTTGGATCGCATTTCGGATCTCATTTGCTTGTCAGTCGAAAGCCAGAATCAAGTGCCCCGCTCTCACGTTGGTGCAATGTCGCCGACATTCCTATCGCCCTCAACTACTTTATGCGACAGCCATTCCTACTCGGTCCAAGGGCAACCCTCTCCGAGGAGCTTGACCTTTGGCTATGATGCCAACTCGAGCATGGTTGCTTTCCCGGTCCGGGAACACGCCCAGAGTGTGCGGCATTTGGTAGAGAGCATCGACTCGAGTAACTCAGATTACTTCTCGAGCGCAGCTTCACCTTCGCTCTCCACCATATCCACTAAGCCGGACTTGTTTGTGCCAGAGTTACATCCGGAAGGGTCGCCAATGCCCTTCTCTGCAGAAGATTGCGCAGGTGGACCAAACCGGATCTTGCTGCCTTCCTCTATGAGGCGTTTTCCAAGTAGCACGACTGGCACGGACACCAGCACAAGATCCAGCGCATCCCTGAGGGCCGAAGTTGGCCATGACTTCGGAAGCAAGCCAGCTTTAAGCACAGCGTCGAGATACAGCTCCGCCATGCAGCATATATCTGAATGGTCACTCTTCGAAGAGAGTAATCTTTCTCTGCCGCCTCCGCCACCGCTCCGACCTTTGCGCAGTCCTCTACGCAGCAGATCCAAGAGTCTCGGCGCGGCGGCAGCGGCAGCGGCAGCAGAACGCAAGACTGCTGGCAAACCTTTGCCGGCTAGATCGCCATCGCCTCCTCCACCGCTGCCGTCTTTATCCGCAGCAGCTGCAAAGAGGGAAGCGAGCAGGCTGGTCATGCCATATCAGCTAACCCCTGTGCATACCCCGGCTCGATCCAGACGATCGTCAGGGCAAGACCGAAGAGGTAGTGATGGTTGTGACAGCGGGGCTTCTGTCGCTTCCTCTGATTCTCCTCCATCAGCGCCGTTCCACACTGCAACTTTCGGATCACCTCGATGGACAACTCTCTCTCCTTCGTGACTTGCGACGAAAAATGTATAATTAGTGTCGATGAGCTTCCAGGTGGAATGGTGGCCAATGCTTTGCTTCGTTAATCGATCTCGCCCTCCTCTTGACAATGCTGGGGGTGCTATATAGCTTCTGAGAGCGTTTGTATCACATCATCCGAGCACGACGAAGCCGTCAAATGCAGTGTGTCGAATTGTCGGTACAAATACAAGACGATTGAGTCAGAGAACGTGGCGAAAAGATCATGCTTCGCGAAGGAGCTTTTTCAGAGTATCGCGTTGCGGTTTCGAGACCTGTATTCAATGGAAATAACGAGGTGGACCAGTTGATTCATTAGCTTCGTAGGAGAGGAGAAGCGTGAGAGAGGCTTGTCGGCTGATGGCGCATGCCTCTGCATTGCAATCTTACCTTCCAGTACAAATCCTTGTTGATGATGTTCTTCGAGATGCGGACGTTCTCGCCGAGACCTTGGCGCGCGACAACCCTCTTCTCTAGCTCGGCAGCCACATCTGTTGTCGACGATTTAAGGCCCTTCGATGCTGATGTCACGGAGCTGGCTTGCTTTGCCGATGCGGAAGGCGGCAGACGCACCGACGAGAATGCCCAGGCAGGAAGAGGCTTGACCTTGAGAAGTCTGACAGCTGTTGTCCTCATAGTGTTGTCTAACGAGGATCGACGAGGACACTTCGGACCGTGTTACCTTGTGATATACAACGTTGGGCCTAGTGGAGATCCGGAAGAGATAGCGGAAGGCAGGTGAGGTGTAGGAGAGAAGATGGATACGATGGTGTCCAGAGAACCAAAAGTGAGGTGCAAACCAAAAGTGAGGTGCAAACCAAAATCTCAGAAGAAAGCTCGAATTTCATATCGGCCGATACAACGTCAACTCCACATTCTCGCGAAATGTCAAAAAAGTGTTAGTTTGCGCATTGACCCACTCTCGGAAGCCGCATCCTCTTACTGTCTGTATCACCAACACCAAGATCATCAATATCTCATCCTAGAAGAAGACCATCTTCGGGTCGCAAAATAGACCAGAAAGTAGCCAGACTCCTGCTGCTCGCGGTCTTTGCAGTTTTTGATTAAGCTCGTGGCGTTTCGAACGGCGACGGAAAGGCATCATGAGCGACCGACCCTCATTGATACAGCAGGTTTCTGCCATCACAGGCTGCAATGACTTCCAAGCCACACTGGTGCTCGAACGAAGCAATTGGGACACGGAGAGGGCTGTAAACTTCTTTTTCGATGACCCACCACCAGTAGTAAGTCGTGCGTGCTACCACTGAACCGTCAGTGAGACCAACCGGCTGACTCTCTCTTCTCTGTCTCACTTCCCGCTGCATCTTACAGAAGCCGACAGCAGCCCCGAACACACAAAGCTCTTCGACCGCAGTGGCTCCTTTCCAGAATGTCACGGACAGTCAGGCCGCTGCTACAGCAGCATGGGACGCCTCAAGCTCGCAATTGTATGCTCCTCCACCTCGACCGCCTCCCGCATCCGCCCGGGGCTGGGAACCTGAAAACAAAGGTAAGTCAGCCGGCCTCCTGCCTACACGACCGCCTCATACCTACAGACCTGATACGACTCTTTCTCTAGATTTGATAGATTTGACGAATGATACAGATGCAGACGACGATCTCAGACGAGCCATGGCAGCCTCTTTGCAAGATCATCAATCACAGCAAACCTACCGACCTCCAGCTCCGTTAAGCACAGTCGGCGTAAGTGAAGCCTCGACCACCTCACAGTGGCAGGACTCAACACAGAGGGCAAATCATATCGAGAAAACGCGTTGCAGAAGCTTGTGGCTCGACGACATAGAATACCACCCTTCATCTCCTTCAGCAGAAATGCGTGCCGGCGAAGACACCTCACACGATGCAGTGACGCATGGGGCGATGGATGAAGATGATGAGCATGCACCGGAGAATGGCATTGGTAGACATGCCTATCGCCTTCGAGATCGCCGCAAACTTGTCCGACCTACTCATACCGGACTGATCTTTTCAGAGATGGGTCGGCAGGCCAAATTGCAGAGAACATACAAAGACCGTCCCAATCAGACCAACAGACGACCAGGACAGCGGCGACGAGCGAGAAGAGTACGGACTCGAAGAGGATGTAGTTGGACCATGGTGCGAGCTTCTCTCCTGTTTTGCCTGCCTGCCTCTATCAGCATCTGATCCGAGCTAGTACTGACGCCACCGTGTCTCCTTTCCTGAATCCTTACGACGATGCATTTCATAACAGGATGTAGGCATGTCCGAAGACGAACAGCTACGTCAAGCGCTAGAAGCCAGTGTTCAAAGCCATCATGATCTATTGCGGTCCAACGGATCCGGCGCACGAACACCAGCATTACCTCAGCACTTAGAAATCGATTCACAGACTCGTCGCAGTCCTGGAGCACCTATCGTCATGGTAGCGCCTTTCGCCTCTCTTGAAGTTGTAGCAATGTTGCTACAAGCTCTGTTTGCGGCACCGCCGGTACGAAGAGCATATCTAGCTGCAAGGTCCCCCGATTCTCGCGGATCCGACCTGTCCAGCTACTGGAAAGGCGCCTCGCCCACTGATGCGACCTCTGACCGCGTTACTCGCCCGGCCTTGGAAGCGCATTTCGACTTGTCACAGCGCATCCAAGCCCTGTTTGCCTTTGCACAGCTATCGCATAGACCTCTGTGCGTTGTCAAGGACGTTACGTCGCTAGCTCCAAGCGAAGTGGTGGCTCGGGGAGCTGATCTTTCGCCTCCTGTTAAAGTGGCCAGCCTCTTCTACGAGTTTGTGGTAGAAAGCTTCACCAAGCACGTGCGCGCCGTAAGCGAGCTGATCTTGAATACAGAAGGTGCCGAGGCTACTCAAAATGACGCTTTGTGGATGGATGAAGGTCTGTACCTTTCGAGCGGTGGCCCTGCTCTTACCAGTCCACCGTCTCCCCGCACCAATGGCCCGCAGGAAACAAAGGATACACCGATTGCGGTATCCCGAACTCCAAAGCTCGAGCAGCAGCGAAGCTTCCTCCAGCTGCGGCATGACTCGATCAACTCGGACATCTACTCCTGTCTGCGCGCGGCACTCGCGTCCGACGGGGAGGGCGCACTTCTCACACGAACAGCTCGCACCATCAGTATGGGCATCGAGCATGCATCGCCGACGGCGGAGGGCGGGCCGCCACCCTTGACCATCAACGAACGCATTTATCTCGACTCGTTGATGTGGGACCGCAGACAGGGCGTCCGTCTCGATGCTGAGCTTCGAGATCTTGAGATGGCTTGTCTTGATGCTTTGAGTCAGGAACTGGAAGCTCGCAAACGCAAGCTTCTCGGTGATGGAGGTAGGCCATCTTCCGAGGTGCTTCAGGGAGCCAAGCGATACTTTGCAGAGGTGGCCACGCCTGGCGATGACATGGACTCGATACGATCTTGCTCTCTTGCCGAAGCTGCGCCGCAGATCAGCAAGATCATGGAGGCAGTGCATGCAGATCTTGCATCAACTGACCAGCTGATTGCCAAGGTACGCGCGCAGATCGATGCAAAACGAGCCCTCGTTGCTGCAAGAGCCAAACGCGAGGCTGTGAATCCAGAATGGACGCAGCTCGCCTACGATCTTTGCGCTGTCTTGTGCCATGAAGCTGGACGATATGTGACGATGGTAAAGCAGCCAGATGGGACGTGGTGGAAGACGGCCAACGGTCGAGCGATACGGGTAGATCGGGAGGATGTAGTGATGGGTCGAGCGCAAGATCCGTCTCTGTCGGTCTTCTGGGTAGTGTATGCTCGAGCTGAAGATGTGACATTGAGCGTGGAAGAGGAAGGGTTGATATCCGAGAGAACGAAGGCTGCGATCGGGGATGACAATCTCACGAACGAGTCGGAGTCGCTATTGCTCATACGTTCAAATGCAGCAACACCTTCGTCGACAGCAGATGACGACAACATTCGGATGGTAGGCGAAGAGCCTAAGCAGGCAGCGGACGAGGTGGTAGATCTCACAAATACCACAGATGGCTCCCATGATGTCACAATGCTGGTCGACTTGACAGACGACCGGCCCGAGTCACCTCGCACGACCTAGATAGAGCAATGTAGACTCATGTCGCCCGAGGTCGTGATGCTGCATGATATGAAAACTCTGCTGCAGAGACAGGCAAGCTTTCTCTTATCTTTGGTGTCTTAGCGAATACTGTATTGCTGTGAAAAAGTATAATTGCGTCATGAGATGGCTATGGAGACTCAAGCAACGACGCGGGCTACCTGGCACTGCTTTTCGGCCCTGACCGTAGCGGCAGCGAGGTGCTGCCTCCATCCCTGGACTGGCTTTGTCCTGCCCCATCCTCTCCTTAGTGCTGATCGTTTTGTGTTCTGATCCTTGGCCCTCTGCGACTCAAAGCCGTTCCTGCCGACCTTGGCTTCCAGCTTGATGCGGCGTGCGTCGGCACGAGTGCGTGGAGCGTTGCGAGTGTAGTGTTCCCATGCCATCGAGTAGAGCTCCCCACTGGCGGGGTAAGGCGATGGAAGATCGGTACGGAAAGTCCATCGACTTTTACCATCGTTACCAACGGTCTTGTAAGGGACGATGGTGGGATGTCGGATGTAGATGGCGGAGCAGGTGATGAACGAAACTTCGAGGTAAGGAGGGATGAAAAGGAACGGTGCTGCATAGTTGGGAAGAGTAAATGGCAACACGCCAGGTGCGAGTGTCTTCTCTTTCTCCTTGCCCTTCGATGAGGCATTTGGTGCATCCTTGCTTGCTGAGTTTTTTGAAGTAGCTGCCTCCTCACTCGATTGCTTCTCTGAAGTGGCTGCCTTCTCACTCGATTGCTTCTCTGATGTTGTTGCTGCATTTGTAGTAGCGGCATCGCCCTCCTTATTCTCGGTCTTGGCGGACGCATCTGCAGAAGCTTTGACGTCTGCAGCCTCGGACTGAGCAGCTTCTGTTGCCTCAGCCTCATCCGAGTCGGCGTCATTGACCTTTTGTTGGGCTGCCTTGGCCGCGAGCTCCTTGCCCAGCATGGGGACGGCCGATGGCTCTATACTGATGAGATCGCCTGGTTGCAAAAGCTGGTTGGGGTTGGAGCACTTGACGCCATTGAGCTTGATCTTGCCTTGAACAACCATGGCTCTTGACTCGTATGCCGAGCGGGCAAAGCAGCAGCGGAAGACAACGACATCGAGTCTGCGCTCGACATCACGCATGAACAGCGAAGCGGTAGGCATCTGATCCATCTCTTCCAAGACCTTTTGCTGGGTTACGGTTGCATAGGATGTGCCTGGCGCGGAGTCGGTCTCAGTGGCAGCAGGAGCATTCGATGCTCTGCGCGCTTTGAGTGCTTCGTCGAAGAGTCCACCTCGCCTTGGCCCGGATGTTGAAGAGCCGGACGAGACACCGGAAGCAGAAGAGGCCGAAAGCTGAGGTGGTACGAAGCTTGGAAGTTCGGTGGGAAGGAACCAACGCTTGAAGCGCTTTTCTGGAATCCAGTCACCGTGGTAGCCACGCAGGAAGCGTTTAGATCGCCATCGCTGCTGATACATTGTCAACGAGGTTTTGGTGAAGGAAGTCTGCGAGGCGTGGAAAGGAACGGTGGAACGAGCGATCATGTTGTAGAGGTTACGCGAGGACCAGGACATGCGTGGCATGATGGTCTCATGACTAAAGACCTTTGCTCTGCGCATCTTGACTAGCTTTGTTGAACAGCTCTGGCGAGTGTAGCTACGTGGGATGGGTCGACTGGCAGTGCTGAGAGAGACTGAGGAATCGTAATCGTTGTGACGCAATATGAGACCGCCTTTGTTGTCTCGCAAGCCCCAGATGGTCGATTTTTGGACGACAACAAGTCGAGCGCCGTTGTCCTTGTGCGAGATGATGCGAAAGTGAGGATGAACGTATAGCAAGCGATGAAGGGAGCGTTTCGATGAATGTCTTGCCGCGAATCATGGCCTTGATTCAGAAGAATGCGCTCTTCCTAAGCAAGGCCAACTTTTTCGGAAGAAGAAATCGAGGAGGACGAGATCACGTGGATGGGTCGAGGATCGAGATCGTCATTGATCGGGGAGAATCGGTCGATCTCCTTTTTTTTCTTTCTTTTTTTTTTTTTTTTCTTTTTTTTCTTTTTTTTCTTTTTTTTCTTTTTTTTCTTTTTTTTCTTTTTTTTTTCTTTTTCCCAATTTGTTTGCTAATTCCAGTCTCACACTTTTTGGATGTGAGGGAGGACCTGGCTCAAGCACGCCATCGCCGCTGCGCTGATGCACGGATCTACAATTATTGCTCAACACTCGAGGCTCGTTGCTCTAGTTAAATGGGCAGGAAGCCGCACAAATGCTTCAACTGTGGCTTGTTCTGCGCTTTCCAGTTGCGCATCGAGAGAACAGCTCTTCACATGACGATTCAAGTGGGCCTGAAAGCTCGAGCGAAGCTTACTGGGATCCATGAGCGGGCGATGGCGGATGATGTTACAGCTGGTCTGTGCATTCGGCTTTGGATAGCAGCAACCAATGAGGTGGACAAAAGGACCATGCTGAGTGCGGCTACGTCGGTGGTGCACGTCGGTGGCAGCGGATGAGCACGTTCTCGATTGATCTGCGTTCAAAGACGTAGGCGGCCAACCATAAGAAGAGGGGCCGTCATACACACGCACTCTCAGGCAGGTGAAGAAGAAGAAGAAGAAGAAGAAGAAAAAGCAGAAGAAGAAAAAGAGGATGCGATGGGTTGATTTTCACCCGCTTTCGTGTTTTTCTGAATTTCATTTTTTTTTTTTTTTTTTTTCGCCCATCGAAAGCTCCAGTGCCATAGATGTCGCACGTCCCTGCTTTTTTTCTTTTTCTTTTTTCCTTTTTCCTTTTTCTTTTTTCCTTTTTCCTTTTTCTTTTTTCCTTTTTCTTTTTTCCTTTTTCTTTTTTCCTTTTTCCTTCTTCCTCTTCTTCTTCCTCCTGATCTGCCAACCGCTGCTGTCACTCTGTCGAAAGCTGCTCTCTATTCTCGCAGATTCGTGTTGGTTTTGCTATCCACAGATCTGACATTTAGTGCCTACCTCGTTCTGACGCTTTTGTCCGTCCATACTTTCTTCTTGATCTACCATCACCTCACACATCCCTCCTCGCCCACCTTCCGCATTGCACATAGACAAAATGGCTCCCGCTGTCCGAGTTCTACCCGAGGGTCACTTCCTCTTCACCTCGTAAGTCTCGACGGTACCTATGTTTTCGCAAGGTGCTCCAGCCATCCTGGAAACGAAACTCTCACTTCAATCCGTAGCACGAAAGCTGACTTGTTGTCTTTTTGCCCTTTTCCCTCACTTGCTCACTTCCCACAGCGAGTCTGTCGGAGAGGGTCACCCCGACAAGATCTGTGACCAGGTCTCCGATGCCATTCTCGTAAGTATTTCCGCTCTTCAAGAACGCCAAATTGAGGTCAAGCTGTTGCGGTCGCTTTTGCGCTTCAGCCTCCTTCTGAGATCGTCTTGACTTAGCTTAAATCTGCTGATGCTGCTGCTAGGTCCCAGCATTGATCGATGAACCCAGAAAAGCAGCCTCTCGATCGCTGACATTCTCGCCACATTTCCATCCCCTTGCCTGCCCTGTTTGCTTTGCAACAGGATGCCTGTCTCGAGCAGGACCCAAACTCCAAGGTCGCTTGCGAGACCGCCTCCAAGACTGGTATGATCATGGTCTTCGGCGAGATCTCCACCAAGGCCCAGATCGACTACCAGAAGGTCATCCGTGACACCATCAAGAAGATCGGTTACGACTCTTCCGAGAAGGGTTTCGACTACAAAACCTGCAACGTTCTCGTTGCCATTGAGCAGCAGTCGCCCGATATCGCTCAGGGTCTCGACCACGGTTCCCTCGAGGACCACGGAGCTGGTGACCAGGGTATCATGTTCGGCTACGCTACCGACGAGACTCCCGAGCTCATGCCCTTGACACTCATGCTCTCACACAAGCTCAACCTTGCCATGTCCGCTGCCCGCCGCGACGGCACCCTCGGATGGCTCCGACCCGACTCCAAGACCCAGGTCACCGTCGAATACAAGAAGGACGGTGGTGCTACTGTTCCTCTTCGCGTCGACACCGTCGTTATCTCGACCCAGCACGCCGAGGAGATCTCGACCGACGACCTCCGCAGCGAGATCATGGAGAAGATCGTCAAGAAGGTCATCCCCGCCAACCTCCTCGACAACGACACTATCTACCACATTCAGCCCTCCGGCCGTTTCGTCATTGGCGGTCCTCAGGGTGACGCCGGTCTCACAGGCCGTAAGATCATTGTCGACACCTACGGTGGTTGGGGTGCTCACGGTGGTGGTGCTTTCTCCGGTAAGGACTTTTCCAAGGTCGACCGATCCGCCGCCTACACTGCCCGATGGGTTGCCAAGTCGCTCGTTGCTGCCGGCCTCGCCCGTCGTGTTCTCGTGCAGTTCTCGTACGCCATTGGTGTCGCCGACCCTCTCTCGGTCTTCGTCGACTCTTACGGCACTGGTAAGAAGTCGGACGAGGAGCTCGTCAAGATCATCCGTGACAACTTCAACCTCCGTCCCGGCATTATCGTCAAGGACCTCGGTCTTCAGAAGCCCCAGTACCTTGCTACCGCTGCCGGTGGTCACTTTGGTCGATCCGAATTCTCGTGGGAGCAGCCCAAGCAGCTCAATTTCTAAGAGCATAATCAATAATGACATCTCTGTGATCTCTTGTTCTGCTTAGGATTCACTCCTTCATACCATACCCAAAAGTCATGGTCGATTCAACATCGCACCGCCGCATTGGTTCCTTTTCTTCTTCTTCTTCTTCTTCTTCTTCTTTTTCTTTTCTTCTTTTAATGTGTTACCAACTTCTTTCGTATCGAACGGTTCTTGAATCTGTTTTGTAGTGTTGTCCGGTCCTTTCTCTCTCTCTCTCTCTCTCTCTCTCTCTCTCTCTCGCTCCTTGCATAGATCCGCCATCTCTTCTTCAACTTACCCACATCTGTACTACCTTCTGCAACTTGTCGCTGGCGCTCGTCCGCATACATACTCGCACTTTCACGCATCTCGACGTTAGCCGGCCGGAATAGCCTTTCTACGTCACCTCGCAGTAATACCAATACCACGTCAACCGTGTCTCTTTAACACAAGTTTGCGATTGTTTGTCGATGACAGCACAGAAAACAATACAGCCGGTGCGCTTTTGCATCAGCGTTGCAAGTGTTGAGGCATCTAGATCTAGATCGAGCGTAATCGGGCGAGAAGCTGGCAGCAGTTCCGATCTTTTCAACGTGCCCGTCGTCTCGGCCGGGTGATACTACTGAGTGGGGCAAGCTCGTGTGGTCGCGTCGCGAAACAGCAAAGCCATTCCGCATTGCAGGCCTTGGAAATTGAACGCGTAAATGCAGTTGGCGACAGCAAACCGCGAAGAGCGAAGAGCGAAGAGCGAAATTGCTGCAGCGCCAAGAAGCGGCTCGACTGCAACTTGAAATAATTTCTATCACTTGGGAAATTTTTGCCGGACGGAACGAGAGACACTGAGAAGAGGCTTCTCTCTCCTCGGATGGAGGCTTCTTGCATTCCCGTCTTCCGAGCTGCGAAAATCAAGCTGCAAGAGGCGTAGAATCTTGAGGCACAAGACAATGGCCACTTTCTTTGCTTCACTTCTTCCTTCTCACCTTCAACTCCTTTCTACTCTCATACCTCATTCTCATACCTCATTCCCGCTCTGCTCGCTCTGCTCGCTCTGCTCGCTCTATCGCCTCTTCCCGCATCTTACAACTATATCAGACCCACACATACTTAGCTCGTACATCAGCTCAATCTGCATCCTCTCAGCAAGTGCCGGTCATTTGCTCTTCCGCTTTTCACCGCATCGCCTCCACTCTGGCCTCCCACTGTAGAAGATCTCGAACTCAACTTGTCCACCACCATCCATCTAGCTCGAAATGTTGCTCTCGCCTGCTGTCAAAACTTCTTACCTCAACACCATGGCTGCTCGCTCATCGCCTACTCCTAAGCGAAGGGCCGAGGCCGAAGAGAACCTCGAGACTTGCCCTCTTTCAGGCAAGCGTGCTCGCCCTACCATTCCTCTTCGAAGCTCTAGATCCGGTAGCTCCTTCCAGGTGCAGCAGTTTCAACAGCAGTCTCAGATGCCTTCTCAGTTCACTCAGCATCCCTTTGCGAGCTCATCCGATGTGACGCTCGATGATCTAAGCACCCAGCAGCAAAACCAACAGCCTAGCATCTTCACGCACTCATCCGCCTCTTCCGACAAGGGCAAGGGCGCGGAGAACACCTTCTCGTTCGCCTCGTCCTCGAACGATAACCCTCACTGGCTCAAAGTGGTCACTTCCTACGGCTACACCTTTATCAAGTCCGACGAGCTTCACCTTCTCCAAGGCAATGCCGATATTCAGATGGTCATTGAGCCTTCAAACCCAGCTCATCAGAACCAAGTGCCAGCCTCTCCGCCAGCACAGATGCGTTATCCCATGGGTGTCGAGTTTCCACCTACACCTTCGCCCTCCGATGATGGCACCGGTTCCTCTTCGGCTAACCGATACTTTGCGCAGCAGCATACCACGGGCAAACCCCTCTGGGAGCATGTTGAAGGCGATCAAGAGGCTGCACGAGCTCAGGCTCAGGCGCAGATGGCAGTTGGGGGCGGTGATATCAATGAGATGATGACGGACGGATGGTGATCACCTCGGTCTTGATCCCTGTGTTGTCCTGTCTTGCCCGCTTCGACCCTATCGTCACTGATTCCGTTGTCCTCTGCGTACCGCCTTGCAATCCCTCCTCGTCTCCTTTCTGCGTACCGCCTTGCAATCCCTCCTCGTCTCCTTTCTGCATCTCTCAAACTTGGCTCCTTCTCACCAGCCGCTTGTTCTCTTCTGCTCGTCCCTCGTCCCCGCCTTTCTCTGTCCTGTCGCCAAAGTCATGTATTCTAGTCTCCCTTCTCACACAAAACAGGCCACTTTTGATGCAACAGTGGCTTCTCCAACACGCATCCCACACGTTTTCTGCCTCTTTTCCTTCTTGGCATCTTCGTGGTTGTTAGCAATATGAAACGAAATTCGATATCTTGTTCATCCGTCGTTCGTATGATGGAGGAATTGCCATCCACTGAGGCGATGCATGCCTGAAACTGTCCTGATCCCTAACTCCGGGTCAACATCAAGGCACACAGGCTCGATGATGCTTTGAGGGATACTTGGAAAGATGGATAACATTGCTATGATGAACAAACAATTTCCTGCTCGGGCGACAGTCCATGGTCTGTTTAGCCAGGGGGAAGGGCGCCGGCGTCGATAGTCTCGACCTCCTCCTCAGTGAGGTCATCAGCACCAGCGTATGAGGATGGAATGGGCGAACGTGGCAGAACCATCGTACCCGAACGAGCGCACTCGAGGATACCGAAAGGTCTGACAAGTTTCAAGAAGGCATCACACCTGCTGCTCTTGCCCGACATTTCGACAATGACGCTTGTGGACGAGACATCGACGACACGACCGCGGAACTGTTCTGCGAGAGCAATGACGGAGCGCATGTTGTCCGACTTGACACGCAGCGCTTCTGTGGGAGTAAGGGGAGTCATGTGTGACTGGGCCTGATGAGCTGCTGCTGCGCCGACCGAGCTGGGACCAGAAGGAGACTTGTTGGAGTCAGTCTCACGTTCGGCGATGAGCTCGGGAGCGTTGGCTGGGCTGGCAGCCTGTTGCGACTCTTCGAAGTACTCGGGCCCGAGGATGGACACTTTGACGAGCATAAGCTCTCGCTCGATGACCTTGGTGTTGGTGTAGTCGAGCACGGCCCAGACAGGGACAAGATCCTCGAGTTGACGACGGGCCTGTTCGATGACGCCATCCTGACCACGGAGAACGATGCACATGCGCGAAAGATCGCGAATCTCGGTACCACATACAACGAGCGAGTCGATGTTGAAACCTCTTGCTGCAAGTGTACCAGCAACACGGGAAAGAACACCTGGTTCGTTCTGGACGAGACAGTTGAGCGTGTGACGCTTGAAGGGGGCCTTGGACGGAGGAGGTGTGTTGTACAAGATGTTGGATACGGCTTGTGGTGCGTCCAGCGAAGGAGGTTCAAGCGAGGGAAGAGGTGGAAGCTTGCGAAGCTTGTGAGCGAGCTTGTAGTCAAGGGCCGAGGTAGAGTCGGATTCGACGGGCTGCTGCGGCTGCTGTCGCTTTTCTGTCGAGTTGGGAAAGGTTGTAGCGAATGACGATGACAAGTGGCGAACAACGGTGGATTGTGCTAGCAGACGCATTGCCGACTGTGATACCGACTGTGATGCCGACTGTGAGGCCGCCCGCAGCAGCGAGCAAGCACCTCTCGAGATCATGTTGAGCAGGATAAGGAGGCTGGGGCTTGGTGGTGAAGAGGCAAGTAAGATGACTTGGCTGTCAACTCCGGGTCAAAGTCGTGTGGTGAATAGGTAAGCCGCTTGTAGCTCTCAGAACAAGCTACGATTGGCTGGCTCTGTCACTTGTGCCTTTCTTGCTTTGTGCGGCTGTCTGATTGATTCAGGCATGACTCCAAGTGAAGGGCCACTTGAGTCTAAACTGTCGTACGAGAGGCGCTAATTTCTGGAGACCGTCACCACAGAGTGTTAGACCTTACAAAGTAGCAAAAAGCATAGCAGCTCCACTGGCGGACGGACCTCCACGCGGAACGCGTGACATTGCAAAAGGAACACAAAATCGCCTCCTTTGAGGCAAAGGCAGAAAAAAAGAACAGAAATGGGCGCTGGTGAACTGACAGTTGAGCAACTAAGTACTGTTGAAGTTGGACGGCGTTTGGGTCCCGATACTGGCGATCGGGGATAGTCTAAGTACGATGTCACTACTCTTTTAAGGCAGAAACATATACTAAATTGACTAAAGGAATGTGGCGAGAGCCTAGTGCTCTCTGTGAGGTATATATACATGTGAGCGGCACATGCCGGATGTGGGAGTTGCCATATCTAATGATCTAGCCTGACAACGAGTGGGACTTCGTTGTTCCCGATTTCCAGGGAAATCGGTCTGTCCTCGATCTCCGATCAGCTCAGTCCTCTGACCGGATCGGCTCTCTCTGATCTCCGATTGGATCGGTTCAGCGTCACTCTTTAACATCTCGCTGGATCGTAATCTTCAACAAGTACAAGTCGGTGGTTGTATGCACCATCAGTCACAACAGGTCGTACAGTCGACTCAGCAACCATCATCGTCCATCCATCCTCACCCTCCGTCGTCTGGAAACAGCCACGCCACATCTAAGGTCGACTGGAGCAGGTCCAGGCCTGGATGCCAACAGAACGCAAACTCGACACTATTGCATCGCACAAAAGGTGCCGCACCAACATGTTAATCGCCAACACAGAGCCGCTGCGGTGCCTCTGAAGCAGCTTCATGATCACCCTGCTGCCCCTGACAAACACCTCGCTATCACCACTGAACAACCAGAGGAGGACCGCCGTAGCCAATACCAGTGGCGAACCACACAGATCAGCTCGCGTCACTAGTACAATGTCGGAACCACCAACTTTCAAAGCTACGGCGGCAACAGCAACAGCTTCAGCAAACGCTCCCCAACAGAATATGTTTGCCTCTCCTACTTCCATGGACAGCGGATTACCACCCTCACCGCCCAGCGTAAAGGATGCCACAGTAGCAAAGACGTCGATAAGCTCGACCCTAGCAGCAGGACCTCCTCCCGCCGCTCCTTCCGCTATCACATCTCCCATCAGCCTTCCGACACCGCTTCATACTCAGTCCATCGCACCTTCTCTGTCGGCCGCCTCCAACGCTGCCGTCTCTCGCGGAAGCAGCATTCGCTCCAATGCCCCACCTTCTTCGTCCGCTTCCACCACCCGCATCCGCAAAGGTCTTCTCTCTAGAGCTGGAAGCGAGGCTGAGGATCGAATCTCTCGCGCAGTCTCTGCTTCCCAACATCCACTCACCACCGATGACGATGACGATGAGCTCATGGTCAGCGATTCTGGGCCCATGCCCAGACGCTTTGCCTCTCAAAATCGCGGCCCAATAGCAGCGTCGAGCACCTCTCGACAATCCTCCCACTCATCCTTCTCTCCGACCACATGGGGCCAACGATCAGCCGTTTTAGGTCAACAGCCGCATTCTTCTTGCACAAGTATCGTCTCAGGCAATCGCAGTGGAAGTGGCGATGCTAGCGAAGGCAGCGCCGGCGTCGGCGGTGTCAGTCTTGGCCGTGCCATGTCTGTCTCATCTGTCAGCTCTGTCAATAGTACCAGCAGTCTGGAAGCCGTCCCTTTCCGCGAAGCCCCTCTCGGCAATGTCAGACTCGGCTTCGGTGGCGCTGGACCTCGTGCTGCGGGTCGCTACGCCCGCGCCAGTCCATACGGTCCGCTTTCCACGTCAATGCAGCCCTCGACTCAGCTTCCACGCTCCGCACAGGATCAGGCATCTATAGATGGCGTCTCAGCAGATCTGCTCGACCCTGCTCCTCTTGTACCAGGCGCACAAGATCCCACAACCTCTGCCGCTCTCAGCACTTCGGCAACAACTTCCGACAGACACAAAGGCGTGCCCAAGCTAGCTTCCGACGCTTGGATGTACCGTGTTGGACCCGGCATGCGGACAAACAAGTCTCGTATACCCTCAGCAGCGCCCTCACCAGAATCAGCCGAGCTGCCACTCGATGATGCCACCTCATCCTCATCTTCACCCGCCAAGCGTTCGCGCGATGTGTTGCGTCAAAAGTTTGCCAAGGGTGCCGGTCGACTTGGCGTTAAAGCTAGCATCGTCACCGGTCTCGGTCCCACCCCCTCGGATCAGTTTGCAGTATATAATCCTCTCGACAGCTCCGAAGATGAGGTCAACCTCGTTCCGCCAATGCGAACACCTCTCGCCCGAAACTCGAGCTACCTCTCTTCCGCTCCTCACAGCGCCAACTGTTTGGCAGCTACTCCTTTGCATACCAGCCTCACTCCTGTACCGGCCGACTTTCGCACCAGCTCCGTCACCAACGCACCTTTGTTTGTGCCGAAATTTGCCGAAGATTCACTGCCTGCAAGGCTTACGCCAGAGCCATTCTTGATGCCCAGCTCCGCCTCTGTTCCGCACAACGGTCGTCTTGCGCCTACCGCAGCATCGAGCCAAGCACCTTCTCTGCCTCCACCGAGCTACGCCGCTGGATCAAGCCTCGTTGCTCCCGACCTATCTCCCTTCTTCACCGCCAGTGATGCAGCCAGAGCGAGCGGAATGGGCCATCCCCGACGCAGATCATCGGCCACACAGCGACCCCCACTCACGAACGCCCACAGCAGCAATAATTCCCTCGACCGCACCGCTTCACCAGGTCTGATGGTAGAGGATCCAAGCGTGGCCAGCGCACCAGCCGCTCAGCCCTCACTCTACACGATGCCTTCACCTGTACTGTTAGCCCAACGTCCTCCACAGGTCGAAGCCGCTGTCACCTCTCCACCTGCGCCGCATCTCACACCTGCCGAAGTGGTCCGAATGGAAGCTCAAGCTGGCATTGCTTGCCTACCAGACTCACCTAGCGAGCCCTCGCCCATCCCTGCCAGCTACTTGCCCGCCCTTGGCGAAGAGACGGTCTCGGTCGCGCCAAGGCGACTGCGGGACTCATCGCAACCTCGGATCAGGCGTCCAAGCAGTGGCGCTGGTAGCGAGGCTTCGCTTTCGATGGCCGCAGCCGCTGGTCCTTCGCGTCAACCAGAATCGCTTCAATGTCAACGAATGTGGTCCAACGCTAAACGACCTGCGATTCTGCGAGCCTGTACGAGCGAAAACTCCATCAGTCGAGGTCGGCGCAGCCAAAGCCTTGACCGCAAGGGATCCTCTCCCGCTCCTCAGAGTCCTATCGAGGAACCGATGCTGGAAGGGGCATGCGACAGGCCGGGCATGCATTCCAAGCATAGCTCCGGCAGCACGGTCCCTGGCAACGATTTCGACACGCGTGTTGCGCCACAAGTCTCGGTGATTCCCGAGGATGACGACGGCGGTAGCAGCACTATCGCAACGCCGCAGCTTCGTGCCGTTCATGCTGCTGATGTTGGATCTATCACCTCTTCGAGATCTCCCTCGAGTATTGAGGTGGATCAGAGCATGACCCTGTCGCCTGCAAACGGAAGCGCATTGCCATTTATGGCTCGATCGAGCCAAGGACCACGCTCTGCCTCGCCTGCTTCACAACTAGGCCGATCTCCGGAGACCATACGTATTGGCCCGGCCCGAGTCACGGACTCGATCTACGGTCGAAGCCCGGCCTCGATCTCCAACTTACGAAGCCCGCGTCTGGCACCTTCGTCCGCCTCGATCGGCTCGGAACATCCCAAGTCTCCTTCGCCTCGAACTTGGTCGGCCAGAGGCCCCAACGACTTTCACTTTGGCGAGACGTTGGGTGAGGGTTCCTACTCGACCGTACTTGAGGCATGGGATCTTTTGTCAGGACCAACGCCCAAGGAGCCAGGTGTCGTCGATCCGACTGCTACGTCGGCGGCAGCGGCCATGGTCGGATCCGACTCTTCACGCAGACGACGTCGCAAAGTTGACTTGAGAGATCGTAAGGCTTACGCAATCAAGGTGCTCGATAAAGTACACATTCTCAAACAAGGCAAGCAGAAGTATGTTTCGATCGAAAAAGAAGCGCTCAGTCGGATGATTCGACATCCTGGAGTCGTCACGCTCTTCTGGACTTTCCAGGATCGCGAGAGTCTCTACTTTGTCCTCGAGCTGGCCAACAACGGCGAGCTGCTCAACTTTATCCGCAAGCACGGCAGCTTCGACCTGACATCGGCGCGTTACTATGCAGCTCAACTAGCTGATACGATTGATGCTATGCATCGCGCTGGAGTGGCACACCGTGACGTCAAGCCAGAGAACATCCTCCTTGATGCTCGGAACCGCATGAAGATCACCGACTTTGGAAGCGCCAAGATTGTGCACGCGCCCGGCGAGGCTGACTCACAGAATGCATCAGCGAGTGCACCACATCCCACTACACCTTTGCCGAATCAGTCGAGAGCTGCCAGCTTTGTCGGAACGGCCGAGTACGTCTCGCCCGAACTGCTGGTAGAGAAGGCTCAGCCTGCTGGCAAGCCAGCAGATTGGTGGGCATTCGGCTGCGTGCTCTTCCAGATGATTGCAGGACGACCTCCATTTAAAGGAGTCAACGAGTATCAGACGCTGCAGAGGGTCAAGAATCGCGACTTCACCTTTCCTGAAGGCTTTCCTGAGGATGCACAGGATCTCATCGACCGAGTTCTGACTCTCGATCCAGCAAAAAGGCCGTCTGCTGCCGAAATCAAGGCTGATCGCTTCTTTTCTGACATCGACTTTGGCACGTTGTGGGAAGTAGATGCGCCAGAGATCAAGACGGGACTTGTGCAGCCTTTGCCGACGCCTCCCCAGCAGCGCGAGTTGGCTGAGACGAGCGATTTCAGCTTTGACCAAGGTTTCGGCAGTTCCCAGGAGTCACAGGCATACAACGGCGACACGCAGAGCATCGACTATCAGTCTCGAGGAGGAGCAGATGAGAGTTTTTTGAGCCTCAAGGCAGCTTGTTCAGGTCAGCCGGATGATGCAGATGATTCGGAGCTGTCTGACGCAAGCTCTGACCGTCATCGAGAAGGACGAGAGAGTGCCTCAAGCTTGCCTAGGCGCCAGAGCGGCTTGCAGCGTTTAAGCGACGGCTTCCAGAACCGATTTATGTCCAACAACGCTGGTGGTTCGTTGTCTGGGAACGGTGGTAGCCCTGCTTTGGCTGAGCAGAATGGAGGTAGTGGAGCGCCAAGACGCATGTTCTCGACCAGGTCGATTGATGGTGCTCATCCAGCCTCAAGCCAAGTCACGTCGGAGAAGGGCTCAGAAGGTGTAGGTCAGGCAGCGTCGAGACCGTTGCGTCCCTTCTCTCGATCGATGCAGACCATGGGCGGCAATGTGAGTCCGAGTCACAGCCCGGGGCGCGATGCTGTGGTGAGGAATCAGGCATCGACAAGCGGACTAGGATCAACTAGGAACGGCGTACAGCAGAGCTGGGCAGCGCTATTGCTGCCAAAGGAACTGATGCTGCATAGCCTTCCGGTAGCACAAAAGAAGACGGGAACAGGCAAGATGTTCACAAAGCGTCGACAGCTGGTGCTGACCGACTTTCCCAGGCTCTTGTGTGTCAAGGAGACCGCCGCGGCTCTCAAGGTCAAGAGTGAGGTGATTCTCGCCATTCCTCCGAACAAAACGGGTGAGGCGAATGCGACAGCAGCGCTCTACGCAAGCAACGCGAGCGGGAATGGAGAGACGGGGCTCAAGGCGGGCGACTTTGAGAAGATCTCAGGAAGGCAGGCGCCCTCGGCGGCGTCGGACGACGAAGCGGAGCAGCAGGACAACTCGACCTCTGCTGGCAACTTGCGATCGGTTGCCTCGCAGCAACAAGGAATCCCCAATCTGTTGACAGGGCTCGAGTATAGGGGAGGCAAAGCGTTCACAATCCGGACTGCTAATGGAAGAAGCTTCCTGTACGAGACGATTTCAGGTGATGCATCTGGGTTAGTCAAGTGTATCCAGGAAGCCAGAAGGTCTGCATCAACCTACCTACAGTAGCTTGAAGCAGGGTTTACATACAAGCTCAACAATGAAAAACGTTGTAATTGTCCGACCCGTCCCTGACATGCTCCGCTCGACAAGGTAGGAGAGAGAGACTGTGATGATGAGTACGAGGATTGGGTTCTATCTCACCTCAGATGCATCAATGCACAGTTCAGCAACAGGCGAATCTTAAAAAGGTCCAGAATCGATATGAGATCGTCGTTGACGACAAAGATACAGTTGAGGATCACAGAGACACAGTTGAGGCTCCGAATCTCGGGCCTCTTGATCAGAAAAGGGAGAAGCAAGGTTGTTGGGTGCCGGTTGAGATGGGGCGAGTGTAAGATTAAGGTCAGCAACACGTTCGAGCGAAGGAGCAATGATGGCTTAGTGCGGAGAAAGACGATTTGACAGAGTTCAACTTCAGCACTGCGGGGTCGAAATCAGATGCTGCGCTAGGCAAGCCACTCAAATTGCAGCAGAAACCTCAAGGATCTAGCTTGCTTATCGCGATCGGATCTACAAAGATGTTGAGCGTACAAAGGAGCAAGTTGTTGGTGGTGGTGCGTGCGAGGTTTGTCTGGGGTAAAGTAAGGCAAAGAGTGCCGCAGAATGTGGGGGTGGTGAGTGTGAGGAGGTGGCGCTGAATAATCGCATCTGGCACGGATGATATTCGGACGAACCCTGGGCATAAAATTCTGGTTGCCACTGCCGACCTGAGCTTGTTGCAAGCCCTTGCTCTCCAAGCCCTTACGCCGAGGTGTTCGCGAGGGGCAACGCAATGGCCAATGCTGTTGTTGCGCCAGAAGGTGAAAGGTGTAAAGCCTAATGATACAGCGAGGCTCTGGACAGCGCCGCCACTGAAATGCTCAGAAGACATAAGTTACGCAGAGGTGAGTGGCATTGCGAGTTTGGCAGCCCTCCTTAGTGCGGCCGAGAGGTGCGCAGCAAAGGAGCCTTGCGTTGCGTTGGTCGATGGCCTTTCCAGAGAGAGGCGAGTTGCCAAAGGCGAATTGCCAAAGGCGAATTGCCAAAGGCGAATTGCCAAAGTCAGGTGGACATATTTGCCTTTCCCATTGTTCTTGGTCACTTTGGCCGACTTGAACGGCGAAAAGGACGAGGGAAATCACACAGGAAGGGGGGCTTGTCTCCTGTTCCGCTCCTCAGTGAGAGTTGAGGATTTAGGGGCAAGGTCGACACCCAGAAAAATCAAGGGGACAAGGGGAAAAAGGATTTGTTGCAAGTGCAGTTCGGGCTTTGCGACACGGGTGCAAAGTACAGCCGAAAACTTGTGTTCATCTGCAGTTCGAGTGCATTGATGAAAGGACACACAGGAGACGAGGAGCGCGTTTTGCTGAGGTCTGCGCAAAACCACAACCGAGGTCTCGTTGCCCAAAGTCATAACCTTATGAACGCGAGAGCACTGGAAGGAGCGATTGCATACAGCATTTCGATGCCACGGCTGGCCTGTTGAAGTCAGTGTCAGGCATCGAGATCGAACCTCACTGTTCCTGTGTTTCAGTGCTAAGAAGCTTGCTCCAGTAAGGACATCATCGACCTGGTCAACTTGAACTCCTTCTACACATCCATGTCGGACGAATTTCGAATCGAACGATGCAGTTCAACTGAGGCTTGCAGCCAATTTCGTCCGAAAATTCTCCTTTTTCAGAGGTGCGCGATGAACTGGAAAAAGAAAGAGAAAAAGAAAAAGAAAAAAAGAAAAAGAAAAAAAGAAAAAGAAAAAAAGAAAAAGAAAAAAAGAAAAAAAAGAAAAGAAAAAGAAAAAAAAAGAAAAAAAGGCTCAAATTTTGGAGTGAAAAAGATTGTGAAATTTTTCTCACATGGCAGGCACCCTTAGTGAGAGCCTGAGTCGATCCCCATTTTATTCTTGGACGAATTGTTTAATTATGGCGGGTTGCTGCTGTTGCGGAGAATTTTCGTTGAAACTTCGCTGCAATCTCGTTCGGCCTGCTCCGAGCGGAAGTGTGAGTTGCAAGGAACACTTGAAACGGCCTTGCGGATGACCTGTTTGCTGCAATCATTTCTCCGAAAGACGAGGCATCTTTATGACAGCAAGATGCACCAATCTGTCGCTTCCTTCGGCCGAACTTCGGTCATCGAGTCTCACTGCAACAATCCCGACCCACTTGTTCACCATCATTTTCGCTCGAGATCAGATGTGTAAATCCAGTTTGACACCCCGCAAAGCGCCTGGTACCAGATGCAAGGAGTGATTGTAGCAAGGAGGTGGGGCACCGCCAACATGATTCAATGATGAAGCAGAGCAGTGGGGGAGATGACCTGGGGCTCCCACATTTGTCTTTCATGTAATGGGCCCCGCGTCACGATCCAATCGAGGTCAGCGAGGTGACCTTCAGCCAGACACTGAGCAAGCAGAACGGACGGGCAACCTAGCACGCTCTCTGTTCCTGCAGCTCGATTTGAACCTTTTCTCTTTCTTCTTGTTCCGTCGCCTCCAAAGCGGCGAACCTCCAGTCCAGAGACCGCAAGCAAAGTCTCGGATGCCGAGGGGAGAATGCCACATAATCCCTCGAGTCTAAGCGAGACCTGGAAGAACAAGCATGACCGTGCTAAGCCGTGCCTGACTTTGATCTGCAGCACGGTTGTTCGATTGCTGTCTATCCATCCTTGAACAGACAATGGCAACAAACGTAGGCTAACCTTACTGGAAATGCTCCGTCCAGAACCGGACTCTGACTGCCAATAGCAGCCGGTCAGCTGGATGCCATTGAGACCTTGTGGTGAGCATACACCAGCCAAAGATCTTGAGCCATTTAGAATAGCGATGGACTTGCTTTTGATGAGCCAGCATTGCAGCTTTTCGAATTCTTGTTGCTTTCTCTCGCCTAGGCCATCCGATCGTCTACCGAAAGATCAAGCTTTGACATACGGCAACAGAGTTTTCATTGGCCCGCAAACTTGCTGTTCTTGAGATGTATTTTTGCTTCTGTGAATTTCGATCGTTTTCTTTGTCAAATCTCGGCGGATTTGTGCAGCAAGTGAGACTCGGCGACCGACGGCGGTCCTAGCGAACTTGTCAAAACCTGGGCGGTGAGAGTGTGTCCCCGCGCTGTTCTGGAGCCCCGACTTGCTTCACTTGGTGGAGAACAACGGTTGACTGTCTCTCTCCAGACTCGCGTTGAGGGTTGTGTCATCTAAGCGAGATCGCTTTCCCCCCCTCCTCCCCCGCTCCAAGGATACAAATGTGGATACAAATGTGGATACAAATGTGGATACGAATGTCGGTTGCTCCAGAGATGGATTCGAGGCAAGGCAGTCTTGCGGTGGTCATCAGTGGTGGCGTTGGGCTCTCCTGCTGCTCGGAACTGCCGACGGATGGTTGGAAAGCCAAGCTTCTGGCTTGCCGAAAATGAGCGACCGGATGGAAATTGACCGGCGGAGAGGCCTGAGTGGGCGAGGATTTGCAAGTTTGAGGAAAGAAGAAGGCATTTGAATTCGATAAACGGTGGCTTTTACCGTTGCCAAACGATTTCCCGCTTCCTCTCTTGGCGAGCTCTCTTTTGTTGAGAGATGCCGACACTCGCTTTTGACTGCCCGGAAGCATGGTCTCAATAGAGCTGAGTCTCGACTTGGTAGCACAATCAACGGCATATCTAGACTTTGGTCACCTGAACCCGAATCCTGAGCCTACCGCTGCGTGGGGGAGTGACATGAAATATGACTAGCCTCAATCATGCAGCGCCGCGAGACTCGAGATCATGCTTCAGAAGAGTCAAGAGTAGACAATCCAGGCACCAACCTGCACCTACACTATGGCTAGTCAGGAACTTTTCTGCTGCTAGCTAGCAATCGCACATGGGCAATCAGACAAGCCCAAGGGTCGAGAACAGCAAGGAGCAGAATCTTCCGTATGCGGCACTTGCACTTGCATTGCTATGGTAGTGCATACACTCCAATCAAAGGGGCCATCATACTATGCACTGCCTTTGCCCGGCCTGCAGGATGAGCTGACGTTTCATCAATGGCGGCAGATTGCAGATGAGATTGCGGGTCGCACAGCAATTGAGGGCGTTCAAGGTGGGGTGTGGGGTCTATTAAAGCCCACCCTGCACAACCTTAGCAGCTGGCAGAGAGGTTCAGTGGGTGCAACACGACAGCATCACAAACAGAAGTGGCGACCAAGAGCCGAATCGTCGACACTCTCAACCCTCTGCTCGACCTGATAGTTGCGAATGAAATCTAGCGCGACTCAGCCAATGGTTGCTTTCTTGCCTGGAGTATAAGCAAGCCAAGGCCATGGCTCGAGTTCAGCTGACAGGCAGAAGCGCCGCAGAGAGCGAGAGACGAACCAAGCCAACCGTTCAAACGTCTGCCTCGGGGACTGTAAAGTGTGTAAAATCTTTAAAATCTGTAAAATCTTTAAAGTCTGTAAAATCTGTAAAATCTGTAAAATATGTAAAATATGTAAAATATGTAAAATATGTAAAATATGTAAAAGTTAGTAAAATCTGTAAAATCTAGGCCTCCATTCGAACGCGTGCAAAACACGGAACCTGGGTCATCTGGGTCCTCGCTTTGTACAGAGCAAAAGTGAGATGGGGAACGCTTTTCCTCTGCTCGCGTGCCGCGTGCCGGGCACCGAGGTCAGGTTTCGTCTTCTTACCCTCCGAAATTCGGTCGATTCAGTTGAAGATGCGTCGGCATCTCAAGTAAGATGCACATGTTACGGCCGAGACATTGAGACACGGGAGGCTCACGTAAGCGAGAAGTACAATGAGGTACGTAATTGTTGTCATGGTGACAGCACAGTGGCACCCGGTATCATAGCAACACAGGAGTACAAATGAAGAGACACATCCTGCCTCGAATAGGACCAGAGCAGTGAATGGAGTATATATATGTGTTTGTCATTCAGTCTCACATCATGAAAACTAAGCATTACATAGAACATACGGCTGTGGTAAAGGGAGTCTGATCGTGACCCCGATAACGCCGTATATTAATTGTTATCTTCATTTGATTAAGAGTCTGAA